CAGTGTCCTGTCTGTCTATCTGTCAGAGCTTTCCTCCTAGACCAGCTGCCATCCAAGGCTATGAGCCAGGTCTGTCCTGCAACAAAACTGTTTCCAAAAAGATAGGATACGTAAAGTTATATCATTTGACACTTCTACTGTAGGAGTTATCTTTACAGATATATTTTACCACGATGGGTTGTCGCATGAGTCATTCGGTACACATGGGTTTTTTAAGGCCGCAGGGAATATATTCTATTTAGTGATTCACCCAGTTCATTTTTACTTATCACTCTTTTCATTTATCTTTATATATTTAAAAAAAAAAACTGAAAATGTAGATAAAATAATTCAACAAATTTATCAGTGACATGTGTGAAATTTTTTTAATAGGGATGTTTTTCTTCTTAAATTCCAATAAAGTTATGACTCATTGTGCCTGAGTCAATATTTGAGGCTGTGTTGACTTAAGCCAGGAGATGTCGGTTGGGACTGAGTTGGTGTTGACTTAGGGCCAGGGGGACCAACTGGTTCTCAAAGTGTCAGCCTAGTGTAGGGCGAATTATCATACTTAGTGAATGGATAGTAAAACAAGACAGCAGAGATGTCGGGGACAGCTGTGTGCTGGTTCCTTCGACCAGGCTGATGTGTTGAATACACATTCTGGAGATCAAGCAGTTTTCCAGTCAGCTGATGTGACAGTGTCTGCTACGCATAGAGCAATGGAGGTCAAATTGAGCAGGAGATGCAACCTGTTCATCCTTAAAGCTAGTTCATCTTGTAGCGGTCCGCTCAGCGGGAAGTGGCAGCTAGTGTAGGCTGTTGGATGGAGCGCCGCTAAATCGGTTGGAGTGAGCGAAGCGTGGGACATTTATTTCATGATTAGCCAGTGATTGGACATGTGTAGGATGGCCTTCGCTAGTATTATTCTATGTGTGGGTTGGTGTGTACCGGACGTTCTTGTGAAATAAATGTGCATATATGGCAGCAACACGCCGTTGAATTTTCCTGACATTTTGTGTGTGAGTTGGGCACAACAGTTTGGAGTGTGAATCAAATCCTAGACACTAGGTCAGATGTTCGTGTGCTGTCTTCCCATATGACCATGCAACACCTCTAAACTTTTACCCTTTAACTTTAGATTATAACTAAATAATGACAGTCTTCTTTAAGAACTGCCAAATACTGTCTGTATTTACCACTTCTGCTGTGAAGGCAGGGGGATATCTTTGAGTGTCAAGATTTAGGGCCGCAGAGCTAGCGGTGTCAGCATGGTCAGTGTAAGTCTGGATTTTATTGTTGCCCCCCACAAATCCACAACCTTACCTAGGATTCAAATCTGGGTCTCCTGCATGACAGCCCAGTGTTCTTAACTGTTTGGCCAGTAGCTCCTCTACTTTAAGGACACTGCCATTTAATTTGTGCTTTCCCTAACTTGCTCTAATTTCTACATATGAATAAAACATTACCCTGTGTGGTCTTGATGGTGGGCCAAGCTTCTCCTAACAAAGTTAATGAACATGTGATCATTTCCTGCTTCTGGCCAAGATTTGTCTCTTCATGTTCTTCTGTATTATTAGATACCTGAATATGGACAATAATAAGCACAATAAAACAAACATAATAAAGGTTCTAGAAATGTGTATGATTAGAAAAGGTTGCATTATGTGAACAAAACAGAGGTCCCAAATAAATTAGGTAGCATTTCAGGGAGAAACAAAATGTAAAGAAAATGGGAATGAAAAGGCAGCCGCAGGTGACAGAAGTAATGAAAGATGAGAATTAGCTTATATTCTGACCATACTAATAAGAATGAAAATATCATACAAATGATACCAGAGTTGAATGTTAATGAGGAAGAGCTTGGCAATGATACTTTCTCGTCTTCTTTTTTTTTGTTCGCTTGAAACAGATTATCTATATCTACCATGTTGTCTCTAGTATGAACTTCACTGTCTTTTGTAATTCACTCAGCAACCCGTACAGTTTAACTTGCACTGGTGTTTCTCTTGGCCAGATGTTATGTTTTGCCTTGATATGTTGTATTAGAGACAGTCTTGGAGGATGTGTTCTTTGTCTCAGGTGCCAATCCACATGTGCAAATGACAATCTTAAATTGTGCATACATGTGGCTGCGAAGTCGACTGTGTCCTGTTCTAGGGTGTGGAATATTGACTTGCTCGGGCCTGGCCATAATTTGTGGCCAAATGGGGAAAATACAACACAATTAAGTCACTTGGGTGAAAAAGAAGATCATGGGATGGAAGGAAAGTGGTGGTGGTGCATAGGTTGTCCTAATTCTCAACATTAAAAAATGTATTATTATAAAACATTCAAAATGTCAGCCTTGTGACTAGAAAGCAACTGTAATAACCTGCTTGAGAAGTGAACTGGTCAAATCCCAGACTTCACTGAAGTGGTCCAGTTCATAGAGTTCCAGGACAGGACCAAGACTCTGCATGGCTTCCATCTTGTAAAGAGTCTGCTCTTTGCCACACTCTCTCAGTAACACTGTCACAATCTGCAGCAAACACAGCACAGTAACACTGTCACAATCTGCAGCAAACACAGCACAGTAACACTGTCACAATCTGCAGCAAACACAGCACAGTAACACTGTCACAATCTGCAGCAAACACAGCACAGTAACACTGTCACAATCTGCAGCAAACACAGCACAGTAACACTGTCACAATCTGCAGCAAACACAGCACAGTAACACTGTCACAATCTGCAGCAAACACAGCACAGTAACACTGTCACAATCTGCAGCAAACACAGCACAGTAACACTGTCACAATCTGCAGCAAACACAGCACAGTAAACACTGTCACAATCTGCAGCAAACACAGCACAGTAACACTGTCACAATCTGCAGCAAACACAGCACAGTAACACTGTCACAATCTGCAGCAAACACAGCACAGTAACACTGTCACAATCTGCAGCAAACACAGCACAGTAACACTGTCACAATCTGCAGCAAACACAGCACAGTAACACTGTCACAATCTGCAGCAAACACAGCACAGTAACACTGTCACAATCTGCAGCAAACACAGCACAGTAACACTGTCACAATCTGCAGCAAACACAGCACAGTAACACTGTCACAATCTGCAGCAAACACAGCACAGTAACACTGTCACAATCTGCAGCAAACACAGCACAGTAACACTGTCACAATCTGCAGCAAACACAGCACATTCTAATAATTATTTATAGAGCTGGCATTTCAAACACTGTGTGTGTGTGTGCGTGCATGCATGTGTGTGTGTGTGTGTGCGCGCGCGTGCGTGCATGCATGTGTGTGTGGGTGGGTGTGTGTTGGTGTGTGTGTGTGTGTGTGGGTGGGTGTGTGCGTGTGTGTGTGTCACATGTGCACGTGTGTGAAAAACAATGCATGTTAAGTAAATTTTCTAAACAGTGTATTTCTGTCTTCTTCCTGGAGGATGAAAAGAGTAACTGCTTATAAAATACAATCACCCATGAGGGTTCTAGAGTTCAATTTTGGGGAGGGGGTAAAAGAACAGACCTACTTCCTACTAAAAGGCCGGTGTGCATTCACCTAAAAGTCGTGAGAGACTTGACTTCTGAAACATGTTATAAGGTCCAGAAGTGGATAAATAATCAGCGCTTTCGACTGGACAGATGATAGAAAACATCAGAGGTTAAGTGGAGAACATTAGAGTTAATATGAGCTTAAAATGAAAGCATGATACAGTACAGATACTTACTAAAAGATGGAAAATGGCAGCAGCCAGACCATGATCACCATCCACACAGGACAGCAGACTTTGTAAGCAGAGAGTGCTTGAACATGTGATATTTAAAAATTTAACAGCATCTATTATAAAAATTAGATGGTCGCATGCTTGCCCAAAGGTGTTAGGTTTGAATCCATATCGAGGCAGACATTTTTTCTTCCCAAATTGATCTTGGCTCCCAGGTTGACACAGCCTAAAATGAGTACCAGGTAATGTCCTGAGGAAAAAAGCAGGCAGTGTGATGCTGACCACATCACCTATGTGTGACTTTTGTGTAAAGGAATATGAGTCTGACATAATATGCTCAAAGCACCACTGGCCTAAAAAGGGTCCAATTGAAAAGAATCATAAGCAGTTCAGAGGCGAAACATCAAATCAATATTGAAAAATGAAAAAGGGGCAGTACAGAACTGTAATACACATCCTGTTCTGTTGTATGGCAGCGAATCATAGAATATGAATGAAAACATTAGGAAGAGATTGGCGGCAGAGCAGATGTAATTTCTGAGATGAATGTTGTGAACAGCCAGAGAAGGTCTGGAAAAAGCTGGTGAAAGAAGAACAATATTTGCAACTACAAGAGTGAGTTCAATTATATTCTTTGATATGTGAGAAAAGATGCAGTACAGAACAACATTACGACTGGAAAGTTCAGCGACAGATGTTGAGTCAGAGGCAGGTTTTGAGATGCTGATGGGCTAAGAAAACAGCTTGATGAAGTAACATCAATCAAATTGATCAAAGTCACAAAGCCTGAGGTCTATGGTGAAATATCAATGTCTACATCTGTCAGCCAAGGCATACAATAATAATAACAGAGAAAGATTAAAACAGAAGCATGAAACTAAGAAGAGATTTTCCATAAGATAAATTACTAGCAAAAAACGTGAGAAACAATACTTTAAGGAACACAGATTAACCTGTTTCAGATTACATGAAAAACAATACTCTAAGGAACACAGATTAACCTGTTTCAGATTACATGAAAAACTATACTCTAAGGAACACAGATTAACCTGTTTCAGATTACATGAAAAACTATACTCTAAGAAACACATTAACCTGTTTCGGATTACATGAAAAACTATACTCTAAGGAACACAGATTAACCTGTTTCAGATTACATGAAAAACTATACTCTAAGGAACACAGATTAACCTGTTTCAGATTACATGAAAAACTATACTCTAAGGAACACAGATTAACCTGTTTCAGATTACATGAAAAACTATACTCTAAGGAACACAGATTAACCTGTTTAAGATTTGGTTGGCTTGTTTCAGCAGTTTCAGCTTTGATAATTTCTTCTCTGTGGGGAAAAAATACATAAATATTATAAAGTGTGTCCAAGAAAAAACTGTACATGTTCTTGGCAAAGCTCTAGATATTTAGCAAAACAGAACATAGATCTGATTAATTTGGAAGTTATCCTTTCTCCACATATTCATAAATTCCACTGGGCTTTGAAATTGGTCTTGAGCTGAATCTCCAGCAGTGTCCAGATTTATTTTTCCTGACCACTATGGCTTTGTGGTAAACAAACCATACAAAGGGGCCTTGGATAATTTTAATAATTTTATAGGAACTGTCTGGTAAAGAAAAGTGGTGAGTTTGAGTGGCCCCCGTCGATATGTTATGGTCCAAAACACTTCACACTCCATATCCACATGACATGGATTAGAATACTTCCCACTCAAATAGCAGTATCTTGTCATGGAACTGTTCTTATCTTGACAATGACCATTATGCTGTCATTGTTGGCATCTTTTCAGACAACACTGTACTGTGCTGTATACAAGCATGGGAATCACAGCCCATGGTGATGGCGAGTGTAAGTAGCTAGACCCACTCACATTAACAGAACTCTTCCATAATTAGGGCATGGGCTTCCAGGACCACTGTTTACCTAGCATGTATTTGAGGGGCTTCTTGTCGCATGCTCAGCTCTTAACCTATCTGCAGTCATTTTCTCGTTCCCTTTTCCCATGCAACCATGGTCCGTGGCATCCTGTATTTAACTAATAAAACAGGATTGTAACCTTCTAGACGTCAAAATTTAGTAGAAGATAAAAAGACAGCCTGGGACAATAACTACATCACAGAAACAAGCAAGGCTGTTGGGGGGGGGGGGGGGGGGAACAGATCTGTGCTGTGCTGAAGACAGATGCTAACAAATTGAGAGAGTGGAGGAACATGATCAGATGACTTCGAAACCAGTCTTAGGACCGATTCGTCTAAAGAATGAATTAATACAGGTGTCAAATATCAAGATAACATTGGTCACCCACTTGAGTAGGCAGGTTTGCTGTTTTCAGTCAGGGCAAGTTTTTGCTTTTGACAAGCATTGCCTTTTTGCATTTTCCTCCATATGTAGATTGAAATAATATGTTTCATTGCCCAGCTACTGGGCTGAGTGCCCACCAGGATTCAATCCCCATGGCAAATGGTTTAGAAAAAGACTGTCCTTGTGGCTTTCAGAGAGCTTTTCTAGAGTTGCACCACAGAAGAGACTGGGGCCTCACCCAAAGACAGCAGCAGATATGCTGCAGCCAACCTTTATGGTAGAGATAGCAAACAATTTGTTTTTTAAAAGGAATCACCATTGGAAATATTGAGTGAAAGAGACAATAATATGAACAAACTCAATTACTTACTTGCAGGATATGCAAGTTGCTGATAATGCCTTCAAAAAAGCTGCCTGAAATAATCAAGGCAAAGAATAAAATCAAAGGAAACTTTCATGACTCAGAAAAGTACAAAATAATCTGCATTACGTATAGTAACATGTAAAGATAGTATTATATTAAAAAATATACAAAAATCACATATGGTCATCAAATTAAAATGAGTCAATACTGTTACTCTTCTTTATGCTCAATATATAATTTGAAATTAATTTTTTGCAATATAATTTCTTCTGTGAAGTGATTAATGAGTAAAGCTAATTTAATTTTCCTTAAACTCTGTTGCCCTGGTGACCTAGAAAAAAATGCCAATGATAGTAACAATGGAATTTCTGAAAAATCCATTTTAAAAAAAACAACAACATTTAAACAGGTTACCAAAAAAACATAACTATTCTAATTAAAAACTAAAACAATATTAAATTCCGTACAGAATATAGGGAGTCATTACTAAACACAAATTCAGAAGAGAATTCAATGGGACAGTTCTGTGACTAAAAAATAAATGTTTAAGGTGACTCATCTGTGACCCGCTTGACCTCATTGTTGGTTGACACTGTGACCAAGGGAAAATCACAACTTAGTAATTTCTATTAATAAAGCCATTTTTTTAATAGGAAAACCCTTCTAAATGCTATTTTTAGTAAATGTAGTAATTCCCAGCTCTTTTAAAAATGTGAGCAGACACAAACAATAACAGTGATATTAGCTAGGCACTTGGTGAACAGGCTACTACAGCCAAGTCAGACAAGTGACTCCTTTTGGAAAGTGTCGCTTCAAAGACTTCTCAAGGTTACAACTTTATGTCATTAAAGTTGTGGTCTATGACTGGGGTGCCTACAAGAGCGAGAAGCAGAACCTTATATCAATTATCTATCCCTCATCAGGGTGGGCAAACAAAACAAGGTGGCTTGGCCCCTGCTCTGTCATTCTCAATGTCTTCGAAACTTCATTATCATGCAGCAGATCCTTTGCAGAACAACACTATCATTACCTCCTTCATGACTAGGGTGTCATCGGCCTACTGTCTGCTGGCTGACTCCTGATTTTTCTTCAAGAAAGAATTACCGTTCTCTATAAATCATTATGGCATTTAAAATAAAAATAAAAACTCATTTTAAAAGAAAAGATACTGTTTATGAGCCAAGAGGTCTTGGTTTCCCGGTTACCTTAAAGATGTTGGTGCAGGAAAGGTTAATTTGCTACAAGGATGAAGGCCTCAGGTGTTTCCAGGCTACAGGGAGACAATTCTTTCTTATACAGACAGGGATTTGGAATGGATTCTCCAGACTAGTATATAGATAATGGAGGATCACTTAGAACCGTAAATAGATAAGGAATGAGAAATGCACACAGAGCAAATTATAGGTGGTAGTACATCAGCTGAAAGAAAACTAGAGAGAGAGAGAGAGAGTTATAAACTCATCTGCTCAACTGATGTAAGAAATATATATGTTATCTGGTCAGGGGAAGAGAATAAAAATGTATTTGACTTGACACTAGTGTAGCAGGGTGGTTTCAGATTGAAAAACATCAATATTTGTCATACTCTTGGTCCTCAATAACTACTCAGTTAAAACTCATCTGCTTTAATTTACCTTCCCTTCCCATGTGCGTCCTGATAGCCCATCCAGCAATGCACTTAACAGATCTCCCAAATATGGCTGCCCCAGCTGACTCTGCAACTTCTGGGCCACTGTGGCCATGGCCTGAGCAGCTTGGACTTTGAATGACCAGGTCTGAGACTGAAGGCATGAGGAGAGCAGGGCAACTATTTCAGGCAAGTATAAACGAATGCCAGCCTCCGTGCCTGCAAAACAAACATAGCATTACAATTCAGTCAACTAAAAACTACAATAAGTAGTAAGTGAAAAATAGAAAAATATAATGAACACAAAACGACTGCAAGACCACACTAAATATGCAACAACAGCATAAAGAACAACCTTAAAGAAAATAAAATCAATATATACAATGCATTATAAAGACCACACAGATGACCCTTGCAATAGCAAAGGATAGAATGGCTTGGCATGAGTTAGTTGAGGGCCTATGCTTCACTGAGGGTTAGAAGGCAGAAGAAGAAGAAGAATATATGTTAAACAATTATAATTACCTTTTTATGTCAAACAAATGCAATGACCTGTTATGTGTCTAACAACTAAAATGATCTATTATATGTGAGACAATTGCAACAAACCTGTTGTATGTTTAAATAAATTAAAACAGGCTGTTACATGTTAGGAGTATATGTTGAACATTCACAATGACAAATTATATGTCAATTACTTATGATAGAGCACTGTATTAACAAAAACATAAACAGTATAACAAAGTTTAAAGCAATAATACATAAAATTGATGTCTATTTGTAAATCACTGCATAATAATGTGATTATTCACCTGGTGCTATTTCATTCCAAACATCTTCCCACTCGGAAGCCTCATCTGTTTTCTTTCCTTCCTCTTTCTGTTTTTGTTCATGCATGGCAAAGAAAGCCAGAGGCATCACCAGGTTGGCATGGCGACGCAGACAATCAGGACTGTTTTTGGCAATGGCTTGTAATGTCACACTACATGCATGATGGGTGTTTGGGCCTGCAAACAAAATGATAACAATGTGAGAAATCTAGTGAGAGCTTTATATATTTTATAATAATGAGGAGTATAAGGTGGGTGATTCCTTCACAAGATGTTCATTAACAGATATATTTGTGACATTAAAACAATGAATAAATACTACTAACAACTTCTGAAACAAAACAAAATGCAGTCTCTTTGATCCAATTTTCCTGAGCCAGACTATAGTGATTGAGAATGTATGTCCTCTCTGATCCATACTTTTCACATTTAGAAACTAATGACTGAGAATGCTTGCCTTCTTTGATCCACACTTTTTACACTCACGACCTTAATGTCTGCCCTCTGATTCAGACCTCCTCGGCCAGATTAAGTCCTCTCTCTTTTTGATCCATATTTCCTCAGTCAGACTTTAATTACTGTCTTTGATCCATACTTTCCCAGACTGTAATGATAGAGTAAGTCTTCCCTCTTGCATCCATATTTTCTCAGACAGACTCTCCTGATGAGTCTTCTTCAACCTCTGATCCAGATTTCCTCAGTCTGTCTTCAATGACTTAGCCTATTTTCAAGACCATCACTTGCAGGTGAAGCAGGCTGTGATGTTTTTTCTTCTTTCTAAAGTCCATGTCATGAGGCATTGGTAGTCATGACTATCCACAACCTTCTGTCTCGTGTACTTTCAATGAACACAGATGATTCTCCATGCCATGATGTCAAACTGTCCAGCATCTTTTCACTCGGTCTCCCTCTGCCTCTCCTCCCTTCCAATTTTCCTACTGTCATGATGTACTCACAGGTTCTGCTTCTCATCACATGACCAAAGAATGTAGATTGTCTCTTTGTTTTAAGGACATGTTATTTCAGCTACAGCATGTCAGAAGTTACCACCAGACTGTGTTTACAGCAAGTTAAAAGGGATTTGGTTAGACAAGAGCACTACCCAGGAAGCCAAAGAATAACAATAAAAAAACACCAAACTGGCACCGCCAGCCGCTATTTGCCGTGGGATTTTCTGAGAGATCCGAGCACCTATGGACTAAATGATTCAATGCACACAAATGATGATATGTTGACTAACGGACTAACACCCCAGACTGGCAGACAATGTTAAATTTAAACACAGTAAACAACAAAAGTAAAGTAAAGGACCCTTTTCATGCCAATGGCACATTGGGCATATGATGCTGGGCCATATTTTTATAGACCAATGGTCACTCAAAGGGTGATGTGGTCAACATCAAACTAGCCACCTTTACTGCCCAGGATTTTGCCTGGTACTCATTTCAGGCTGGGTCAACATGGGAGCCAAAGTCATTTTTGAAAAAAGAAAATCCCATTCAATACAGATTCGAATCCACGGCCTTTAGGCCGGAAATGAGTGGCTAATCACTACACCACCATGACTCCCAAACAAGAATGAACAATGATGCATTCAAAGTGAGAATAAGCATTAGAGTTAAGATAAAATAACAAATAACAATTAGTACAGAAAACTTGAAAATAGCCTGAAAACAGAAAGGACTAAAATAGCCTAGAAGTAGCAGCAATGAAGCTGTAATGTTAGAAATGATGAAACAGGCAGTCAACAACAATAAAATAGATCAACTATGCTGCTATATGTAAATAAATGAACTCCTTTGTTGATACTGACTGCAACACTATTCTCATCACAAACCTCTTGTCTGCACCTTTTTATCTATCATGTTAAAATATTAAATATCATTAAACAATGAATGCAATGTGCAACAAAGTCTACAAGTTTTAATTTTTTTTAAAAATATCACGTAAAACATTTGAAAGCTGAGAAAAAACAAAAAAATGTTTTCTTACCGTCATTCTCCAAGTACCAGGTCTTGAGTTTCTGAATCAGTTTTTCCACACTACTGTCCTTGGCTATCTGTTTAAAATCAAGCTCTAACAATTTACCCAGCATTAAAGCTATTTAGTACCAACAAAATATGCTATATCTTAAGTAAATTGTGCAATATCATGGTCTCTACAATACTGCCCAAGCTCTGTGCTATGGAGAGAGGGAACTTCATCCCTGGCCTTAACTGGTATCAACATGGGCTGTGATTTCCATACCTCCTTATATCGTAATGGAACATTATTATCTGGACAGACCAACAGGTGCCAACAACCACAACTACAACAATATTCTTCTTCTTCTCTTTCACCATTTACCTCAGTGAGGTGTGGGGGGGGGGGGGGGGGGGGGGGGGGGGGGGGTAAGGATTGTTTGTGCACTTTTTCCAATGCACTGTACAAGCTGGTGTTAATTTCTGTTAGGTTGATCTTGATGATGTCGCTCCATGACTTTGTGTGGTCTCCCTCTTGCTCTGTGTCCATTATATTTCTTTAGCGTGGCTCTCGGTGGCAGTTGGTACCTTCAATATTCAGTTTTCAATGTGCATGACAATAGCTGCTGAAGGATATTCCAGCCAGTACACTATAGTTATGTATGAAATAGTGGATGCAGCGATGCTAATGTGCCACTTACTAAAGTGATCATGACATGCCTTTCATCTTCTCATAGAGCATTCTAGAAGCAGACGCTAGTCTAGCAACAAATCTCCAATAAGCCACAATAAATTTTACCAAGAGAATCGACTGAGTGAGTAGTTAGCATGAAAGGATATCATCTGTGAAACTGAGGTTTGAATCCTTGCTAGGGTGATGTAAATTTTTTTTTTCGTGGGGGTAATGGAAAATGGTTGGGTTTTTTTAAAAAACGATTTTACATAAGATAAAATCACCAGCTGAGAACATTATGAGTCATATATGTATAATCTTAGGGTGTTATGAATATTATTTGTACTTACTCTGACAAGATGGGAAATGGCTGTTGCATTAGCTTTGCGAACTGTTGCATTTCTGTCATTCAGACCATGAAGAAATGCTGCCAACAATTTGCCTGAAACAAAACATATCACAGTTATTAAAATACTGTATAACATAAGGGCAGTGATAAATAACATTAACTGTAGACTGAAATGGTCCTGCTATATGACAATGACAGCAAACACTGAGCAAGTACACGACTACGAGTGTCTCAAAAAAAAAAAAAGCCAAAAGAAAGCGTGTATTAAGTCTAGGAACAATTAGTATGACAGACAGGAGGATCAGCACTACTATATACAGTAAAAAATGGCAACAGCCTGGGTAAATAACAGTGAACATTACAGGCTTAGGGTAGTGTAACAGAATAAGAAAGGAAAGGGGGTGAGGGGAGGAGAGGGAGAGAAAGTTTAATTCCAATTCCATGTATTTACTTTTCTGTTTAAAAATGTTTTTTTAAAATATAACACATAAGGTTTTTGTTTCTAACTAGTTTTCCTCAATTTTGCCCACCCTCCCCTCCTCTGTGTGTGTTTGTGGGAGTGTGTTTTACTGCCTAAGCTATTGAGTTAAGTGCTTGGTGCAGCACTGTAGAATGGTGAGTAGCCGGTTTACGTGTGGGCTGGTGAAACTGCTCTGTCAACGATAAACTGCATTTCTGTTGGTGACTGTTGGCTTTGGCACCTCTAGCAACTGCCTTATGCATTACTTCATGAATATATTTCTGGATTGTGCTGAGACTAATTGTTTGTTCACAAGTTTTTCAAATGGGACAGTGAGGGTCACTTCATCTAATTTTCATTGACACAGGAACGAAGCAAATAAGGGGTGACCCAACTACAGTGAAGTTGAAATCTTGACTGCAACTGTGACTAAGAGAGAGAGACAGAAAAGAGAGAACATATATAAGGATATCTGAGAATTTCAGACATCATCATTTTTAAAACAAAACTGTTAATATAAAAATAATAACATATCATCATCATCAGGTGCCTTGCCGACTGGCGTGGGCGATCATGCCTCTTCATAATCCACGTTCTCCTGCAGCATGTATCAGTCCATGTGCCGACACACCTCCATGCCATGCAACAAGACTGTCAAGCATCTTCTCTCGTTGTCTTCCTCTATCCCTGCTTCCACAGATCTTTTCAGTGGTCACATGTTCTATTTTTTCCTCTTCTCATAACATGGCCGAAAAATGATGACTGTCTCCTTCTGATGTCTGTGATAAGTTGTCTTCGGGCTCCCGCCTCTTTCAAAACCTCTTGGTTGCTCTTTTTGGCTGTCCAGGGTATTCTAAGCATTCTTCTGTAAAATCACATCTCTGAGGCCTCAAGAAATTGTTTGGCCTGCCTACCGATTGTCCAGGATTCACAGCCATATGTTAAAACTGGATGTATGTAGCAAGCAAGAATTCTTTTTCTTACTTTCAAGGACAAAGGATATATTGCACAAGATATTCTTCATTTTATAAAATGCAGTTTTTGCCTGTCCTATTCTGTTCCTTATCTCAGTTATGCATCTTCCATCTGATGTTATCCATGTGCCCAGATACGTAAATTTCTGTACTTGTCCTAAAATAACACCATCAATCATTTCCTGTAGTTCTTTCTGACTTGTTGCTATCAAGACTGTGTCATCAGCATAATAATGTAAATTGTTTATATTGTGCCCACCAACCACAATTCCGGGCATATCAATTAAAGATCTCATTATATATTCACTGTATATTGAAAACAAATCAGGTGATCGTACACATCCTTGTCGTACGTTTCTAACAGTTTGATTACTTCTTCATGCTTCACACAGTCAAATGCTTTTGTATAGTCTATGAAGCATTAAGTACAAATCAGTCTTTACTTCTATAGCTCTTTCTGACAATGTCCTTAGGATGTATTTGGCATTGTTTGTACCTTTTCCTTCTACAAATCCACATTGTTCATCGCTGATTTCTGGTTTAATTTTTTTCTTATTCTTCTCATAATTATTCTCAGTAAAATCTTAGTCATTTGACTCATAAGACTTATTGTCCGATGGTCTTCACATTTTAAAGTGCCTGATTTTTTTGGCAGAGCTATAAATATGGATTTTAAAAGGTCATTTGGAATATACCTACTATTACAAACATCATTTAAAAGTTTAGTTATTATTTCAGTTCCAAAATCACCCAGTGCTTTGATTTCTTCCAGTCTGCTAAATTGACTCACGCAATATATCCCACTGTTCATCAATAGTCTGTATAATTTCCATTGCATTATACTGGTTATAAGAATTCCTAAATTTAACTTGATGTTCTGTGGTGTTTTTCTAATGTTCTTTAGTTTTATTCTAATTTACAACTGGAATATGGTCACTAAAGCAGTCTGCTCCTGGTCTAGTTTTTGCTCCAACTAAGCTGCTCCTGAATCTTCTTGAAATCAAAATATAATCAATCTGATTGCGGACATTATCGCCAGGACTTTTCCAAGTCCACAACTTTGAGGATGATGTTTAAACCAGGTGTTACCTATTATCATGCTGTGCGACTCAGCCCATGCTATTAATCTGTCACCTCTCAAATTCTTTTCTCCTAGGCCATAGCCACCCGTTATTCCGTACACTTTTTCACTTCCTATTTTCGCGTTGAAATCTCCAAGTACCATTGTTACTTCACAATTTTTGCACTGATCAACAGCCATGTCTAACTCGTCATAAAATGCATCAATATCTTCCTCTGAACTATCTGCTGTTGGGGCAAAAATTTGTACTAAGTTGATATCAAATGGTCTGCCGTGAAGTTTTACTAATAGAATTCTATCTGATATTGTCCAAAATCCTCTCACAGTTTTTGAGTTCTTTGGATCCAAAATAATACCAACTCCCTTGCTATATTCCTTCCCACCTGAGTAAATAATTCTGTGCTGATCTGAATACTTTTTCCCTGCTCCTGGCCATCGGATTTCACTAATTCCTAATATGTTGATGTTCATTCTCTTCATTTGCATCTTGATGATATCCAGTTTTCCGTTTTGTACGAGTGTTCTGACATTCCATGTACCAATTTTCAGGATGTTTCTACCATTTACTTTTTCTACAGTAGCTGGATGACAGTCGGGTGTCACCCGTAGAACATGATGCTCCCTACCAGACGATGTGATTCCACTGGAATCCCCATTCACGTCGTTATCTGAATTCGTAATATTCTGAGGCATGATTGACTAGGGATAATACAGTGGTGGTTTCCTCTCGCCTTCCGCCGGTTTGTATATGATTTAACTCCAAAAGCCTTTGTCTAAAGAGACTTACCCTGCAAGGCAGCAGGGGGAAGAGGTTATGGCGCCTCTTACCCGCCGATGGCCATGTCATAGAGTTTTGAGGTATTTTATAAAGTTAGCTGTCCCACCAACTAACTCGCCTCCTCTCAATGACCATCACCTATTTTGGTCCACGGCCACTTATTCAATATATTCGTGGCTAAGCCTTTCCACCATCCGCCACCTGGTGGACTCGCCTAGTAGTAGGACAGGCTCCAACCCCAGGAATAACATTTAAGACATTACAACAAACAAACAAAAGCATACGAATAGAAAACTAGTATCAAAATATAAAGAAATAAATATGTCTAACCTGCATATGGACTGAGGTCCTGAGGGCACTGGTACACCAGGGAAACAGCAAAACTAGAACATCCTGCCTGTTAACACCAGCAAATATGAAATATTCATATGTACACACACTTCTGGTTTTAACATTTGACAGAAAATACATATGAGAACAGAAACAACTGAACCAAATTAAATACACCTTTTTTATAAATTACTAGATTTAATTTCCCAGCTCCTTCCTTTTTATCCAGGATAGTGAAAGAAAGTCTTATTCTCCCATCCTCTACCTCATATTGGACTCCACCGCTGCCCTGTATTTAGTGGAAATAGGGGTCTAACTAAAGGCCTATATTTCGTATCCCATCTTCTACTTCATCTTTGTCTGGAAAGGTGCCAATCATCTCAGACACTCAGCTCACAACCTACCGACAGTAATTTCCTTCTTTGTCCTTATTAAATTTGATGACAGGAGCAGCTGGCCAAGCAGTTACAATGTCGAGCTCTCATGTGGGAGACACGGGTTCGACTACCAGTAAGGTAATGAAGTTTTCTTTTGGGCGTTAAACATCCTAACCTTAACAGTCTGTGGTGACAGCACTAGCTGTGCAGCCCTAAATCCTCAGGCTCATGACCCCATCTACGCTGCCAAAAGAAATGGTAAATTCAGGCAGCAGTGACAGTTTCTGACAAAACTTGATGATGCCCTTATACTTCACATCCCACTGGGCAGTAAGTGAAATAATGAAAAATAATCCTGAAACTTTTCTGTCACATGTACATACAAACCTTAGTGCTAACACCAATGCCTCCTTTCACAAGTTCAACTAATCGAGGGATCAACTCAGGCAGGACAGTACTGTCCACATACTGAACACACTGGATGAAGAAAAACAATGAAAGTCAGTACAACTACTATAGTCATAAATACAGCCTGTCATAAACTAGAACAAAAGTAAATGTTACTGATTATCCATACGTTTGTCATCTTCACCGATTCAACATTCTGCTTTGTAAGCTCTGGAGGGCAGTGAATGTTCAGAACTGACATAGCCAAGATAGATCTGGATGCCAATCAGCTCACTACCTTATACAACACCAGAAAAGTGATGCAGTGGATTTCAGGCAACTCCTGCACACCAGGTTATGACAGAGCTGGCAAACTGGCAAAAAAAGGAGCATGACAAGAACAACCAAACACAGCGACAACCCTACAGACATAAGAGCTATAAACAAAGAGACTTGGCTCAACAGATGGGCCATGGGAGACACTGGAAGAGAGGTTTATAGACATATGGCTGGCCCTGATCCTAACAACAGCATCAACCATCTAATAAGAAGGGACCAGGCCACCATCTTCAGACTCAGAACACAACATACTCCACTCAGTGGACATCTAAACAGAATACAGCCACAACACTCCTCAGGGTTCCAGCTATGTAACTACCCCTATGAAACTGCTATCACCTCTGAGTGTCCAAAACTCAAGACTAGAAGAATGCTACCCCTCCGAGACCAGACAAGTGGAACGCCTTGTATGGAGGAAAAGAACAGCTTGTGAAAACATGTGAATTCCACTATATGGCACTGGGCCAAAGCTCATGCACCTCTGGATCAACAACAACAACAATAATATCCATACAGACAAAGCATTATAAACTGAACATAAAACAAACAGTAAATGTTATGGATTATGTATACAGACAAGTTTAGGAATCACTGATGTAATACATAAATGTTTATACATAGTCAAGGTCTATCAACATCATTTTGTGCCTTGCCTATGGCTTAGGAAGAAATGTAGATGTAATCTGGGGACACTCCAGTGCTTGTATTTCATATTTTTGCTGCTGCTGACAATGTTGACTATTTCTTGTTAACAGATGTAAGAACGAAGTGGTGTATGAAAGGGCAGAATGTTAGACAGGCATATGTGCCCAATTCTCAACCTTTTGAAAATAGTTTTTTTCATTCGTTTTCACGGCACATATCTCAGTCCACAGTGTCAATTCCATTGAAGGTTTTCTCCCATGCTACTTCCTAGGCAAGTCTTAGACCATCAAGCATCACTTCTTTCAGTCTGCCTCTGCCTCATTTACCAGTGAACTTTCCAGTCAATATGATTTCTCTAATGTTTCAGCGTCTGTAGCTTCGTAATGCCTGGATGCAGGGTTCGATCCCAGCTGCGGGCCTTGCTCCTTGCGTTGGTTTTAACAGTGGTATCGAGAAGCTGACCGTCCAGAAAGCAATGACAAACCACTGGACGAAAAATTTGCCTAGAAAAACCACTACAGCCAAAAAATGCTAGGGTTGTTTCTGCAACATCCAATGAAGGATTTTCTCTTTTTATCACATGACCAAAGAATATTTCTCTCAAACAGCTGCACATAATGTTCAACTTTCTCCTTGTGTGGGTTCCATGGCCCCATTGCGGAGGTGCTAACAAGTATATCATAAAAGATGACTTGTTAAAAGTTTGCTAAAACCAACCCTCTGCTACCAATGCCAAACCTGGTCCCTAACAAGAGCACAGGAGAAAAAGATCACGACGTGTGAAATGAGATGCTTACGTAAGGCTGCCAATGTCACAAGGAGAGACAGAGTTCGAAACGAGAACATTAGAGCAATTGTAGGAACCACACCATGCCTGCAATACATAAAGAAGCAACAAATAGAGTGGTTTGGCCACTTGATGCATATGCAAACCGACCAACTGCCTCTACGAGCATACAACGAACAGCACTACTGCCCTAGAGCAAGAGGCAGACCGAGTGTACGATGGATAGACAATATATCAGAGATCCTGAGGCAACACGGACTAACAACAACACGTGCAACACACCTGGCCCAGGATAGAAAACTGCGACTCCCCACTACGCTGTGAGGCAATTGTGGACAAGACAAGACAAGACAAGGCTAAAACTGAATAGATTGCCAGAAGGCACAGATATTGTAGCCTAGCTGTAATCATTAACATAACATGTAAATTGCCCTTTTAACAGCAAATGGTGGTGATGGTGAAGAAGAAGAGGAAGTAAGAGGGAAAGAGGATTAGGTTAAGAAGAAAAAGAAGATGAGAAAAAGATGACAAAGATAATCTACTTTCATTAGTCTTTACCATCAACACTTGTACATTTTTCTGGCAGTTCACAACACATCAAAGGATTGAAACAAAAGCACAGTTAATATAAATGCAACAACAGTAGCCCATGATGCTGAACAAAGCCAATACATCTATTACAATAACAGATTACAATTTTACATCAGAAGATAACACACGTTATGTGAACAATCATTATAAAACACAAACCCATACTACTAATACAGAGAAACAGTAGTGCTTCAATAATAAATGTTTGCTTTCCCACAAAATTCTGCAAGCTGTTACATATCCTAGAAGCTTTAACGACTGCCTGCATGTTTAACAACTCAGGTAAACTGGAATATATCTCAGATACTACAATTTCTGACTACCTCACTGATCAATAACTCATGTAAGCTGGAATGTATTCCAGACACTACAAGAACTACCTCCATGGTTAACAACTTCTCTAAGCTGTAATTTACCCCAGATACTTTCAAGAATTACCTCCACTGTTAAGGTAGGTAAGATGGCATTTACCCCAGACACTATAATAACCGGCTACCTCCAGTACCAACAACTTCTGTAAGCTTGTATATATTTCCTTTACCTACCCTGTTAACTGTTTCCATCATAGGTGACATTTTTGAGGATGCAATTCTGATACTGTCGAGCTGTAGAGAGAGACAGAACAAAACTGGAAAATCTGAAAAGGACTTGTAGACCTTTCATTTAATTTATAAACAAGAAATATTTGGATACTTTGCTCTACAGTCAGGTATAAGGTTTTGCATATCCTTTCAACGATGTTGCAAACCAGTCTGAGCATTTTTTGGCTGTTTGTGGTTTTAGTGGGCAATTTTTACATCCAGTAGTTTGTCACTGCTCTCAGGGTGATCAGCTCTTGACACAATTATCAAAATCAATGCAAAGTAATCCGCTGCCAAAATGCAGGCAGATGGAACTGGAATTATAAACCGTGTTCCCCATGTGGGTTCCAGATCCCCATTGTGAGGAAAAATAGGAACAGACCCACTGCCTCCCCAACAAGCATGTTGTAGGACTAACTGGGGGACTTCCTTCAAAGTTGGAGTGCATCTGGCTGAGAGGGAAGGAACCAACAGTCTGCATACAAAAAAGTCAGATGCATAAAATTTATGTGCACGCAACAATCAGGTTCTGGAACAAAATTAAAATCCAGAGGTAGACAAACAACCAGAACTTTCAGCCAGAATTTACAGCCAATGAACGAGAAGAAGAAGAAGAAGATAAACCATGCTTGCAACCCCTAAGCCAGAGATGCTGACATCTGCCTCTGGCTTAAAAAGTGCCATCTTCAAATATTATATGAACATGTGATGTGTGCAAGCTGCTTATGGAAGCTGTCAAGAGTGTACTGCATTGGTGCTCTTCTGGTAACACTTCAAAAATAGAAACAGTTACCCATAGCAGAATATATATTGACAAAGGAATGCAAATTCAGCTTTATCAAATGATCGCTTTAAGCACAACATAAAGAATCTTGGAGACAAACTTTTCTAAATAAACAGATGGTATATTAGTGATTGTTTAGATACTGGTGAATCATTATCTTTATTTTAATAATACTACTGATTAAATATTAGCCAGTCCTGTCTTTATATTAATAATACTAGTGTTATATGACACCTCAATTTACCTGATTTTAAACAGTGCTATACTGTTAACTACTAAATGCTAGTGAAACAAAATCTTCACATCTTTCGTGAAACACTGCTGCACAGTACTGATACTCAAAAGACAATGTGACCAAAATTACACCAACTGCCTTTACTTCCCAGATCATTACTTGGTACATATTCTAGGCTGGGTTTGACCTGGGAATCAAGACCAAGTAAAAAAAAAAAAAAAACAGAAATACAGATCTCATCCTACGATCTTCGATGATGTTTCAAATCTCAGTAAAACTGCAAAAGAATCTCCACCACTATACAACAACATGGCCGCAATAACTAGGAAGCTCAATGAGGAGGAAGGGAAAAATTTATGGTTTGCAGGTGACTTCCCTGTTTAAGGGCTGGTGCTTAGGATTCTTGTTTTTTGTTGCTGTTTTTATTTGTTGACAAAGACTGATCAAAATGTTTGGATGTATCCTTCTCCACCCCATCCTTTCTCATATGAGCTTTCTAGTCACAGCTTGTATTTAGTGAAATCATTCCTTGATATCAACTCGACTGCAGTCACGCCTGCTTTCAACACTTGTAGATTTACCTTATCTTGACCTGCTTGACTTCCCAGCTGCAGGCTCAGATAGTTGATCACTTCAGGCTCCAGCCCACTTGTAGCTTCTAGAAGAGCTGTCACCAACACTGGGATGTTTGGCTTTAACAGGGCACCTGCATTACGACTGATTTCCAGCAGGGTAGACAATCTGGCATAGATATTCAATTAGTAAATGTTATGTAGTTTTCAGGAAAGAATAAAAACTAGTTACAGATGAAAGTGCGAAACAAAACTCGCAGACATGGACCAAACTTACCATTTACAAAAGCTCTGTAACTGTTTCATTACAAAAGTAACTTTAATAAGGACTTAGGTGAGAATAATTAAATATAGTTGTGTTTTAGAGGTGACGATGAGATCAGGGAATTAGAAGGATAGGTAACAATATTCAAATTGTTTATTGTAACTATATAAGTCACTAGCTAAGAAGAGTAACCCAGATGTTTCGAAAGAGGCAGGTGCTCGAAGACAACTTATCACAAACATCTGATGTGTTGGGTCAAAAATTACAAATGTCACAACCTAGCTTTACTATCTTTTCTATTTACTTTCAATTTCCAAATATGGTCTACTGTACAGTGTAGAGAGGTGCACTCTCCTTGTTAAAGTGGTTAAGCTGTTTGGCTTGTTCTCTGACATCATGGGATCATTTCACAGACTGTGTTATTCAATCACAAGTGCACAGATATCCCAGCTGATCACCACTGGAGCTACAGAGTTTGTGCTCTGTGCAATGCTCTCGGTTAGCTGCTAGACCAAATTATATGGGATAAAACCTGGTGCAATGAAGTCTGTCCTACTGACTGTAAACCTTTTAAACTGTATTCAGTGCAGAACAAATCTAACTATCAAAGTAAAACATCACCATGGAATTGTATGTGTAGTATCTTCTATTACAGAACTTTTAAATGGGTGAATGCAATAAAAAGACTGAAGTTGGACAATATTAAAATTAAGCCTTGAGAAATCTGATTTAAGCGCTATCCTCCACAATAGTAAAAATGTAAAGATCCATTTTCACGCCTTAGGCACATCAGGTATATGGGAAGAGCGTCCCATATTTTTACAGATCAATCGGCACTGGATGGGTAATGTGGTCAGCATTACAAAGGCCGTCATTACTTCCCCAGGACAGCCATCCTGGTACCTATTTTAGGCTGGGTTGACCTGCCCCATACCATGATAAAAATCCACGCAGCTGGCAGTGGGTTTAGATCGCGGTAGGTTGGATTACGCGTCGGACTCGCAACGCCTAAGCCACGGACGCAGCATCCTTCACAAAGTTGATAAATATATCTTAAAGAAAAAAACCAATAACAGTATAATAATCTTTTAAAAGATAGTATTACCAATTATAGAAAACAACCTGACAACTCACCCAATAGCCCTGACCTCTTTTACAGTACTGTGCAGAGAGCACTGCAGCAAACAAGGCAGAATAAGTTTGGTGGCATGTTCACCAACCTTTCCATTGCTCACATCACACATTTTGATGGACACCTATCAAAACCACAATGTTGAGTTATTTAATGGGAAAAAAAGGACCCATTTCCCTGTCTCCGAGCATACTGGGTATACAGTGCTGGACCTATATTTTATAGACCAATCGGCACTAGGTGGGTGATGTGGTCAACTTCATGCTGGAGGCTTTTACTTCCAAAGACTCTACTTAGTACCCGTTCAAGGCTAGGTCAACCTGAGAGCCAAAGTCATTTTTGAAAAAAGGTCAGACTTCATTCAGATCTCAACCCATGCCCTTTGGATCTGCGGGTGAGTGTCTAGCCGCTACACCACGGCAGCTCCAAGTTATTTAATACCATTTCAAATATTCTACAGCCAGTCTGGGAGAACTAGTAGTGCAGTGGCAAGATGTTTTCCTGCAAACCTGAAGGTTTTGGGTTCAAATCCAGATTGTGATGGTTTTTATAATTGAGCTAAAGCTCCCAGGCTGGCCCAGCCTAAAATTCATTACTAGGGAAGCATAAGTGGCTGGCATAATACTGTATCACATCCAAATGATTTATAAAAAATATGCACAATAGTGTTAAAGGATCCTTTACATTTTATTTTCTTATCAGACAAACTGTTCTGACAATCAAACAATACTTGGGACAACCCTGTTGCCCAGAGAAGACTAACTTTGATCACTTCTGGTTGTTGAACCCATAGACACTTGTATGCAGATATATCAGGATGTCTGCAGTGACTTGTTCTCAAAAAGGGTAGTTAAATTCTATTGGTTTTATGTGTGCCTGTGCAGCGCTTTTTACGCCAGGATATAGCATTTAGGAAAAAGCCTTTCCTTATGACACCAATTTTTTTTTTAAAGCCATGTCAAATTTTCCCACACACCTCAGTGATAGAGTTCATTAGGTCATGACATGAGTCACCCGATACATACTTTTAACTCTTCCCTCTGTTTATTTTCATTTATTACCCCTTTTATATATCTTTATTCAGTCTGGAATTTGTTGTGTGTGTGTGGATAAATACAAATTTATTAGTGACCTTTCATTTGTAAAATGGTCATTGCTTCTTTTTAAAGGATTTTCCCAAGAATTCACACAGTTTAATGGCCCATTGTTTTAACTGAGGGGCGAAAGAGTTAAGAAAATTTGTTAGTGTCAGAAACTGAATATCTCTTCTTTCTCTCCTCCCAGCAGGGAACACTGTGTCTACATGACCATAACAAATCTAGTGTCGCTACTGATAGGATCATGCAACTAGGGACATATCATCATCATTATCTTGCTGTGCTATTTCAGGTAATATAGGGCTCATAGTTTATTCCTCCATTTCATTGTATCCTGTACAATCACTTTGATACCATGGAGAAATCTAGTTAAGCACTACTGGCCTCTCTGGAGGGGTAAAACTTTACTGAGAAAGGGACAGGTCACCCCATCGTGCATGTGGTAGTCTAGTATATGTGAAGGTCTAATTCCAATGGTAGTAACTGTTATGCAACTGTCACCTCTATCATCTACTCCCATCTTCCACATTGTATGTCGACATTTCCTGCTACCATTCTCCGATAATAAGAGCTGCAGCAGCTAGATGTTTACCTACTGGCCAGAAGGTTCCAAATCTGCATTGAGTTCGAATTTCTTTCAAAACTGACCTTGGCTCCTTGGTCAACTCAGACAAGGTAAGGTCCTAGGAAGTAAAGGCAGACTGCATGATGCTGACCTCCCTGCTGACTTCCAGTTGGTCTTTAAAAAACTGAGTGATGAAACGGGTCCTTCACTGATTCTTTATTATCCTCTGGTAGTATAATTCACAAGAAAATGAATACAAGTGACGTGAAGTAAGCAAATGCTTACCTTGCTAAGCATCTTACAAGCCTGGTCTGCAGCAAGCCTTACAGACTCCTGGAAAAGATCAGTCATAAAAGCATGAGTTGGATTATATACTGAATATTAAGAAACACAGAACCAGATTTAAAGAGCCTTTAGTAGGCTCCACAGCCAATCAGTTCTCTGTGGCATGTTCATTTAAAAAAAAATAATATCAGGTTAGTAAAGACAGGTCTTGCGATTATCATTATAATCCTCATCACTGTCACAGCCTCATAAGGCTGTGTGTTGTTTGGTCAACAGTTGCTGCTGACTCTCTGATCAGCTCCCTCCATCTATGTCAGTCACATGCATGATTTCTGCATGTTCCAGGCCTGTCTCTTCGGCCAAATTCTATATCCAGATCTTTCTTGGTCTGCCTTTTCTCCACTTCCTCTCTTCAGGACCCAGTAGTTATGTTTTGGAAAGGCCGGTAGATCTTATTACATGTGCATATAAGTGCACTTTTTGTTTTTTTACTGTTGCTAAAACAGGTTCCTAATTGCCAATGTGCTGAGTCATGATATGGCAAACTTCATTATTTGTGAAAGTAAAGGGTCCTTGTCCATGCCATCAAGCGTACTGAGCATACAGGGCTAGACCTATATTTTATAGACTAATCGGCACTCACTGGGTGATGTGGTCAACATCATGCTGACGGCCTTTACTGGGTATCCATTTAAAATTGTATCCATCTGGGAATGAAGGTCATTTCTGAAAACAGTCCGTTACACCGCTCCAGCTCCCTCATCATTTGTGATGTGATCAAAAATTTACTTTCTTCTTCCTTTCTTCACATTCACCAGCTGTAAATTCAGGTGGAAAGTTCTGGTTGTTCATCCACCTCTGGACTTTATCAGTCATGTTCTAGAACCTGAGTTTTGCATGCACATCCATTTTACAGATCTGGATTACCTGTATGCAGACCATTGGTTTCTCGCTTCTCAGGCAGATGCACTCGGATTTTGAAGGAAACACCTAAAATTAGTCAACTTTCACAACATACTTGTTGGGAAGAGTGGGTCTTTTCATTTTTTTCCTAGACAATGAGGCCCTGGAATCCACAAAGGAAGGTCCCAAATTATTAGAAACTTAAAAAAAATACTTAGTGTGCATTTCAGAGTATCGTAAGGTGATAACTAGTCGAGAGTTAGAATTGTGGTCTGACCTTGATATCATCCCTGACTCTCAAGCAGATTTCCCACAGCTCTGGCATGTCATCAACAACATCATCGAGAACTCGCCCTCGCAACAGGTTACTGACTGCCAGACAACTGAAATAGTCATAATCCAGGATGACATAAATACACAGAATAATATGGAGTAGCAAGAATTAATTTTTTAAAGAAGTAACACATACACATGAACCAAAAGCTGCATAGCCCACATGTTTGCTGGGACATACAAAGAGAGCAAAGAAAGTAAAAAAAAAAAGTAAAGGACCCTTTTCCACGCATTTATGGCTTATAGGGCTAGACCCATATTTTATAGACCAATTGGCACAAGATGGGTGATGTAGTCAGCATCATGCCGGCCACCTTTACTTCCTGGGACTGCACCAAGTACCCACTCAAGGCTGGGAGCCAAAGTCATTTTTGAAAAAAGGTCAGGCTCCGCCAGGGAGCTAACCCATGACCTTCTGATCCGCAGGCCACTCCACCACGGCAACTCCTAAGAAAGCAAAGACTAGGGACAATGCCGAACTGATGTGGGTGATCATGTCTCTCCATAATCTGTGTTCTTTAACAGCACGTATCAGTTCATCTGATGACAACTCTCCATGCCACGACATAAGGCCATCAAGAAACATCATGTATCAGTTCATCTGATGACAACTCTCCATGCCACGACATAAGGCCATCAAGAAACATCATGTATCAGTTCATCTGATGACAACTCTCCATGCCACGACATAAGGCCATCAAGAAACAGCATGTATCAGTTCATCTAATGACAACTCTCCATGCCACGACATAAGGCCATCAAGAAACATCATGTATCAGTTCATCTGATGACAACTCTCCATGCCACGACATAAGGCCATCAAGAAACAGCATGTATCAGTTCATCTGATGACAACTCTCCATGCCACGACATAAGGCCATCAAGAAACATCATGTATCAGTTTATCTGATGACAACTCTCCATGCCACGACATAAGGCCATCAAGAAACATCATGTATCAGTTCATCTGATGACAACTCTCCATGCCACGACATAAGGCCATCAAGAAACATCATGTATCAGTTCATCTGATGACAACTCTCCATGCCACGACATAAGGCCATCAAGAAACATCATGTATCAGTTCATCTGATGACAACTCTCCATGCCACGACATATGGCCATCAAGAAACAGCATGTATCAGTTTATCTAATGACAACTCTCCATGCCACGACATAAGGCCATCAAGAAACATCATGTATCAGTTCATCTGATGACAACTCTCCATGCCACAACATAAGGCCATCAAGAAACATCATGTATCAGTTCATCTGATGACAACTCTCCATGCCACGACATATGGCCATCAAGAAACAGCATGTATCAGTTCATCTAATGACAACTCTCCATGCCACGACATAAGGCCATCAAGAAACATCATGTATCAGTTCATCTGATGACAACTCTCCATGCCACGACATAAGGCCATCAAGAAACATCATGTATCAGTTCATCTGATGACAACTCTCCATGCCACGACATAAGGCAATCAAGAAACAGCATGTATCAGTTCATCTGATGACAACTCTCCATGCCACGACATAAGGCCATCAAGAAACAGCATGTATCAGTTCATCTAATGACAACTCTCCATGCCACGACATAAGGCCATCAAGAAACATCATGTATCAGTTCATCTGATGACAGCTCTCCATGCCACGACATAAGGCCATCAAGAAACATCTAGCATTGTCTTCCCCTGTCTCTTTTTCCACAGATCTTTCCAGTGGTCCAGTTTCCTTCATTTGACATATTTAATCTCACTTAATAATCCGTTCTTTTATGGAAAAATTAAAGATATTTCGGTGCAGATATTTCATATCAAAAATAAAAGCTGTAAAAAAAGCAGTCAGTGACAATGTTACCCTGATGCAAAATAAAACATTTATTTAAAAAAAAATCAGTGATGTAACTGACAAGATTTAGCCACTATCTAAAGACAGAGTAATGGAAAACAATTGAAAGAATTAGGATTTTCAGTGGATAGGAAACAGGACTGAAGCATTAATTAACTAGAAAGAAATATAAATTGTAATCAGTTCTCATCAGAAATGATACTGGAGATGTGGTTCAGCAGCAAACAAACCTGGACTCTCGCACACGCCACTGATTGCTGGTTAAGTTCTTCAAAAGGTCATTCAAGATTTGCTTCAGATAAGTGTCCACCTGTCATAATAGAAACACAAACACAAAAAATGGAAATAGTGTCAATGTCCAAAAAATATGATTTTTTTTTCCTAAAAAAAAAAAAAAAAGAAACAGTGTCAATCTCTAATAAATGAGATAAAAACATTGTCTAATATAAGAATAAGAAATATACAAATAGCATTCATCAATATAATAAAATATTACCATAATATGTTTTTCATATTGAGAGATTTCCATTTATTTTAATAAACAAACATCTTTTGTTTAAAATAAGTTTACAATTCCAAACTGAGAAGAATTAATAAGAATTAATAACATGGAGAAATAAATATAAATATCATAAATATATATAAATATCACAAGAAGAGTGGAAATTCCCTTGTGGGGAAAATTGCATTTGTAGGAGTTTCTGTACTGGTCTGAACGGTGGAAGACATGTAATTAAATTATGAAAAAAAGATTAGGCAGTGGAGATGTGTTTTTGAAAATAATGTTAGGAACATTGTATAGTGAGAAGTGAAGCAAACCTTGCTAGGAATCACTAGATAATTTTTTTTAATCCATGAATTAAACCAAACAAAAAAATTTATTTTAATGACGGGCACCAGCGAAGAGGTGAAATAAGGAAATAAGCCTTGTGCTGAAAAACATTAAAAAGGAAACGGTAGAAAAATATGTATGTGTGGAGTGTTTAAACAGTTGGAAAATAAATAATAATACAAGCAACATCTGCTTTAACCTTTAAAAATCAAATGACAGGCAGAATAGAAAAGTCATGATTAACATTCATGAAAGATCAGGAACCTAAAGTAAAAGAAACTGAAACGCTGAAACAGAATATGAAAAAAAACCTATTGGTGCTAAATTATAATGCCAACAATGTTTATACACACAGTTAAAAAATAAAAATAAAAACTATTAGACCGTGTGTAAATTTACAATACACAGCCCTAAAATTAAGGATATCTTTCTTTACCAGAGTGTTAAAATGTTTGGCTCTTCTTTAAATAACGGTCGCTAGCTGGAAGGCGACGGTCGCTTAGTCGGAGTTCACTACCTTGGCTGCAGTGCAAATACGGAGTGGACAAGTCACGAATCAAAAACATTGTGGATGCTACTCAAACGGACAATTCGCCATCAATTGGGCACTAGCCGCGCGCTATTGTCGTCATATTTAGGAGTATTCCAGTGGCGCAACTCCCACAAGCAGCACATTGTCGGCCATTATTTGGAACTCCTGCGTCAAAATTTTCACATATAGCGGCCGTTATTATAGGTAAGTACTCGACACTACATGTGTTACCCTAACCCTAACCCTAACCCAAATCCTAACCCAAACCCTACCCCTAACCCAAACCCTAACCCTAGCCTAACCCTAAGCAACCGTAGCATGACAGGTAAGTATGACATTTGTTTCGTTCCCTCTTTACCACTCCGTATTTGCACTGCAGCCAAGGGAGTGAACTGTGTCTAAGCGACCGTCGCCTTCCAGCTAGCGACCGTTAAATATATCAGAATCTACTTACTTTTGTAATCTACTTACTAATTAACTGCAAATGAAATTATACTAATATAGAGGTTTACTTTTCTCAAGAGTACAGTTTAACAGTTTGCTGCTACAACTACATAAAATATCTGCCAACTTCATGTAAGTGTGTGCATGTATGTGTGTGTGTGTGGGACTAGCACCATTAGCTGTAGGACACTAATGTGTACATTAAGAGGGGATCTGAGCATCTAAGCATCTATGGATGTGTCTAGAGCGCTGTTAGGATGGTGCAGATGATAACTCATAATTCATGTGCGCATGCGTGTGCGTGCTTGTGTGTGTGGGTGGGGGAGCCACGCACAAAATGTGTCCAGAAATACAATGATTATTAGAATTACTGACAACTGTAACCAACATCCTATTACACAGTGTACTTTTTTAATGTGCTCTAACACTCACAGTTTTCTTGTTGTCCTGAACTAGAACATTCCAAATACCAGAAATGGCCTGTTGTATCTTGGGGTTGGGATCAAACTGATAGCGATACAGTCGTGGTACAATCTGTGTCAAATATGGAGCAAGTTGTTCTCCAGCCTGTGCAGCGATGGTGGAGAAACCAACTGCTGCGCCCTAGGATGAAAAAATAGTATACACTTAAACCATAGCTGAATGCTATGAAGGTAATTATTAAACAAACATTCATTTCAGACAGCAGCTGAATTTGATAATAAGAGTAACTTCTTAACACTCAATAATTAACATCTCCTAATTTAATTAGCAATAGATCCCTTGTAGCACTGTCAATGTCTGTATTCCTAGCCTGTAGTGTCTAAAGGAGCAAAGGCAATCCCTTCTCCTGCAGGCTGATGACAGTTCTCTTCTTCTTTTCAACCCATCTAAAATTTCTTTGGTGAAAGATAAAACAGATCTTCTTAGCGTTCACCTGCCGTAAACTCTGGCAGAAAGTTCCTGTTGGTCGCCAACTTGTGGAGTTTGTCATTTCCACTTGAGTGTTGCGTGCATATCCATTTTATAGATCTGGTTTATTTGTGTGCAGACTGCTGGTTCCTCGCTTCTCAGGCAAATGCACTCTGGCTTTGAAGGACATCTACTAATTAATCACCTTTTATGACATGCTTGCTAGGGAAGCAGTGGGTCTATTCTTCCATCCATCCCCCTCCTCCCACCCCCACAAATGGTGTCCATGAACCCACAAAGAGAATAAGACAGATAAGATGATAAGAAAAGTTAAAGAAGATAAGAAAGATTATGTGTGTGTGTGTGTGGGGGGGGGGGGGGGGGGGGGATCCATGGTGAATGGTCAAGCTTTTTGCCTTGAGCTCGAAAGGTCATCGGTTTATTTCCCAGACGTGTCATTCAGTTCATGAATGCAATTTTTATGGGGATCCTTGGGAACTGTTACTGCAGCTATAGAGTCTGTGCTTTGTGTGACACTCTTGGTGAATAAAGACAGAGATCAATGAGATAACCTGGGGTAATGAAGTCAATCCTTTGTTGACTTTAACTTTAATCCTTCTGTGACAGATTTGAGAAAAGACGTCTACAGTGAGCTAGGAAAAGTGATTAATCCTCAGTTCAGTCCGGAGTTTTGTCATTGTGCTCTAAATACTTCTAAAGGTGCCCTGATCTCATTTGAAATTCTAATTAGTTAGACTGAACATCAAATTTTAAGTCCTCATTTTGCCCAAACCTCTGTTGTCAGCTCAGCACATTAGTCAACTTTCTGATACAGTAGCAATGCCAGCGAGCCCTTTTTGCTCTTTAACTGTCCATCCACCATAATGACTATAAAACCCACTTTTATAACTGCATATACAAATGTTTAAAGATCCGACAAAAGACAGAAAAGCTAAGTACTGAAGTTGAATATCATTTTGGAAATTTAATAAACTATTCATTTTACTTTTGAATGTATTGTTCAAATATACTTTTGAAAAATATTATAGCTCTAATCCTGTATGCAGACAAAAACATTAATGTAGTTGATTTTCCCAGAAGGCCATGTCATGGCATTCTACTGTCACTACAAAACGTTTTCAAGCCAGGTCTGCACAGACTTATTTTAACTTGTTATCGAGGATAAGTCGGCTCTGTGGCTAAGTCGATGCGAACGCTTTGTAATGCCGGGATGCCGGGTTTGATCCCAGCTGTGGGCCATGCGCCTTGCGTTGGTTTTGACAGTGGTATCAAGAAAGCTGACCGTCCAGAAAACAATGGCAAACTGCCAGGGGCTGTTGGGGATGGTTCTGCAACGTCCTGTTAAGGATACGCAACTAACCTATCGAGGATAAGCAGGTATGCAAAGTAATGAGTAGACTTATAGACTGGCTACTGTCATATCTAAGGGTGGCTAGCTACCTATAAGGTAAATGTAGTGAAGACTTTCAAGGATCAAGTAGACAGAAACAAAACAGAGTATCCATAATTGCCAAGATGTTTGGAGGACAGTGGGCACAGGATCTGGATGATGCTCAATGCAAAGGAAAAAAAAGGGGAATTTTAATCAAGTTGTTATTGGCACAGTCAGTTGAAGAATGTGATGAAGCATGTGACGGAATGCCTCAAGTAAAGTAATATAAATTCTTGACTTATTCACTCCTATTAATTGACATTTAATAAAAGCTATGAGGACACTGAGTATCAAAAGCATTATAAATTCAAACAGTTCACATTATATTGATTGAGGGGTGATCCATAGGCTCTGACTATGAAAGAAATTACCCAGAAAGCTGAAATTTGGTAGTGTTTATTCCTTTTCAATTTAGCCACTTGCCAAATTAAAAAATTTTCTAGTTCTGCCATTTCTGCTTGACCTTGAAAACACCTTGGGACCTGAAAACCCTTTTTGTCAAGCCAAACCAGTTATCAAACGTCAGTGTGACCTCTTTATCAATGGGAAACTTAATTCCTTTTATCTGTTTTTAAAGTTTTGGGAATGTCAAAAAAGTCTGAGGGTGCCAGATTTGGCGAATATGGTGAATGAGGAAAAACTTTAATTTTCAAACTGTTGGCTGTTAGCTGCACTATCCCTGCTTTGTGAGAAGGATCGTTGTCCTGAAGCAAAGGGAGAGTCAGAGTGCAGGCGATCCCTTGTTTTCTCATCACAACCTTTCTCATTTTTGTAAGTAGACCTGATTTATAATGCCCATTAACAGACTGACCTCGAAGCAGGTTTACTTGCAAAACAACACATTTGGCATCCCAAAAAAACTGTCAGCATTACCTTCCCTGCAATGTGTGCTCTTTCTTTGACATGTGTTGGGGAAAACAGAATTTTCCAGTGCATGCTTGCAATTTTGGATTGGGGGTCAACATGGTGAACCCAAGTCTCATATACTGTCACCTGAGGTCGCCTTAGTCATCAATATATTTTCTGAAGACTCTTTTTGAGTAACTGTCGACAGCACATTACCCTCATTACCTTCTTTTAAGGTGTTAGCAGGAAAGGAACTCAGTGAGCACCCACTTTTCTCCTGTTCACTTTGTTGTGTAAAATTATAGCACCTGTACTTTTACTCAGTTTAACTGCACTATAAATATCCTCAGTGGTCATTTTCCGTTCTTGGTCAATGATTTTCTTCACTTTTCTCTTTTTTCTTCAGTGCACTCTGAGGACAGTCTTACGCATCTTGGCATATCAACAACATTTGTGCGACCACACTTACACTATCTGCACCAATGTTTTATCGAAGCATATGAAGAACAGGATTTCTGAAATAGTAGTTCCACCTTCCTGTATATTTCTGCTGGTGTTTTACCCTGCAACATCAGGAATTTAATCACAGCTCTGGTATCTGATGGCTCCCTTAGTGGTGAAAAATTTACGCAGTAGATCCAGTCAACAGGGTGTACTGCTTTGTGCGCCATAACAGAAAAACCTGTCAAAGGATCAACTGCAAAACTTCTCATTTTTAGTTACAATATAATGAGCTATAAACACACCAAGTTTCATTTTATTTCCCGGTGACTTTTACATAGTCAGGGTAAAGACTTATGGATAACCCCCCGTATATACAGGCATAAATTTCATACACTAAAAATCCTGAATGTTTACCTTGCGTGCATTCCACATTGCATTATGATTAGCCAGGTTCATGAACTTATAGATGAGGTCAGGCTGGTTCAAGTCTGTAGCTATAGCACACAACTCTTTATAAGTAGAAAGCTCTCCCCTAATGAAAGCAAAAATAAATAAGTGATGCAGCATTTGATTATTTTTGCTGATATCACAAATTTTTCATTCAATGCCATATCCAATTTCTACTTTCGCCATTGAGTGTCGTGGGGGAGGTACAAACTGTGATCAATTTCTCAATGAGTAGCACTGGATACTGTCATTCTGTGTTGATGCAGAATGTCTTTAATGTTAACAATCTATGTTCTCCTTGGGTACCTTCTTGCTTTCACACCAGATCTTCTTAGGTATTGCACCTGCACTGGTAGTTGTTGTGGCTGCATTCTGACAAGATGACCAAATCATTTGATCTTCTGCTTCTGAAAGAATGTGGTGCACAGTTGTCCCACAGTCTGTCTGACAGTATGATATCTCACCCTGTCTTAGATAATTAAGCTGTTGGCTTTCTTCAGGCATCTCATCTGGTAATTTTATGGAGGTTAGCCTTTGATGATGTCCAAGTCTGGTACAGTCTGGTCTTATATTTGTATGAACACAACCAACAGCATTAACTATGTGTCTCCTAAACACGTCGCAGTAGAAAAGTCGGTAAAGGGCTTCTTGGGCTGACAGGGTTAAAACACTTCTTGGTGTTTTGGGATAACAAGAGTCCCACTGTGGAAGATATCCGTACCTCACCATGTAACAATCCCACAGGCCGAAGTGGCACACTGTAGTCAACCTTTATTGTGGAGACGGCACATATGTTTTTAGTGACACACATACATTAGTAACACAAGTGGTGCTGTATTCACATGTAAATTAGTACACATAAGTGGCTGCTGTGTACATAAGACATTTACCCTGGTACATACAAGTGGTGCTGTATTCATATGTACAAACAGCTGCTGTGTACGCAAGACATGTACATTAGTACACACAAGTGGTTGATGTGTACACAAGACATGTACATTAGTACACACAGGTGGCTGCTGTGTCCACAAAACATGTACATTAGTACACATAAGTAGCTGCTGTGTACACGAGTCTAAAAGCGTAATAGCCTTGAGTTTTTTAGTGGCTGGAGTATGTACAATTTCTCAAACAATATCTAAGATGCAATGCATTACTAACTCAGACATGGTCTAAGTTTTTGCATATAAGCTTTTCAGAGAGCAAAGGACAATGACCAAGACTTACGTCTCATGCATCACTTCACTACCAAGTGGTGGTGAACCAGCCAATCTGTCTGTCTGATCATTTCTCAACATACCTACATGCCTGGAGAAATGCCAGCTACCTGGGACCTCTAAAGCAATGTTTGCCAGTCTGCATGGAGCATGGGTGTCTCAACCTTTTTCAACATGCTTTGTGAGTCAGTTACAATCATGACATGTGAGTGTGAAGCTTATTCTCAAGCCATCAAAAAGCTGCTACCACCTCCATTCTTAAATTGCATTTAGTATTTATCTAAAAATGCCGGTTGTTTACTCTTTAGGTTCCAGACAAAGCATGATAGCCAAACCAAGCATGATGTGTCTGTTATTATTCCCTGTGATCCAAACATCATCTACTGTGTTCTCTTATTTTCTTAATTTGGTTGCAGCATATGAAAGAAATCTGGCTTCCCAACTGGTCATTTATGTTACGTATATAACCTTATTTTTAAAAGTAATATGACATGAGGATTATATCCACTAGTGGTTTTCTGCTGCAAAAACATCAACAGCAACACAGAACAAATTAAAAAAAACTGTAAAATAAATTTATAATATTACAAAATCTCACCCATCTGGTGCTTTACCCAGAGCACCACTCTGAAATACTGTAGTGTCTGCATTAACTTCAGTCCTAGATCTGTTGACAGATATTATTTAAAAAAACAGAACCATTAGATAAAATGGAAATAAAAAATATCACTGACTTCTAAGTGCTATAGTGTGTTTCAAAAGTCATTCCCAACTTTACAGATTTATAACTCAGTAACTGATTGGTGTAAATTGTTAAAATCTGGCATGCAACCTGGTAATAATTCTGTCCTTGTAGGAAAACAATTATAAATGTAAACATCTAGTTTTGTTTTATTTGTTTATTACTGTGCCTTATTTTTGGATTACAAAGTAAGTAAAGGAGACTTTTCCTCGCCTTTCAGGTATTTTGGGCATATCGGCTGGCCTATATTTTATAGACCAAATGGCACTTGGTGGGTAATGTGGTCAGCATCACCCCGGCGGCCTTATTTCCAGGACTGTACCTGGTACCCACTCAGGCTGGGTCGACCTGGGAAGAAAGGACATTTAAAAAAAAAATCCAGCCCTTATCAGAAACTGAACCCACAACCTTCTGATCCGCAGGTGAGCATCTAGTTGCTAGACCATGGTCACTCCTCCATCGCTATCTTTTATTTTACTGAATTAAAAAAAACAAATTTTTTTTAAAACGTTGGAAGTGTATGACATAGCTGCTTTGAACATCTACATGAGGCTGTCATTATTTTAGAACACTTCTCCCAGTTGTTTTTATTTCTCAGCATCTTTAGACTGTACTGGGGCAACTACTTTACTGTGAGCAACATTTTCCTGTATGTTGCCTGAGAACACCAACTAGAAAAAGACGTTTTCAAGGTTTAAATATTTAAGATAATTGAAATCAACTGATAAGTGTAATGAAACTCTTTGAAATGTTTCTTGAAACTGATTAACACAAGTAAAAATGAAAAAATCCACACACACACACACACACACACACAAAAGAATATTCTTCTTCTTCTCTACGTCATTTATTTTATCGCTTCCAGTGTCGAGGGAGATATAAGGTTCTTGCTGCTTCGACCATAGACACATCATGGTGCTGTAGAGTTTCTTTGATGTTATCTTCCCATCTCGTTCTTGGTTTATCTTATGTTCTACGTCCCTCTCTATTTTGGTATATGCCTTGTATGGTGTAGCTTCAGGCGGCATTCTCTCCAAGAGGGTAAATTATTTGATTTGCTGTCTGTGTATGTAATTTAGGATTGGTTCTGTGCCGACTTTCTCTCGTATGACCTCAATCCTAATTTGTATCTCCTCTGGTCACTCCTAGTCTTTCTCAGACACCTCATTTCCACAGTTACTAATTTTCTTTTATGTTTTGTTGTGAGTGACAAGGTCTTGCATTGGTAGCAAAGGGTGGGAATGAATATGCTTTGTATAAGATGTTTCTCTGTGCTTACTGCGATTGCCTTATGCTGTAAGAGCAGCCTTGCTGTCCAATTTACCATCTTTAGAACATTCACATGTATATTTAAAAAAAAGGCAATCCCAGTGTAAAACTATACATTTGAGTGAACATTCACAAACACACACACAGAGCAATACCTCTTGCCTGTCATGAGTGTTTCCACCAACTCAGAGACAAGTTTGTCTTTCTGTTCTGGCGTGCACACCTCTATAACTTGACCAAGACCTTTACTTGCCAAATCTTGTGTGATTTCTGCATTTTATGACAGAACCATATTTATGGTACATACTGAATTAAGATGAATTATAAATGAACTAATATAATGTCTAATTGTCAGATTTTATATCAATGAACAGCAACATATATTTATTTCATAGTTACATCAATGAAACAGTCACTGAGATTCCATAATTATTTTTCATAGTTATAATGATAAAACAAGAGACTAGGTGAAAAACTGGAACATTTGACAACTGGAAAGATATACAGGAAGACAGATCGATCACAAACATAGATAGAGAGAAGATCTGTGTCCGCTTATTGCTGAGGCATGGATATGTGTCAACATATAAAATGATATCTGCTGTTGAAGATCATAAGATGAGGAGAAGAAGGACAGTCCATGTCAGTCGACAAGGAGCTTGAAATCTTCTTGGTCAGCTGTTACCAACTCAGGTATTCGGGATGTTTTTGTCACCATGTGAAGAGCCATGGTGGTGTAGTGGGCGTTTGCCTGCTAGCTTACAGGTATTCGGTGTGAAACTGCATTGTCACTTCAAGCTTGAAAACGGACCCTGGTTTCCAGGCTGAACCAACCTCAAATACTCACCAGGTAATGTCCTGGGAAGTAAAGGTGACCGGTGTTGTTGACCACATCACCCACCTAGTGTTGACTGGTCTAAAAAATATAAGTAGCATCTTTTGCCCAATGCACCACTGGTGTAAAAAGGGTCCTCTATTTCACCACCAATGTAGCCGGGGGGTTAGTATCAACCAACAGTTGTCAGAGATTTGTCAATGTTTCCAGCCTGGATATTTAATCCTTCTGTACCATTATACACCACACTGAGCTCACGGTGGATTCCTCTGTTCTGTTCTATCTTGTGCAGTTCTTGATGTCAGGTATAGAGTCTGGCACTTCTGGCCTTTCTCTTTAATGTTTGTCATTCAGTTTCTCTTAGACAACTTCGCTGCCTCAAATCCATTCATATTTCAGTGCATGTTTTGTCCTCTCTCTCTCTCTCTCTCTCTCTCTCTCTCGTGTGTGTGTGTGTGTGTGTGCGTTCATGTGTGTGTGGGGGGAGGGGTGGTTGTCTCAGGATATCCCCATATATCAGATCTTCTTTCTCTAATAACAATTGGAAAGGGGGAGTGGGTGTTGTCATAGTTTTCGTGCATTTACCTACCAGTGGTTTTGATATTTTTATCACCACTACGGCTTGTAAAACAAATATCAGAGATTTATCTGGCAAACATGCAGGTGGACAAATTTTCTGCTGCATTGTTGCCAAAAAGAACGACGTACATATTCTGAAAGTCCTAAAGGCTCATGAAAGAACGTTACTTTTAATTTTCATGTTTAAATAAAATGTTATATGTTTTTGTCCACAACATTACACAATGAATTTTTTTTAAATGTCATATTTATGTTTTTTAAATATGTGTACCATGAAATGAGTGCTAAGATGTGTGTCTGTGTGTGTGTCTGTGTCTGTGTGTGATGAGTAGAAGATTAGTATTATTATATCAGTTACTGGTCCTGTTTGCTTAGGTAATGATTTATTTAAGTTCTAGAGGTCAAAATCCTTATTTGGGTTCCTGGGTCTGCTGTTTTTATTGGGGGGGGGGGGGGAGGGACAGACCCACTGCCTATGTAACAAGCATGTTAGAAAAGATGACTAATTAGAGATTTTTCCTCCAAATTCAGAGCTCTTCAGACTAAAGTAGGCCAGATATGTAAAAGGGATGTGCACGCAAAATTTAAATTCTACTACAACAAGACTGAAGTCTAGAAGTGGTTGAACAACCAGAGCTTTCTGTCAGAGTTAATAGCTGGAGAACGGTTAAAAAAAGAAGAAAAGGTCAGAAGTGTTTCTGTGACAGTTCCTTCAGAATAGTCTAAATTTGTCCTCCAAAAATATAAAAATTTAATCAAATAATTTGTTGCATACAGTTTTTCCTTGTACATATTTAACTACACAAATACAGACATATACTACTTCTAAAACAGAATGATCTAGAAAGATAGAAGTGGCTAAACTTTATTCAGCCAATGGTTACACAACATAGTTACCATCGTTCTCAGATAACATCATCATGAATGCTCTCTGAATGTCCAGCAGTGATTCTTGCACTGCACGGTGATGACCCGCCTGGCGCATCAAAGTTAACAGCCAGACACAAGCACCCTAACCCAGAAAGAATTATATCTATTAAACTATCACGTCATTACTTCATTTAACAGTAAACAAAGACAAATTTACATTTGATTAAAGCTCTTGTTAAAAAGAGGGAAGCCGCAGTGGTGTAGCAAATAGACGCCTGCTTACGGATCTGAAGGTCGTGGGTTCAAATCCAAAGGGGTGCTAAATTTTTTTTTAAATGACCTTGGCTGTCAGGTTGACTCAGCCTTAAATGGGTACCAGGTAAAATCCTGGAAAGTAAAGGTGGCTGGTGTGATGCTGACCACATCATTTACAAGTGCCGACTGTTCTATAAACTACAGGTCCAGCCCTATATGCCCAATACGCCTGAAGGCATGGACAATTTATATATTTTTTCTAGATAAAATGTCCCTTTTCTGAAGAAATCTATTGCAAGTTGATAAAAAAAAAAAAAGCGAATAAGTCCAACATGTTGTGGTCTGGTTTCTTTATGCCAAGTGTACTGGCTAGGATATGTTATTTGTGCCCAATAAAATGGGTTTCATCAGTTTCTGTGCCAATTAGCCTATAAAACTACAGGTCTAGCACCATATGTCTAATGCACCAAAAAGGTCCCTTTCTCTACTTTTTACTTTAAAAAAGGAAGGACTGAAGGTATTGATACAAAAAAAAAAAAACTACCAGGGTTTTTTTCTCGCAGCAAAAGCATCATTCTTTTTAGGGCTATCATAACAGACACTTTATGGTGAGTGTCAGCAGTTGCTTATTTTCTTTTCTTCCTTTTTTTTTTTTGTTAATGCAAAAGCCCTGCAAACTACAATTTGTTAACCTGATATTTAAAGCTTAATGACGAGTTACTGAAGTCCTTGTGTTAGTGAAGCCTATAAGGGTAGCAAAGAATAATACCACTTAACTTAAACATGTTAAATGTCTGAATAACAGCTTGTATCAACCATTATAGAAAAAAAGGCCGTTACATTGGAAATCACTAATCAGGCTCTGAAATAAGAAGCAAATGGACTGAGGAAACAAGGGCACACAAGAGTAACTCTATGATGTAGGTTGCTGAGATAGGCCAAAAGTGCTGAACTGGATTTTATTCATGATATTGAAAGGATTGGACAGGAAGAACAGAATGGAGGAATAGACTTCAAGCCCTATGTGGCATTAAACAACATGACAGGATCATGATGATGATGATGATGATGCTGACGATGATGATGACAATGATGACGATGATAACAAAGACGACATAATGATGAACCTATAATGCATGTTGTAAGAGGCCCTTAATGAGGGGTTGGTTTCACATGTACTATTTGACTCCACACAGCTAAAAAAAATGTCAACCAATCAGGAACAGAGTAGCACAAGTTGGCTGAGGGCCTATGCTCTATTGGGAGATAAAAGGCTGATAAAGGAAAGGAATGAACTCTAAACATATTATTACCCCAAAAGGTAATTATTTCAAGCAGTATTCTTGGATTGGAAGAAAGTATTTCTGCCTGCACATAGTTCTTGGATCAACAATGGCTCTTAAAACAAAAAAGATAGGAAGAAAATAAAAGGAAGCAAAACATCCATCTGATATTTTCATGACTAGTATATGTGAAGTTCTATTATTCACACAGTGGTGGTTAATCTAATATGAGTTACTTTTACTAGAGATACTGATAATCCACCATATTGGGCAGCAGATTACTTTGTTACTGTAGGGTGCCCGATGTTTTATACAGCTGAACAAGGCTTCTTGGTTTGTTCCCTAGGGATTTGCATCAAAAGTATATTGTGTGTCAATTTTCAAGGGTGCAATCCTAGGGGGAAATAAGTGTTTAAAATATTAAAAAGGTGTTCTTGCGCCCTATAAACTGAATACAGGAAGTACTCTCAAACAGACAACTTATACCTGTCTCAAGTGCGGGTTGGAGTGCCGGATGTATTTTGAAAGAAGCTCCTTGAGAAACCAGTCTACTTCATCTTTCATGTCTTTAACATTTTTCTGTACAGGAAAATGATCACAATAAACATGATACAGTTAAATAGTAATACTGAGATAAGAGGAGTGAAAATACTTTAACAAAATCATAGCAGCATCAGTAAGGCAAGTATTCAGCAATTTTATTTAAAAATCCCACCCTATGTCTTGACTAATCTAAAGTAAACATTTCTCACAGTTACCTCAACCTGATCATAAGTGAACTTTACTCAACTAAAGTTAGAGCAACAGATCCTAAATCGACCCAGCCTTGAAGGGTACCCACAAAGTGCTGATTGGTCTGTAAAATATAGATCTAGCCCTGTATGCCTAATACACCTGAAGGCATGGAAAAAGGTCCTTTACTTACTTACTTTATTATGCGAACGAAAGAAGAACTTACTACTTTAGCTAACCCATCAAGTGGGTAAAATGGATTTTCCCAGTCCCTTCCACAGTGGGTACTTTTATTCCAGACTGTTTAGTAAATGAAGAAAGTTTAGAAATGTTTGGTTAAGTTGATTTTTTCTAAAAATTGACATCACAGTGCTTGGAACATTCCCATAAGCGTCCTGTTCTCATCTCCAGCAGTCAGTGAAGAGTTTGAATGCTAACGTTGCCAGCATCAGTCTGATTATATGTCAGCGGTGTCTTTTCACTGAGATCCCTAGATCCCTTGGCCACTCTATACTGCAGCATTCTCTCCACACTTTTATTTTATGTTTACACTTCACCTTTGCTCACTTGCTCCCAAGCAGCCTTGACCACATACAGCTTGTCAGCAGCACCAGGCAATGTGTGTGTATATGTGCTTCCCATCACACCTGCAGGGCTCATTAAAAAAATATCCAATGGAAGCTAACTACCAGCTACTGCCTTATGGACGGAGCATGCCTTTCTCAACATGCTATGTGAAGTATGTTACAATCTCAAACCAGCGAAAGGCTGCAATGACCACCTCCACCTCCATTCTCAAACTAGATGTTGTGGTACCATATGCTAGGATTTGGTGCACTATGCAACCTCTATTTGGTTTTAGTTGACCCCCCAAGCTATTCTTCTGCCTCTCAGCATAGATCCATCTGTATAGATAAACACATCACCTGGGTAGGAATTGTCCTAAATCAGTTGTTTCCAGCCCTGCAGTTTCAGCTCAACAAGAATCGAACACAAGTATGATTGTTGCTCTGACACTTTGGCTCACTTCTCTCCTAGCCTAATATTATGAAGTATGCACACACTGAAAATGACATTTATACTAGTGGGTACATTCCTAATGACCTATTAAAATCTATATTTATTTCTCTGCCGGAAAAAAAAAACAGGCACTTTAAAATGTGAAGACTATTGCACCATAAGTCTTATGGGTCATGTGACCAAAATGTTACAGAGAATAATGATGAGAATCAGAAAAAAGATTAAACCAGAAATTAGTGAAGAACAGTGCAGATTTGTGAAAGGAAAAGGTACAAACAATGCCACAGACATCCTCAGGACTCTTCCGGTAAGAGTTATAGAAGTAAAAAACGATCTTTACCTATGCTTCATTGACTATACGAAAGCAATTAATTGTGTGAAACATGAAGAAATAATCAAACTACTGGAAAAATTAAACACTGATGGAAAAGATTTACGAATTATAAAGAGCATGTACTGGCAGCAAACAGCAGCTATAAGAACTGACAACCATTTGGGAAAATTTCTGAGCATAAAGAGGGGAGTACAAGAAGGATGTGTACAATCACTTGATTTGTTTTCATTGTACAGTGAATATTTAATGAGGACTATCATGAATATGCCAGGAATTGTGGTTGGTGGTCATTACATTAACAACCTGTGTTATGCAGATGACACTGTTATGAAAGCAACAAGTCAGAAAGAACTACAGGAATTAACATATATGGTGGTGGTAAAAATTGATAAAATGGGCCTCAGTTTTAACAATGGGAAGACAGAAGTAATAGTTATTTCCAAGAAAGAATAGTGCCTAAATGTACAATAAGAGTCAAAGGCGTTATTTTAGGACAAGTACAGACATTTAGGTGTTTGGGCATATGGATAACATCGGATGGAAAATGTATCACAGAGATAAAGAACAGAATAGGACAGGCCAGAACTGACTTTTATAAAATGAAGAACATTTTGTGCAATAAATCTATGTCAATCGAGGTTAGAAAAAAAGAATTCTTGCAAGCTATATTTAGCTGGTTTTAACATACGGCTGTAAAACCTGGACAATCAATAAACAAGCCAAACGATATCTTGAGGCCTCAGAGATTTAATTTTACAGAAGAATCCTTATAATTCCTTGGACAGCTAAGAAGAGTAACCCAGATGTTTTGAAAGAGGCCTGTGCTTGAAGACAACTTATCATAAAAATCAGAAAGAGACAGTCTCCATTTTTTGGTCACGTTATGAGAAGAGGAAAAATGGAGCATGTTGTGACCATTGGAAAGATATGTGGAAAGAGAAACATAGGAATAGAGCGCAGGAAGATTCTTAACAGCCTTCTGTCATAGCATGGAGTGGTGTCAACACAGGAACTGATACACGCAGTTGCGGATCGCAGATTGTGGATAGGCATGATAGCCCACACCATTCGGCAAGGCACTTGATGTTGATGATGGCTGATAATAGTTTAAACAATAATAATCATAATAACAATTAGTAATTATTTTCCCTGTGAAAAAAATTCTAAAGCATGGAGCTGCACACAAAGATGCTCTAAATTCTCATGCATCAAGAGGAGGATACTTTCCAACGTCCTTTATTTGTGCATATGACATCTTCTTGTTGTTTGGTTTTGGATGTGTTTAGTTAGAAAAACCTGGAAAATGTCTAAAAAAAGACTAGTTGCTTTTGGTGGTATAGATGGCCAACCTGATGTCCCTTGGGGTGGACGGACAACGTCTAACTGCTTGCCAAGAGTTATCATGAAATCCATTCTTGATTTCTTTTGGCTGTCATTCTTATGCACAAAAGCATTGAGGCTATATGACGAACAGTGGGAATCTCTTTAGAAATTAGAAAGCTGTGACGAACTTAGATGAGAAGCACATAATATGAAACCAAGAATCATTATTATTGCGAATACCAAATACAAATTCATGAAGCACTATCCTCAGGAAGGATAACCACAAAAAGATCAAAAGTACAACAAAATGCTTTCATTGGCTAGTTGAATGTGATCAACAGTTTTTTTCTTCAAGCAAACAAGTGAAGAGTTGGATTTCTTTTCATTCATAACTTTTATGAAATTCATTACACTGGTGAAATTCTTTTCTGAAATGCATTACGTTTCCAGTTGTTTCCATCTGTGAAAAGTTTCATTTATCTTCCAGAGGATACAAAATTCCCTAATATCCACTCAAGAGGTCTATTAAATGGAGTAAACTCTAATAAAAACAATAACTCTAGCTCATCATCATCATCATGTGCCCTGCCAACTGGCGTAGGCGTTCATGCGTCTCCACAGATCACGATCCCTTTTTGTCTGGAACAGCTCTCTTGATGATATCCCTCCATGCCATCGTTTCAGCCCATCCAGCATCGTTTCTCTTGGTCTGCCTCTACCAATTTCTCCACAGATTTTTTTTGTCACAATGTTTTCCAATGTCTGTCTTCTCATTACGTGGCCAAAGAACAGTGATTGTCTCTTTCTTATTATTGTATGTAGAGATCTACTTTCATTATCTTTTTTCAAACAATCATTGTTAGTTGAGCTACAACTCAAGCTACAAGCATGCAATTCATCAATCCACTATCTATCGCAGGTAGAAAATGGAGGATGGATATATGCATCACACCCACTGGCCATAGTGGATGTTATTTCCATTTAAGTAGTTAAGTAAAGCTTTCATACATAATGTTATTGAATGGATCTTAGACATTATCCCTTTCACCAGCTTGGCATGGCGCTTGATGACGATGATGATTAATAACATACCTGATGATCTTCTTTGGATGTGGTCCAGGCACATCTTGCTCTAGGTGAGGTTGGACCCATTGCCATGTCCACCAGTGCTTGACCAATTGTGAAATGAAGTTCCACTTGTTTAGTCTGTATGATTAAATACATTGTTATAGATTCAAGAAAAAAACAATGCAGATGACACATGCTATTTATAATTAAGATAAATTTGTCACCTGAACAAGAATCGCCAGTTGAAATTACAGTGTCATGAAATAAATATGGAGATTCTTCTTCAACATTCCGAGCCCCTGAGTTTCATTGCTGCAGATATCATCTGCCTCCGTCATCTCTGTGGGTGGCCTTCTCTTTCCAGTTAGTGACTTTAAGTGTTTATAGGTCTGCTTGTATTTTATTTATCAACTGATTCATCGGTCAACCTCTTGGTCTACTCCTATGGAGATGTCCTTGACAATAATGAAACCTCTCCCTCGATTTCTCTTTTATCGATCCATACAGACAGAAACATAAGAGCAATATACATAGACAGAGGGAATTATAAAAATACTTGTACAATCTGTCTATTGAGTGTTTAATCAACAATAAAGGCAGTCTGCAAGGGATCTCAAAATGGGCTGAAGGGTGCTGTAAGCCACAATAGAATAGGAAAACTACTTTTTAAGGGTTAATGCTAATAAAACATGATGCAGAAAAAGAAAGCCTGCCCAAAAACTATATATATATATAGCATCTATTTTACTGGAGTACATACACATATTGGGATCTTTGCCAGTGCTGGAGAGCTTGTGCATTTAACACAGGTTTTTGTTATGTGATTTTTAGAGGACGAGCATTATGGGGATACTTGTGGCAATGAAAGTGATCCTTTAATAAACAAAACCAAATACACTACTAAAGTTTAACTAGAGAAAACAAAAAACAATATCTGTGTATTTACTGAAAAGAATTTTTGGGAGGAAAATGGTGGGGGGAGGTGCTTCAAATATATGTTGAAGTAACTCAGTAATACCTGGGATGAGATAAGCACAAATGCTAAGCAAATTGTGCAATGTATTAAACATCAAATTCAAATTCAATTCACTCACATCACTCATATCAAGAATATCACAGAGGGATAGAAAGATAGATGAAGCGGTCTTGTCAAGACAGATGAAAACTTATTAGAACAATGAGATGCTGTCAGTCAATGTTTTTCTGGACTTGTTATGAGAAGGAATGGACAGGACTTGGTAACAACAGGCAAGATTGATGGAATGAGAGCAAGAGGAAGGCAAAGAGAAATACCCGGATGGCTTGGTCGCAAGAACTGAGTGATGCAACTATACTGACCTGATCTGTGACTCTGGTGATTGTGTGAGATGGTGAAACATGACAGCCTACACTTACCGGCACAGCACATAATGATGATGATAAAACTCAGTGTACCATCATACATTTGTTGTATAATGTTTTTCTATAAGATGTGATTTATCAACAAAACTCAATGCCACAATACACCAAGCATGTGTAAACATTACTGAAACATCAAGTACCTGAAGAGAATTGATCAATTCTACAATGGCTTCCTTCCTGTGGGGGAACTCCAAGTCACCAACACAAATGTCCCCAAGACAAGCTGCAGCTCTTTCCTTGGTCTGAGGTTCACAAGATTATTTAATCAAGATTAGAACAACAGTGACAATTTAATTCAAAGTGTGATTAAAACGGCTCAAAAAGTCTTCCCTGTGTGGATTCCTGAGCTCCCATTGGGGGGTTGGGTGGGGGAAGGAGGACAAACCCTCTACGTATTAACTCTTTCAGTAGCCAGATAACATACTATACTTTTACTAGTTATTTAATATATAGTACACATTTCTTAACTTCTTCATTGTTTTCTGTTACTTACACTTATTATATATTCACAACTGCTGTTATTTGAAAGAGCCAGTTCCAGGCCAATCTTGATTAGTTGCTAACTAGTCATCTCCTTGTGGGATGCAGTTTTTTATTTTGAAGCCCTACTCTGGCTCTTGCCAGGGACCGCAATATAGCCCGGCCATAAATATGGTCTAATGGCTGAACACGGTTTCTGGGACCTCTCTACGGGTGATCCTCATCCACATGGTGGCGCTGTGTGTCATCGGGTGTTTATCGCTTGTGTGATGTCCTGGTGGGGTTAAATTTACTACTGCTACATTAGTTGCCCCATAAAGATCTATGTTAGGTTACAGTGTTATTTTATCAATGGCAAAGAACTACTCTGAGTGCCATGGGTATTTATGATTAAAATGGTCAGCCATCAACAACTTTATTGTTTTGTAGTTGCAATGATTAATATGCCCACATAAGGTGAGAAACCTCATTCTTGCATGCTAAACGGAACCAATATTAACATCAGGTTGTAATAATATATTTCCAAGATACTGCCATTGCCACATATCTAGGGTAACCATAATATCTTAAGTTGAAAAAAGACATCCCATTAATATTATGAACCGACAACCAGACATCACAAACAAGACAGTTTAACCAATCCTCCTCCCCCCCCCCCCCTCATTAAAAAAAAAAACTAGATCACCTAGATGAAAGTGTTAGGTTACTCGATCGACATTGCCAACAGAGCTTGAACCATTGTCGCCAAGAAAAATATGAAACAAATGAAAAAACATTTGGTTATCTCCTCCTCATTTTCAACTTTAGCCCTTTTTAAAAGTACTGTTGGGGGGAAAATGAAAATTACTATAAACAAATTTCAGGCATTAAAAGTATCTAAAACTATTAAATCTAATAAGATCTACTTATTTGTCTATATGTGTATTTTCTAATCTTGAGCAAATTCCGAGATTTTTATAAAACGGGACAATTGGCATAACCTGAGTACCTTCAGGGTGGTCACAGCACACCAAAACAAAAATAGGACTGTGCCGATAAAAATAGGACATATTGTCATGCTACACATATCCTTTGTTACTCATTTCATTAAATACTAGATTTGCCTATGCCATGCTAGCTTGTCATCCGAGAAGGATAACCCAGTCTTATACAATGGATAACAGACACTTATCTTGCAAGGTGAAGTCTGCTGGTGTGGAACTTAACACTAACCAAAACATTTTTTTTTAAAAACATGAGCTCATATTCCAAATGTGCCTGAATTGTACACAGCTGGACAGCTTTACACTTGCCATTTTAACAAAGAACTGGCACTATTAGTCACAGGTTGTTGGGGTTCATATTGAGGGAAGGAGCTGAGCATCTGTGAACATGCCTGAAGTGCAATGATCATATCCTAACAAACTAACTAACTAACTAACTAACTAACTAACTAACTAACTAACTAACTAACTAACTAACTAACTAACTAACTAACTAACTAACTAACTAACTAACTAACTAACTAACTAACTAAGTAACAAACTAACATTTCATCTTGTCTTCAAGATATCATGGATATACAAACGTACAAAGACCCTTTTCATGCCTTTTGCATAGTGCAAGACCTACATTTGTTTAGAACCAATCAGCATTAGACAGGTGATGTCATTAACACCACACACCAACCACCGTTACTTACTATGGTACTCATTTTAGGCTGGGTCTACCTGGGAACAAGGTCAAGTTTGAAGGAAAAATCCTCCATGATGCAGATTCGAACTCAAGACATTCGGCCCAACAGGCAAGCATTTAGCCACTACGCTGCCAGAGCTCTCACATTCACCGCATAAATCAATGTATTTACTAATGTTATTTTAGACTTTCAATATGCATGACAAACCAACTGACCTACCTTATTGGCCTCATTACTTGTTTTAATCATAGCTATTAAGGTCTTCACCAACGAAGACTTGGTTATCTCCTCGTCATTTTCAACTTTAGCCCTTTTTGAGTCCTCCTTCCTGTCGGCTGCTTCTGACTCTGCTCCACTGTGAAGGACCCCATTTTCCACCCCCACTTCTACACCTCGTGGCAATGGCAGTGGTCCATTGCGTCCTATTTCTCCTAGAGCTAGGCACGCTGTGGTTTTTACTGACACACTGCTGTGGCTTAGAAGTGCAGCTGAAATAAAATGAGCAACAACAAATACAGTCAGCTATGTATAATTTATAGGCCATCACAAATCAACCCAAAAATTTGTTGGCTGTTGTAGTTTTACTAAGCAATTTTATGTTCAGTAATCTGCTATTGCTTTCTGATAGGTCAGTGATCGATACCAATGTCAAAAAAAATGCAAAACAGTCTGCTGCCAAAAACATCACAGCACATGGGATACTTCCATAAGCACTCCATCTCCATCTTCAGCAGCAAGCAAAGGGTTCCAATTCTGATTGCTCCAGGTAATGTCTGACTGTATATCCGTTTTGTCTTTCCTTTGAGTGTTGAGCGTTGGTCAAATCTCCTAGTAACTCCTTGAAGTGCTATTCTCCTTAGACCGTAATGATCTATTTCTGCATCCTCACTGTTCACTCATCCACTTGGTTGCTGCAGGTGAGATTTAATTGCAATATGTCATTCAAGGAACACGGTGACCATGTGATAACAAAAGCACACAAAGGTCTATCTGCAATGAGGGTTATGGCTGCTTCCAATATCGAGCAAAGTACTAATACTTCCTCACTGTCAGTGCTACACAGACTGAACGACTTGAAAATGTGCAAAATGAAGCCATGCGCATTATTTTGGGATGTTCCAGAGACACTTCCTGTGTAGCAATAAGATATCTATTTGACTTTCCAACCATGAACCAAAAGATCAGGATCTGGAGGGCTCGGGCATACCTTAAATCTGTGCTGATAAGAAACACCACTGCGTCAAGTGCTTTTCAGTGAAAAGGTTGAAGAGGGGAAAATTATGGCTAGGTCACGCAGAAGATGTTATCGAGCAAATATGCAGCCTAACTGACATCACCCCTGGTGCAGAGTGGGTAATGGGGTCCTGTGCGTTTATCTGTACATTTTCCTGTACTGCCTTACTCGACAGGCACTGCAGGATGCAGAATCCTATTGCTGTCAATGCATAGGTTAACGCTCTTATCAGTGAAAATTCAGACGAGACAGATGTTCTGATCTACACAGACAGATCTGTTTAAAGCCAACAAAGAAGCGTATGGGCATTACAGCGCGCTCAGTGGACAGAACAGTCAATAAAGCCAACACCGCCTTCTCCGTGACAAATAGCAGCGTGACGATGGAGGTGATAGCAGTAACGCAAGCATTCATGTGGCTCAAAACACAAAACTACACCCGCACATGTGTACTCAGTGATTCAATGAGTATGATCCAGAGGGCTCAGGCAGGTTAGGTGCTTAGGCAATTGACCTGAATCAAACACTGTGCGTGGAGTCACCTTTATTTTTGTTCCAGGACAAGCGGGCGTCAATGGAAATATAAGAGTTAATGGGTTGTCTTTCTGCTATCACTACCAATGGTCAATCTATGGATCATGCTGATTAATGCCCTAGCAGAAGTGGGAAGGATGGAGGACTTTGGGGGCAGTGAATCCACATCACTCGCCAGAATGATAGACTTGGAAGATAAGATCGGCATGGCAAAAAATGAGGTAAACATCAGGCACATCAGAGGACTTGTTAATCAACATAGAACCGGTACTATTAGCCATCGGACGCTGGGGTTCTTACAAAGGGGAGGATATGAGCACCTATGGAGCACCTCCGGAGTGCAATGATGATAACCCAACTAACTGTTCACTCGCTCCTAAAGGGCCCTCATAACATATAGTTTGTCATACATCTATTCACCACCAAGTGGTGCTGAACTGGCCAGTCTATCTGCCTGCTTGCTTCCCAACATACCAGCATGACCTGGAGAAAAAGTCCAAAAAAATGCTAACTACCCAGGACCTCTGAAGTAAAGCTTGCCACTCTGCACCTTTCTCAACATGCTCTGAGTCAGTTACAATTATGACATGTGTGTACAGCTGATTTTCAAGCCAGCGGAAGGCAGCAGTGACTGCCTCCACCTCCATTCTCAAACTAGATGTTGTGATATTATATGCAAGACTTTACTGCACTAAGGGGCGTCCATTAGCTTTTGCGATGAGCCCCCACGCACTTCGTCTGACTCTCAACATAGAGCCATATGTATAGATAAACACATCACTTGGGCACTCATGGTCTAAAGTGATTAGAACCCTACACAAATCTAATTCTTGCTCAGACGCTTGAACCCACTCCTCTCCTTGCCCAAATCTATCAAGCCTGCACATGTGTCTATTTGTCTTTTTAGCCTGCGCCATCCAAGACCTTCCTCTTTTCAGTCTGTGACCCTTAGCTCTACCTAGGACTTCATGCAGGAGTTGTTTCTTGTCTGCAGCTACTCTGAGATATGACTTTGCTAAAAGAACATTGATAATATCTGATCTCTTGCTGAAGATGGGGACTGAGCACTTATGGAAGTGTCCCAAGTGCCTGTCAGACAGGACCACAAACACCTGAGCACATTCTGCAGAGCTGCCCACTCTACCTACAACTTGAAAAAGACACCTGGCCTCAAGAGCAAAGTGTGCAGAGCAAGCTATGGGGAAGCATGAAGGACCTGCTACTGACATGTGAGTTCATAGAGGCAACCAACCTGTCTGATCTGAGCATACGAAACCTAACTCAAAGAAGAAAAATAAATAGAAGATACAACAAAACTCCATCAATACATAGAGAAAACACTGACAAGCATTCAGACAGTGCTGGATATAACTGTATCAATAATAAAATATACCTATAGCCTTGACAGTGTCAGCTAGCAGTTTGTTCTCATTACTGAGTTGTGTAATTTCCATTGTACTGTCTTCACCAAGCCTGAAACAATATTTACACATGACTACAAAGTAAAATTTTTCACATCTATAAAATTTAGTTGTATATCCTTTACAGGATGCCATAAAGAAATCCCAGCATTTGTTTGCAGTTTAACTTTGCAATATTACGTTCAGTAGTTTGCCATTGTTTGCTGAATGGCTCAGTGTTTATGTCATTGTCAAAATCAATAATTTGCAAAGTTGTGTGCTACTGATTTACCTGCACGTGAATCTAATTTATTTTTTGTGTCCGCATTATTTAAATTCATTACAAGAAAATGTTTTGAATACAGTATTTATTCATACCACCGGCTGCAAACAAGGAGAACAGCAATGAAATTGAATCATTTTTTTGTTTCCTACCAGCCTGTGCAATGTTTCTTGTATTTTAAAAGATTCTTGTGACTGGGGCAAGTGTGTCATTGTGTATGAAATGTGTGGTTTGAGTCAGTGTAAAAGTTTGGTACCGTTGTCTTGATCACATTTCTTCTTATCATGAGGGAAGGCTGATTACCCAGTAGACAACTTTGTGTCAATAAAAACTGTACTTCTGTCACATTTGTAATGAATATCATACAGGAATATCCTACTTATTGCATAATATATTTTTCATTTTCTGAAGGCAGCATTTCAGAAAAAGTAAAATATCTTATGCAATAAGTTGCTCCTATTTAATGTCAGAAAGAGAGTGCTAAAATGTTACACAGAACCTGTTCTGGTGTATAGCAGTGAATCTTGGAATGTTAGTGAACAAATTAAAAAGAATTTGAAAGCAACAGAGATGTGGTTTCTGAGACGAATGTTATAAATACCTTGGAGACCAGAATAACTAACAAAGATTGTTTGAAAGAAGCTAATGAAAGTAGATCTCTATATATACAACGATAAGAAGGAGACAAACACTGTTCTTTGGTCACATAATGAGAAGAGAGACATTGGAAAACACTGTGACAACTGCAAAGATCAGTGGAAGGAGGGGCAGAGGCAGACCAAGAGAGATGATGCTGGATGGGCTGAAATTATGGCATGGAGGGATATCATCAAGAGAGCTGTTCCAGGCAACCAGGGATCGTGATCTGTGGAGATGCGCCTAAGCCAGTTGGCAGGGCACATGATGAGCATCATGATCATTCAGAAAAGCCGCAAATTTGTATTTATTTATTTATGTTTTAATTAGAGAATTGTATTTTTCTTCACTCTTTGTGAACCCAGTGAGGTAGTCTTTTTCTTCACTGTTTCTGAACCTATTGAAATAATAATTGCCTATGTGTAGTCACTATGCTGTTTAACCAAGATTATATCATTCATATGGTGAGTGAGGTTCATGATTCAACTACTTTTATAAGTGATAGAGTTGTATTGCAAGATAGACGTGACTCTCAGAATATTATTTACTAAACATAAATGTAAAGAAAAAATGTGGCATAATCCATGCCAGATTTGAGAATATGTAAAAATCCTTGAAAGAGGAGTGAAACAATATCATATTTGGGAAAGAAATGAACTCAAGTCAATTCTTTTACTATTTGCAGAAACAAAGTAAACTGAATAGTCCTGGTGAAACCAGTCTCATACATGAACCTTGCACTTCTTAATAACAAACATAATGTAACAAGGAAATGGGGTATAACATCACTTGTGGAATATGAAGATGGGAATATGCAAGACAGCACCATCTTTGAGTATGTATCAGTGTGCTTAGTCTATCACACATGGGTGGGTGAGTGGGTGTGTGTGCTTGAATACGTCTGTGTGTGTGGTGGTGGGGTGGAGGAACTGATTTAAAGATTGCATTATATCTTTTTTTCTTCTTGGCTTTCATCAGCTAAAAACTTTGGCAGAATGTCCTGCTTCTTTGTCCACTTTTGAAGTTTGTCTTCTTTAAGAACTCAAGAATTGTGTGAACATCTGTTCAAATAAATTGAAATCTCATTACAGATTAGATAAAACAAAAGAGAGAGCCAAAGTCAAAGTCATCATTTAAAGGAAGAGATAGCCAAAAAAAAAAGAGAAAGAGAAAGAGACAGACAGTGTGTGTGAGAAAGAGAGAGAGAGAGAGAGTAAGTGAGCGAGAGAGAGAGATGAAGAGAGAAAGGAAGAGAGAGTTTCTTTCTGTAACTTTGACCCTACATGTAGATTTACCTAGCAGATTTTATCTTGAGACCAACGAAGTATCCAAGAGTCAATAAAGATCCTAAAACAAGTTCTGAATTCTGAAAGTAAAAGAAACACACACATATGTTTAATATTAACAATGAAAAATTGACCCAACAAATTTCACATGAGAATTCTACAGCTTTCAAAACTGTTGTTAGTTTGCAGTTGGGTTTTATAAAACTTAGTTTTATATTCAGCTTTTTAAAATAGTGTTATGTGTTTCTACAAAAAATTTTATTACATTACTGAGTATAGGAAAATTACTAACTATACTGTCGCTCTATTTCCCTGTGGTTCTGTGACTAATATATGTTTAGCAGCCTTGTTTGACATCGCTATATTTCTTCTTCTTCTTCTGAATTTGCCTTGGGAAAAAAAATGGTTGGCACAATGTATTGTGGTTTACAGCTGGTTTTCTGAGCCTTTCAGCCAACACATATTCAGTTTCAGCTAAACCTTAGTCACGTTTTACGACTTTCTGGTTAAGTGGCAGTAGGTCTATTCTGTTTTCCTGGAACAAACATGGGAACAGCTATAGTTCAGCAATAAATGTTTAGTTCCCCCCCCCCCCCCCCCCCAATCAGGCTAATGTAAAACCATAGAAGCAGATGATAGAATTAGCTTGAGACAAGTCAACAGAAAACTGTTGGTCACGGTCTCAAGTTCCCAGATTAGAGTCACAAAAGTCAAATGTCAAGGTTTTTAGCTGTGTTTCTCCCCCCTCCATTTTCCTTGGTTTTTCATCATTCTAGGTAGCTGTTCCCAGGATTTTTCAAAACTGTAAAGCCCAAAATGAGCTGTGCAGACAGACATATATTTTGTAAACAGAAACACTGGGAATAAAACACCATGGCTTACCTTATTGGTCAAATTTTTTAGAAGCTCCTCCACTTCCTTTCTGAACTCAGCTCCAGACTTGCACTGGAAGTTTATTATAGCATAGAGTTCTGCAGCAAACTCCTTGATGCCATCTTTTGAACTACTCAGAAGATTCTGAAGAAATTCAATGTTTCACGAACAACATTATATGGATGTCAGAATGGGATACAGTATTAGCCCTCTCATGTTCAGGCAATTAGCCGCATGTTCATTAATCTATCTATCAAGTGCCAACTGGTCTATAAAAATATGAATCAAACAATACATACCTGATGTCTTAAAAGAATACTAAATCTCCACTGGACAAATTTTAGATCCAATTCGCAAATATGACAAGAGACCAAGCAAGATAATGTATTCAATTTTATAAGGAAGCACCGCTGGAACTACATCAACCATGCATTCAGAATGGATAAGACAAGACTCACCCATCAAGCCCTCATGTGGGCATCAGAGGGGAAAAGAAAATGGGGAAGACCAAGAGAGACCCTGCGTAGAACCATCATCAGGGAAGGCTCAACCATAGGCCTAATCAACATCCAAGACCTAAAACTGGTGGAAACGAACCACCAGACATGGAGAGCTATGATCTTTGCCCTATGCGCTGCCCTAGGCGCAAGAGGAAAGACTAACTAATATACATCTGATGTGCCACTAGCGTTAAAATGGTTTTTACCTACCTACATAAACACACCCTCATCTGTGTACACAGATGGCCAACAGAATAAAGATTCCATAACCATACATACGAGGTGTCATAAAAAATTTAAAGTAACCTCAATCAAAGCAAGAACATTGCATTGTACATTACAGTACCCAAACTAAAGTAAAAAAAAAAAAATGACAAACATGACTGTGTATACAGGACCTCTAAAACATAAGATCTGGGCTGCATGGTGTCTGCCTCAAGTGCTGGAGGTCCCAGGTTCAGGCCCCAGTGTAGGCTGGTTTTTTTTTTCACGTGTACTTCTAGTAATTTCCCCTGGTCACTGGGTAGTAAGATTAGACACCCTTGTGTATTTTTTGCGTTTGTAAAAAATCACTTGGCAGTTGGAAATTGAAAAGAGTAGCCTAATGGCGCTGCCTGGGCGAAATTTGAAGTTAAAAATCAACCCAAATAATTTCAGGATTTCCCCCGGTGCTTTGGAGTTCTTGCACTGCGCTGAAATTCTTTGGACTCAGACTTGAGTTAGAAGTAGAACAGAGCACTTTTGGGTTACTACCCTTGTGCCATGATGTTGATCAATTTTTTAAACCTTAAACCTGAAACATTAGGTCTCAGTTTTTGGTGTTCTGGATCAAAACTGATCCCCACCACCCTAACAGATCATGCAGCATAATCTCTCACAGTCAGCCTCTGTCATGGTTATACTGAACTTTTGCCACAATGTTCTCCAAAGCATTCCTAAAAGGTTCCAGGTAGGGACCCAGTTTGGAGGAAACCTCTCACATACTTAACAGCCAGATAATGTTCTTTGATCACTCTTTTCCCTTCCCTCTGATTCCTTGGTAGTAAACTGTACATCTATCCTTCTTTAATCTTTTCTTTCTCCAGGTTTCTATTACCCAACTGAATACAGGCTGTTAATGTCAGTCATAATTTTTCCATCCGATGATATGAGTGTCCAAGAATATTCAAATTTATTGACTTAAATGTGTACTTTTCCTTTTATTTTAATATCACATAATTACAGCCTGCAATTTGTATCCTGGTTTATTTTACCTCTTTCATTATGATTTCATGAGGTTGGGTGGGGGAGAAAATCCGGTGACAAAACATATTTTTGTCTAACTCTCTGCTTTATCTATTTATCATTTTATCACTTTATTTATCATTTACTAATGATGATGAAAATGGTGACTGATAATCTACTTTACAGTTTTTACCTTCAGCCAATCTTGGTGTTTTTGAAGCTTTGCAGCAAGTATATCTGGCACCATGGCCACAATTTCCAGCAAGCAGTACATAGTTTCAGCATCTGGAGATGAAAGTTTAGAATCAACATGTGATTTCTAGATACAGAAAAATTAACCAAACCAAGAAGACAATTTGTTTTCCATAGAATTCTAAAATGTAATGTCTTTGCCATAAGTATTCACAAAATATGCAGTGCTATCACACAAGAAGAAACAACGGGTCTCCAATATATAATATTATTATTGACTTCAAAGAAAAAAGTTAATTGCATGTTCTGTATTTTACAAAGATTCTCAAAGCTAAACAACATTTGCAGTGGCTATGAACATAAAATAGGGCTAATTTAAGGGGAGTGAAGAAATAAGAGAAAATAACAGAAATGTCTGGGAAACCACTGTTATCAACAGTTATAAGACAAAGAAGATGGTTCTATATTGGACACATCCTGAGAAGAAACAAGGAGAGAATCGCCAAACGGGCACTAAAGTGGGAAATAAAGGAAGGTGAGGATGCCTAAAATGAATCCTAAAAAGAACACTGATGAGAGGCCAAATGGGCTGGACTGGATTCCATCCATGATATTGAACTGACTGCACTGGGTAGAATGAAATGGAGGAACAAACTACAAGCCATAGGTGACATATACTGGCACAACAGGACAATTGATGGACGGATGAATGAATGAATGAATGAATGAATGAATGAATGAAAGAATGAATGAATGAATGAATGAATGAATAAATGAATGAATGAATGAATTAATTAATACATTTTAAAAATATTTATTTGATTTAAAGAACATGAGAGTTCCCCATGTTTGGTATAGGATTTTTTTATAACTCAAATGACACGATCTGTTCATAAAGTGAATACTATATAAACTATAAACATGACAAAGTCATTGAAACAAATTTTGAAAAAATCATGAAAAAAAATATAGCTTTCTGTCACGGGTTCTTAGAGATTGCTACCATAATAATGGTGTCCAACATAAGTTAATTTCATAATATAACAAGTGTTAACAAATTAAACAGAATACATAATATTTCTATTACTTGCTGACACAAAAAGTAGTTCCTGCAGCATTTGAACATACAACTGCACTGGTCCTTGGTCACTATCAAACTCTTGCAGCAATAATCGAACTCTGGCAGCTACAAGTGGCGCATGCTCCATCAGCGTCTCCACTTCCCAAGATACAGGAGCTCCCGAGCTTTGTGCCAGGCACATTCGTAAGTACATCAAGATCTGATGAGCGAATTTAGACAAATACAGAAGAAAAAAAGCAAAAGCTTGCTTTCAAATAGAATGAATACGTATAGCAGTCATATCGATGAAGCCCATTTTTGCATCTGCATTCTAATATCTTAAAATAGTGATTAAGGGGAACAGCTAATGAGGAAAGTAGCATTATATGTGCAGGTTTACATTGTTGCAGTTGTAGTTGATGTTGTTTTTGTTGTTGTAGTTGATGTTGAATGATAAAGAAGAATACTCTAGAATACAAAAAGAAATAGTGAACAAATGCAAAGTGGCTAAAGAAGCCTGGCTGAATCAAATGTGTACAGAGATTGGGGAAAATCACGGGAAAGACTCACATTCCATGTACCAACAGATAAATATGTTAACAGGAAAGATGACACGTAACAGCACTGGATGTTTGATATCAAAGGATGGTGACTTATTAATGGGACATAGTAATATAATTAACAGATGGACAGAGTATATAGGGGAATTGTATGATGATAATAGACCAGACGTAGAACTCCAGAACAACAATGATGGTCCACCAATAATGACTGCAGAAGTTGAGGATGCAATACATCATATGAAGAAAGGAAAAGCACCCGGGCCAGATAACATCTCACTGGAAGAAATCGAAGCACTGGGAAATTTTGGAATTGAAATAATAACTAAACTTTTAAATGATATTTATAACAGTGGGTATATTCCAAATGACCTTTTAAAATCCATATTTATAGCTCTGCCGAAGAAACCAGGCACTTTAAAATGTGAAGACCATCGCACAATAAGTCTTATGAGTCACATGACTACGATTTTACTGAGAATAATTATGAGAAGAATAAGAAACAAAATTAAACCAGAAATCAGCGATGAACAATGTGGATTTGTAGAAGGAAAAGGTACAAACAATGCCATATACATCCTAAGGACATTGTCAGAAAGAGCTATAGAAGTAAAGACTGATTTGTACTTATGCTTCATAGACTATACAAAAGCATTTGACTGTGTGAAGCATGAAGAAGTAATCAAACTGTTAGAAAAATTAAACATTGATGGGAAAGATCTAAGAATAATAAAGAATATGTATTGGCAGCAAACAGCAGCTATAAGAATTAACAACTGTTTAGGTACATTTCAAAGCATAAAGAGGGGCGTACGACAAGGATGTGTACTTTCACCTGATTTATTTTCAATATACAGTGAATATATTATGAGATCTTTAATTGATATGCCCGGAATTGTGGTTGGTGGGCACAATATAAACAATTTACGTTATGCTGATGACACAGTCTTGATAGCAACAAGTCAGAAAGAATTACAGGAAATGATAGACATTGTGGTGTTAGAAAGTGGAAGAATGGGCCTCAGTTTGAATAATGGGAAGACAGAAGTAATGGTGGTATCAAAGAAACAAATTATTCCTAAATGTGTAATAAAAGTCAATGGTGTTATTTTAAGACAAGTACAGAAATTTAAGGACATTGTCACCATTACTTTTCATAACATACATGGATAAGATCACTGTAGAAGCAAACCCAGACGTGTATGCTATAAACGAATTACTTTTTGCTGATGATCAAAGCATACTGTATCAAAATGAATATGATCTACAGGAACATCTGACTACTCTCAACAACAGCTGTTTACAACATAATATGAGAATCAGTACAGAAAAAACAGAAGTTATGAAGATCAGCAGAACACACAGGCCACTGAATATAAATGTTGGAAGTGCCAAAATCAAGCAAACCAAAGAGTTCAAATACTTGGGCAGTATATTTACAGAGGATGGAAGAATGGACAGAGAGATAGAAACAAGAATACAGAAAGCAAATGCTGTCACATACCAACTATCACCTCTGCTTAAACATCCAGATATAACCATGAAGACCAAAAGACAATTGATAAACACCATCTTCATTCCAACACTCTGCTACCAGTGCCAGACATGGACAATCAACAAGACCCATGAAAGAAAAATAGAAGCCTGTGAAATGAAATGTCTAAGAAAAGCAGCGAATAAGACCAGACTAGACAGGATAAAGAACATAGACATTAGAAACACTGTCAAAACTACACCATGTTTAGACTACATAGAACATCGAAGAATGAAATGGTTTGGACATCTAACCAGGATGAAAAATGACCAAATAACATCACAAATTTTCAACCAAAGAAGCTCAGGATATAAGGCAAGAGGAAGACCAAGGAAACTGTGGATAGACAGGGTCTCCGAAACCTGCCAAAAGCATGGCCTCAGAACATCAGATGCTGCCCGCCTTGCTTATGACAGTAACTTGCATCTCCCCACAACGCTTAGCGGCGTACGTGGAAGGAAAAAGTAAAGTAAAAGTAAGTACAGAAATTTAAGTATCTGGGCACATGGATAACATCAGATGGAAGATGCATAACTGAAATAAGAAACAGAATTGGACAGGCAAAAACTGCATTTTATAAAATGAAAAACATCTTGTGCAATATATCCTTGTCATTGAGAGTTAGAAAAAGAATTCTTGCTTGCTACATACATCCAGTTTTAACATATGGATGTGAGTCCTGGACAATCGGTAGGCAGGCCAAACAATTTTTGGAGGCCTCAGAGATGTGGTTTTACAGAAGAATGCTTAGAATACCTTGGACAGCCAAAAAGAGCAACCAAGAGGTTTTGAAAGAGGCGGGAGACCGAAGACAACTTATCACTGACATCAGAAGGAGACAGTCATCATTTTTCGGCTATGTTATGAGAAGAGGGAAAATAGAACATGTTGTGACCACTGGAAAGATCTGTGGAAGGAGGGATAGAGGAAGACAACGAGAGAAGATGCTTGACAGTCTTGTTGCATGGCATGGAGGTGTGTCGGCACACGAACTGATACATGCTGCAGGAGATCGCGGATTGTGGACAGGCATGATCGCCTACGCCAGTCGGCAAGGCACCTGATGATGATGATGATGAGTTGATGTTGCCGGCAACATTTTGATATATGTTAAACAGGAAAACAGGAACAATTTCAAATGTGACAGATCGCTCATGGGGAGAGTGACAATTACCATCATCATCATATTTCCTTCAAAAACTGAGAACACAACTATTTGACAACTTAGCTTAAACATCATCATCATGTAGCAGGTTCTTTGCAGAACGTCGCTCTCATCACAGTATGCCTGAAAAAAAAACTCGGTCTCTCACCAGCTCTTCTGCCTCATGCACTTTCATACTCAAGGAGTCACTTATATCCTGTGCCTATCTTTGTGTTGGTCGGCCCCTGCCCCTCCTTCCTGGTACCAGGCCTTCTGCTATAATTTTTTACAATCCATCATGGCGCTTAATATGACCAAAATATTTCAGCTTCCAAGACAGTATGCTGCTTATTAGCCAATCTTCCTTGATGTTCAGATCTTTCAAGATGTCAGTATTTCTCCTCTGTTTCATCAAAGATATTCTGAAAATCTTTCTATAGCATTTCAGCTCAAAAGCCCCTATTCTCTTTCTTAAGAACTAGGAGATAGTCCACGACTCACATCCGTATGTTGCTACAGGGAAGATGCATGCTCTCAAAATTATAATTTTGATCTCCTTGCTGGTGCTTAACCATTGACTTTTTAGGCTGTTTAATCGCTTCCATGATGAGTTTCTTTGGATAGTTATTAGGGCTGTACTGATTATTTGCTTCGGGGCCGAATAGTGGACTTATTGACTATTTGGTATTCGACTGAATAGTTGCAGTCGAGCCAAATACGAATAGTAGTTACCTTACACCGGCTTCTGCATAGACGGCCTTGATACTGACAACATGGAACGATTGGTTTTGTTGAAAGCTTATGCAGCTTTCATGCATTAACTAAGCTGTCAGTGACAATTTCCAAGTTTAGTTACTTGTTATAATACTTAGAATTCTTTCATTCCTAGTTATTAGTTACCACAGACTGACTGAAGGATGAAAAAAACATAAAACGTTTTTGAAATGTTTATTATTCTGTATGAATACTAACTAGACATGGAAAGAATACAAACTTCGCCCAATTCCAAGTCGATAATATGAAAATCAAAAGGACGGAAACATATAAGTACTTGGGTGCAAACTTCAACTGCTCCAAAGTGCTGAGAGAAGAAATACAATCTAGAAATAAAGTACACTATGCCCTTCAACATCTGCTAAAGTCAAAGTGCTGTCTCGAAACACCAAGATAAAAATATATAAAATGTTGATAAGACCAGTCGTTTTATATGGCTCTGAAACTTGAAGTAAAAATAAAAGAGATGAAGTCTTATTACAGGTTTTCGAAATCAGTCTTGCGACAAATCTTTGGACTCATCAAAGATGCTAACAGCAGGGAATGGAGAGTGAGAAGCAACAATGTAACACCTAATCTGTTTAAATCACCATTGATCACTGGCATCATGAGAGCTAACAGACTAAAATGGTTGGAGCATATCGAAAGAATGTCAAATAACAGAGAAGTAAAACCTGAGAGAGGAATGGGCGTAGACCACAAGGCAGATAAAAAAGAAGTTCGAGAGATAATTTCCAGACAGACCTGCAAACAACTGGTGTCACAAATTGTGAAGAGAAGGCCAGCCAGAGAGATGAATGGTGTAAACCTCAAGGGCTCAGAATGCTAAAGAAGAAGATGTCTATTCTGTGCTATTTTATGTGAGTAAAAGTTCAGCGTACATTTGACATTATGCATGGGTGGTTTTTTTTTTAAAGATATATTTTATACACTATACACTATTCATATTCGTATTCGGCTGAATAGTTGGTCCCGTTATTCATATTCGGCCTAATAGTGAAAATCACTATTCGGTGCAGCCCTAATAGTTATGTTATAGTACATTTCAAGAAAAATGTATTTCAACATGCCAGACTGTCAGCCACTGAAAGAACACTGATAATTATCTGTATCATAAACTCAAATATTATGAAACAGTAAGCATCACAATTCACCAACTCTCACAAGGCTATGTAGTTATATGATAAGGCAAAAACAGTGACACCCACTTCTTTTCCATCCTCACAGATGGCGTAAGAATTGTCAGTCTATAATTCTGAAAACAGCAGTACACACAGACTTCTGTCATGAATAATATTTCTTCACATATAATGAGAAGGACAATGTTTTTTCAAACTTCTATTGCCACTGATCCCTTAACAGAGCACAGGTCCTTAATCACTCACTAAATTGTCTTTTAAGAATTGTTTATGGCTATTTGGTTGTTTTTCCTAGTGCTGCATTCGTGTTTTTTAAACTGAGATAGCATCGCCAAATCTAATTTGACAGAAGACACCTAAATTATTTTCTTTGGTCATTTTTTGCTGTCTTGCAATAATAGGACCAGTAACACATGGATGATTGCAGAATTACTAACAAATAAATGATGGCAGATCTAATGGAAGATGTGAACCCATACCTCAAAATAAGATGATGGGTTGAAAGGCAGGACAGCATTGACAGCCACATGTCTGTGTTGGGACACTTTTCGTTGTTTACCCTGAAATTTTTGTTTAAATATAAACAAACAGCTCAAGTCAACGAAAAAGTTATATGGTTATATTTGTGTTTAAAAATAAATAGCTGCATGTATAAAGAAAACAAATTTTTAGTTTAAAATGTTGTTCACATGGGCAAAAATATTATTAAAAATAAGAATTCATTTTATCATTTCTGATATTCAGAAATAACCTTATCATTCTCTTCTGAACTAAACATGCAGCAGAAAACTTAGACTGATTAAAACTTTAAATGTGACTTAAAATAAATAAGCAGAGAATACTATCACAAAGCAAAATTATCATAACAGCTGACATAAAAGAATATGAAAGATTACAATCAACCTTCAATGAAGAGATAAATCTCGAGAATGAATGATGAACACAATCTAAATTAATGTATGCTTCTGTTTTTATTTAAATTATGATCAGACATCATGGCACAAGGGTGGTAGCCCATAAGTGCTCCGTTCTACTTCTAACTCAAGCCTGAAGAATCTCAGTGCAGTGCACGAACTCCACAGCACTGGCGAAGATCCTGAAATACTTTGGGGAGATTTTTAACCAGTGTGTGTGTGCATAATAAAGATACTTCTGAGGAAAATGACGGACTGTTTTTTTTTCCAAAAGAAGAACACATATAAAACTATTTTGTTCAAAATCAACATAGAATTTGGGGAAAGAATGTATTTAAAAAAAGGAAACAAATGTTTACAATGTTCTTGTTTACCTTTTCTGCAACATAACTGACCATCTCCAAAAAATCAGGCAGAGTGTTTACCTCTGAGGGTTTCACTACTGACCTTGACTGAGTTTTTCGTAGTGCTTTCACTGACTCTGCTCTCACATCATCTTTGCTGCAATCATAAATGTAAATAACCTTTTACATTACAGTTATTTACTCAATTCCATGGCAAACTTGAAACTATCAAGCTTTGTTTCAATATTATAAAATATAAGGTTTTTTCATTCAAGTTTTTCCATTCTGGATTCCAGTCTGTAGAGTTAACATCTCAAGGATTAGAAACAAGTGCAAATTCAGGAAACCCTGTTGAACTGTATAGCCATATGGCACAGTTATACTGGGGCGCAACACAATAGTTACAAAACAACCTCTAGTCCAGTATGGGTAAACAACTAGGTATGGTCATATATCATGACACACAATAATAGTGCCTCACACACACAAAAACAGTATCACCAACCAAAAAAAAATCTGAAACAGAAACACAACAAAAGGTTTTGTGTGAAAAACGACAGATAAGGAGTTCAACTAGAGTAACAACCAGCATGGTGTACAGGACATATAGTAAAATTTGCTCTAGCATATCATTTATATCCTGAAACCGTTGGCCAGGATATACTGCGCTTTTGTGGTTGTTGTGGTTTATGTAGAGAAAAGTTCAAACCAAAACGTCTTCTTGTGTTGTACGTGCATGCTGTTTACCTTCCCACTTTCATTAAGCTTCTTAGTCAGATTTCAGTGGATTAATTTGTTGGTATTAGCTTGACTACAGTCACCCCTGTTTTCATCACTTCAAAGTGCCATAAAATTAACTGTGAAGGCTAACCTGAACCCAGCAAATGCCAGATGAAGTGGGATGTGTCAGCCGAAAAGCACAAATATTGTAGCTATGCTGTAAATGGGCACAATGCAATTATGGGACTCGGAAGAATAATGAAGAACAACAACAATAAGAAGAAAAAGACACCCTGATACTATAAAGTAAACAAGAAAAAGGAACAACAGCAATAAATAAACATAATTAGCATAAATCAACATTAATACACAAATGAAAGAATTGAAAATGTAACACTGAAAACCTCGTACTCATAATTAATAATAACAGGTTCTGTTCAAAAGAGGTCAGTAGGAGACTGGCCACAGCAGTGCAGATTTTTAAAATACATAAGATTCCGTGTCAAAACACCAAGAAACACACAAAAGTACAGTGGCACCTCAGAATTCAAACACCTCAAAACTTGAAGAACTTGGAAAGTGAATGAAATTTTCAAGTAAATTTTGCCTTGGAACTCGAAAATAGCCTTGAAAATCGAACGCCTGGCATATGTCAATCATATGAATGAGCTGATAACACAATAGTTTCAGTACTTTCACCAGCAGCAGAACAGAAAATTGCAGAGAAGATATTTCTTCTGGGAAAGAAGAGGGAACGTTGGAAGGATTAGCACTGTTGAAATCCAAGATCTTTTGACCATGTGTGAAAGAAGTTGTTGGGAGGTGGTACCCTAACAGAGTTCTAGTTAATAGTTTTGTTAACTTATATCAATGATTACATTATCAAACATTTAAAAACAATTAAGAATATTTGCCAACAGCAGAGCAAACTGGAATGTTTGCTGTCAACAGCAAAAAACGGATGAACCCCAAACCATCTACATGTGGTAAACAGCTATGATATGAAAAACGAGAAAGGATTCCTGATGTTATCATGGAAGGTGACTCACCTTCCGAAAAATAATCTCCCTGAAACCCCCTTCCTCTTCCTACTTCTATGTGCTCTGTCATAATTTTGTACAGTAAATACAATGTTTTTACATCTTTTTTTAAATTTATTTATGTTTGTATTCAAAAATAATCATCATGAGTGCTGCCACATAAAATGTACTGTATTTAGAAAAATACATTTTAAAATTTGTGTTTGTCACGATTTAGAATTTGAACGCCCTCTTGGAACAGACTATGTTCAAATTTTGAGGTACCACTGTACACATTTTGACAACATGCATCTTTCCTGTGGCAAGATAAATATGTGAATGATGGATCCTTTTGCAAGTATTAAAGAAGGAAATTGAGATTCTGAATATAAATGTTACAGAAATAAGTTAAGAAAACATTAGATCGAGAGAAAAAATCCTAACATTCCAGATGATCTGAAATTCAAGTATGCTAAAAAAGCATCAAGTCTCAGACACCGACACATTTTTCTTAGAAATAGTGATGGAAGGTATATTTTGTGGGAAGAATGTTAAGGGATTGATCCGCATAAATGTGGACACAGGACGTTAAAGACACAGTGGGCAGGACAATACATCAGGCAGCAGAAATGATAAAAGATTTCAAAGATATTCTCGCAAATTTCATGATGTGCTATTTTATGATGATGTAGATGTTAATGTATAAATTAGGTGTAATTCGAGAACTGTCTTACGGCAAAAATTATATATTAAAAGTCTTTTGATTATAAAACATTTTTTTTTCGTAGTTTGAATAATGGAAACAGAAGTAATGGTGATTTCCAAGAAAAGAATAGTGCTTAAATGTATAATAAAAGTCAAAGGCATTATTTTAGGACAGAAATAACATACATATCTCCAGCTCCTAGCATCAGTATATATCTTGAGGGAATGTGATTGCTAGGAAACACAGCCGCTGCATACTGAACTGTCACCATTCTTGCCTGTGGCTCCACCTGGACAAATTAAGTTATGGGACTGATTAAATCAAAACTGAAAATAGAAAGTCACATATTTGTAAACTGAGATTATATGGGAAATTAGGATGCATAAGGGACGCATTTAGCTACACTGTTAGTGAATTTCATACATTTTACACACATAGTTTACTAGACAATGAATGTGAAGCATTACATTCTAACTGCATCTCATACATAAATAATACATATCAAGTTATCTATACATGATATAAACAAAAATGTCACTTTATAAAAGTACAATATTGCCAATATTTTGCTAATTGTACCTGATATAAAGTGATGACAAAAACAGTCAAATCAATATCAAAAAAGTAACTTAACACAAAAAATGATCACAAAGCTCAAGAAAGGAACAGGAAAAGACATTTGTTGTATGTGTGTCTTGACGTATCAATCTTTTATCTTTTTAACTTGCCTGCATATTCTTTCAAATATTTGTTTCTGTGCCTGTTTCTTTTTAGTGTTCCCCAGATGCAAACTCTAGTAGAAAGTTCTGGTTGTTCATTCATTCATTTGACTTTGGTCTTGCTCCAGAACTTGGGTTTTGTGTGTACATCCATTTTACAATCTGGCTTAAATGTAAGCTTCTAAGGCAGATGCACTCTGACTCTGATAGAAACACCCTTAATTAGTTGCATTTTACAACATTTGCTTTTTACAGAGGTAGTGGATCTATTCTTTTTCCCCACAGAATGGGGCCCTGGAACCTACAGGAGAATTTTCCTTTTAAATATTTGATTGTTTGGCTCTACTGGCAAATTTAGCCGGTAAGCTGGACTGCTTCGGCCGGCTTAGCGGGAGTTATGTCCCTTGGCCAAACTCAAAACAACTCAAAACAAGTCGCAGAAAAAGTCACGAATCAAACGGCATACTTACCTATCATCATCCGGGTGCGTGTAGGGTTGTGCAGGGTGTCTATCATCGTCCTACGGTTGCGTGTAGGGCTGCTTATTGCGTGTAGGGTTGGTTGTTTGCGTAAGATAGATGAGGGGTAGGGTTAGGGGTTAGGGTTAGCGTTTAGGGGTTAGGGTTAGGGTTTAGGGTTAGGGGTTAGGGTTAGGTGTAGCGTTAGATGTGACAATTGTGACGCCGTAGTTCCCTACAATTGCGCACAGTCGCATGCACGCGCAAACAGTCGACGGACGGTGGATGCTACTGACACGGACAATTCGCCACCAATTGGGCACCAGCCGCGCGCTATTGCGTCATATTTGGCACACTTCCAGTGGCGCCACTCCCACAAGCATCAGATTGTCGGCCAGTATTTCCACCTCCTACGTTAATATTTTCACATCATCTAACCCTAACCCTACCCCCTAACCCTACCCCTACCCCTACCCCTAACCCTACCGCTAACCCAAACCCTACGCAACCCTACACGCAACCGTATGATGATGATGATAGACACCCTACGCATCCCTACACGCAACCGTATGATGATGATAGACACCCTACGCAGCCCTACGCGCAACCGAATGATGATAGGTAACCCTAGACGCAACCCTACACAGCCCTACACGCACCCGGATGATGATAAGTAAGTATGTCATTTGATTCGTGACTTTTTCCGCGACTTGTTTTGAGTTTGGCGAAGGGACGCGAAGGGACATAACTCCCACTAAGCCGGCCGAAGCAGTCCAGCTTACCGGCCAAATTTGCCAGTAGAGCCGATTGTTTTTGTGATTTAATTTTTTTTTTCTTTCAAATATTCCATTATTTTTATGCCTGTATTTTCCTTTCTAATATTTGATTATTTGTATGCGCCTTTCAAATATTTGATTACTTTTGTGTATGTATTTTCTTTTCAAATATCTGATTAATTATTTTGCGTGCATTTTCTTTTCAAATATCTGACTGTTTTGTGCCTGTATTTGCCTTTCCCTCTGTTGAGCTTCCAAGCCATAGTCTGTGACATGTTAAGTTACCTAAACATATATATGGACATGCAATTTAAAAAAAAAAAAGTTACCTTGTCAATATTCTGAAGCAGAAGGGCCTCCAGGAGTTGCTTGTTTGTGGTGTCAAGATTGCTAAATGCATTTGACATCAAGGAAAGAGCTTCCTGCACTGCTAGTCTGGTGTCACCCTCCTCCTGTCATAAAATAAACACATTTGCATTTACATTTGGATAGAAAAATCTAGCCTATTTTTTTAAAAATCAAAATTTTAATACAAGGAAATTGCAATGACATTTGTAACATTTTCACCACAGAGTAAAAAAAAAAAAACACAAGATCGAGTTCATTACTAAGTTACACTGTATTGGTTTACAGATATGATGTAAGTTGAGTTAAGTTTTTAAGAATCAACATCACAAAACTCATGAAATTCCCTTGGTTTACAGATTTGAGGTGAGTTAAGTTAAGCTTCAAGAACCAACATCACAACACTCATTAACATTCTCTTGGTTTACAGATTTGAGGTGAGTTAAGTTCCAAGAACCAACATCACAACACTTGTGACATTCCCTTGGTTTACAGATTTGAGGTGAGTTAAGTTTCAAGAACCAACATCATAACACTCGTGACATTCCCTTGGTTTACAGATTTGAGGTGAGTTAAGTTTCAATAACCTACATCACAACACTCGTGACATTTCTTGGTTTACAGATTTGAGGTGAGTTGAGTTTCAAGAACCAACATCACAACACTCGTTACATTTCTTGGTTTACAGATTTGAGGTGAGTTGAGTTTCAAGAACCAACATCACAACACTCGTTACATTTCTTGGTTTATAGATTTGAGGTGAGTTAAGTTTCAAGAACCAACATCACAACACTCGTTACATTTCTTGGTTTCTATATTTGAGGTGAGTTGAGTTTCAAGAACCAAAATTACAACACTCCTGACATTCCCTTGGTTTATAGATTTGAGGTGAGTTGAGTTTCAAGAACCAACATCACAACACTCGTTACATTTCTTGGTTTACAGATTTGAGGTGAGTTAAGTTTCAAGAACGAACATCAGAACACTCGTGACATTCCCTTGTTTTACAGATTTGAGGTGAGTTAAGTTTCAAGAACCAACATCACAACACTTGTTACATTTCTTGGTTTACAGATTTGAGGTGAGTTAAGTTTCAAGAACCAACATCACAACACTCGTTACATTTCTTGGTTTATAGATTTGAGGTGAGCTGAGTTTCAAGAACCAACATCACAACACTTGTGACATTTCCTTGGTTTACAGATTTAAGCCAAGATGAGTTGAGTTTCAAGAATTAACATCACAACACTCGTAACATTCCCTTGGTGAAGAGGGTCAACTGCCCAGATTATTTGCAACACTGACTCAAAATGGATCTCTTAAACCACTGCCAGATTATTTGCAACACTGACTCAAAATGAATCTCTTAAACCAAACAGACAATATTTTTCCACATTCCATAAATCATTGAACACTTGTTTCCGTTTTAATAAATACTTCAAATTAATTTTAATGATGATAAATATAACAAATACCAACCTGGCATATGGCATCAAAGAATGTCTGCACCACCTGAATGTCTTTTGTCAGTCTGTGAGGCGATCTCCTGCCAATTTTGCCCACGGCAATGTAAGCCAGACTCCGTAGCTTTGGGTCCTGCAATAGCAGAAGCATTTAATTCCTTTAGTTACTAATGCTAATAACTGATGAATACCCTGACAAAGTTCTTTATCCAGAAACAGCAAAAATGTTCCCCACAATTAATCAAGATTTTGTTTTCTTTAAATATAAATTAACCTGTTCCACATATAACTGAAAAATGACCTTGGCTCTTAGGTCAACCTAGCCTTCAGTGGGTACCAGGTATACTCCTGGGAAGTAAAGGCAGCCGGTGTGATACTGACCACATCACCTACCCAGTGCCGATCTGAATATAAAATATATGTCCAATACACCTGAAGGCATGGAAAACAATCCTTTACTTTTACATATAACTGGAAAATATCAACGCTGAATATTTATACAATATAGAAAGAACAGTTACAGCCATCTTCTATGTTTTACGCATTCACCCTTGAAAGGACATTTAGCACATTGTAGTTTACAGCTAGGCTGCAATATTAGCCTGCTAATTAGGTCAAAATTAGGGATAGATTTCAGCTAAACCTTGATTGTGTGTCTTTTACAACATGCTTATAAGGGCACATGGCTTAGAGTTTAGTATCCCAATACAGTTGTTTACCCGGGTTTGATTCTCATGGTGGGCAGTTCAGAAAAAAAAAGTTATTTTTGTGACTTTCAGGCAGTGGTACGAGAGTTGCACCACAAAAGAGACTGAGGCATCACTAAGTAAATATTCCCAAAGTTATCAGTGGAAACACTGCAGCCAACCTCCATCATGGAGATGGCAAAGTTTGATTCGCTGAGTGGCAGTGAGTCTGTTCTTCTTGTTTCTCCAAAACAAGGCAAAGATATCATATCTTTTATTTTAAATAAACAAGCGTCATAAACTGACAACAGTATTGCCCTATGCCTGAGAAAAGCACACAATTATTCATGACATTATAGCCTTATTCACTTTAATGCATGCTGATATTTGTTTTCTTTTTTTTTTAATAAGGAAATTCATAACAAGTGAGATGTAGCAAAGCAACAATAACATGTTTTAAAATATAAAAACCAAAGAATAAACAGAAAATAAATGAATTAACTGATAGAGGGCATCATACAACTCACTGCTACACACTACAGAGAAACCTTGAGCACCCAGTGTGCAAACAAAGATGCACTGTTAATATTTAATTGTACATTTCCAAATTTTCAGACATGACTGAGATCAAATAATTGTACACAGTTTGGTACTATACATGCTAGCACACTTTCCTGTCAGCCCTGTGGGCATGGATTCAAATCTGCATCAAGTTGTAAACAAATCGGTTAAGAATGCTGAACAGTTAAGAACCATGGGTTCTCTTTTGGGAGACCCAGGTTCAGTTCTCAGTAAGTGATGATCATTTTTCTGCCACAGGCAAAAAATGAAATTCTAACCTGCAGTCTCTTTGACAGCACCAGCCATGCAGTCTGAAATCCTGGGTTCAATCTCAGCTGCAGACAATTTGGCAGCAGAATGTGTTGCATTGGTTTCATCAGTGGTACCAAGAGCTGACCGTTCAGAAAGCAATAGCAAACTACTGAATGTACATTTTTCCTAGAAAAACCACAACAGTAAAAAAAAATGCTGGGGCTTGTTCTGCAACATCCTGTTAAGGATAAGCAAGTTTTTTTGTCACATACAGCCCTAAAAAAGTGGTAAATAAGGTAGTAGACCTAGTCTCCCAGATTGACTCAGTCTAAAAAGAAGCATGAGGAAATGTCCTGGGAAGTAAAGGTGGTTGGCATGATGCTGACAGCGTTAACAACCGATTGCTGATGGGTCAACACGATTATAGAAATATAGCCTGTAACAAATGCCTGATGCAACTCGTGGCTGAAAACACTTTACATTCATTCACTCATTGTCCTATTGTGTCATTATATATCATATAAGGTTCACAGTCTAATTTGCCATTCTGTTCTATCTTGTGCAATCACGTCAATATCATGAATGGAATCCAGTCCAGCACCTTTGGCTTCTCTCATCAATGTCTGCTTTAAGGTTTCCCTTGGTCAGTTTCATTTCCTCAATCACTCCATTTCCCATTTTAGAGCCATGACTTGGCTCTGGTGTCACCCACCATCACTCCTCTTTGTAGATGGAACACACCGGGGTACCATGACAGCAACCACCAGCCTTGTGTCATCTTGGTTGAGGAGAATAGGAAACGCAACCACAAGAACAGAACAAATGCTTTTTAATATGACAGCACAGGACAGGATGACATCATTAAGGTTCGACATAAATTACCCCCCCCCCCCCCTCCCCCAAAGCGGTGGAAAAAAAATGGACCAGCCACCATGATTGGATGAAAAGGTTGAAAAGGCATGGCTGGAAAAAAGGCAGGTTTTAAAAGTGTGGCAGAAGGCCAGGAAGAGTAACACATCCCAGCCAGATTTCATGAATGACCTGAAAGATAAAGTTAACAAGACGACCATGGCCTTCAAGCTACGTGCAACACAAACACAGATCAAGAATGAGAAATGGAATGAGTAGTGTAAGAAGCTATGCTCGGAAGGGTCTCTTGCAACATTCTGGCGACTTCACCAGGTAATGAACGGAACCACACGTATCCTAGACTTTGACAGCACAGATCTGACATAGTAGAAATCTGATGCAGACAAAGGACAAGCCCTTCTTCAGCGGTACTTAGAGCAGACTGACCAGAAAAATGAGGCAGCCAGACTTAGAGTTAAGACCACACTCTCGGAGTTGTGCAAGAAGGCAGAGCTGAGTGATTACTATGTTATCACCACTGAGACCATACGAACAATGCTCAAGAAATCACATAACACTACCCAAGGCCCCGACGGCATCCGATATGCTTATATACTGCAGATGTCAGAGGATGACACGACAGCTCGCACGAGAATTCAACGGCAGCATCCAGAGTGGTCAGATCAAAGAGGAGTGGCTACACAGCTACTTACTACCACTGCCAAAACCAAACAAAGACCACTCAAAGATCAGCGGCAGGTTACAGTCCACACTTGGAGGACACAGGTGCAATAAAGAGACATGGCTCAATGCTGCAGTTTTCACCCATGATGTCTATGAAGGTTTTAAAGCGAAAGAAGAGACATGTGCAGCTGGACTAGATTTATAAGATGCGTACAACAGAGTATCCTTTGACTACCTGTTGCAGATCCTACTCCAGCTAAAAATATCTCCCTTCATAATTCGCTAGCTAGCTGCAGCACTGTTCCAGAGACCTGTGGTACTCAGGTGTGGTTGTTGGTCCTCAAATCCGATAACCATTTGCCCTGGATTGTCTCAAGGTTCTCCACGGTCCCCAGTCCTCTTTAATGTGTATACATTGCGAATAATAGACCAGCCATTGAATGGGAGTGGCAGGACTCTGTCAGTTGCTAATGACATTTTGGTCTACATACATAGAAGAAAGCTTTATGACATTTCCAATGCAATGCAGAGCGAACTGGATCACATCTCCTCCTGGTGTGTGGAATCTAGCGCACATGTCAACCCTTCAAAAGCCTCAGTAACGTGATTCTCCTTGAACACGCATATGGTTCAGACAGACCTACCAGTGGTGTAAATTAGCGGCTAAGCTTTGACGAGAACACACCCGATGACATGTCTGGGTGTGAAGTTTAATAGCAGTTTGTCATTCAAAGACCACTTCGACCATGTTATAATGAAAGCCTGTAAAGGCTTATCAGCAATAAGGGTCCTGGTCAGAGGACGATATCATACATGACTGCCAACTTACAGACATCAACCTCGGCGAAGAATGGATACCTGTGCCCCAGGTGCTCAACAGCACCTTTTCCTGTGTTGTCATGCTTGTTAGGAGCTGTCGCGAGCAGAATCCAGTTGCTGTCAATGGAGAGATCCATGAGCTTGAATGTAAAAATTTTAATGAGGCAGATGTACTGATCTACACAGATGGGTCCCTTGTACGAGGACTAAAAAGTGCGTGGGCATTTACTGCGTGCTCTGCAGGCAGTCCAGGAGGCCAGTAGTGCCTTCTGTATGACTACTAGTAGCATGACAATGAAGGTGATGGCGGTAACACGAGCTTTCATGTGGCCAGCATCGCAGAGCTATTCTCACATGTGTGTGTGCTGAGTAATTCCCTGAGCATGATCCGGCAGGTCAGGGCAGGCTTTGTAAGCAGATAGTGGATTGAGGAGTCATTGCAAAACTTTACTGTGCATGGAGTTACTTTCATCTTTGTCCCAGGGCATGGGGGTGTTGTTGAAAATGAAAGATCCTACAGATTAGCTGGCTCTGCCTAGTTACAGAGGGCCAGACCATTGATTAGTCAGACATTGTTAATGCCATTAGAGAGGTAGGAAGATTTTGGGATCATCACATCCACATTTTTGCTAATAGTGCAAGAACTGGGAGTAAAGATCAGCACAGCCAAGCAAAAGAAGCACACCAGATGCAAAAGAAGTTTTGTCAACCAACACAGGACTGGTATTTTAACCGCTGGACGCTGATGCATATGTTGAAGGGGAGACATGACCACCTATGGACTTGTCCGGTTGGTCGAGAAGATAACCCAAATCATAACTCATTACCCATTTTGTGTTTAATATTTTCCTCAGGCATTTGTTTTCAAATATATTTAACTTTCTTTTCATGTCTTTAGTGGTTCTCCCACTTTCCCTGACATATGTTAACATTGAAATAACATTTGAAAAGAAAATACATAACTTGGTTATAAAAATATATAAAACCTATTTACTTTTATTACATAAAATTTAAAGCTATTATCTTCAAAGGAAGCCAGTGGTAATGAACTCCTCAACATCTCTTTTAAATGACGAAAATATGCAATGTTACCAGATTTCATTTAAAAACGTCCACAAAGCTTTCAGGAAACTTTAAAAATTGCCACTTTGGTACTAAAATACAATTTTATATTATTGGCCGCTTTAAATGATTTTATTTACATTTAAATTTGCCGTGTCCTGGCATTAGTCCGTGGTTTTGAACATTTTTATTGTCCCTTAGACAACTAAAATTTGGATCTGTACAGGTTTGAGAAGCCATGTTTCCACATGGCAGTGTTGTCACTCTTTCCTTTTATAAAACATACAAATAAATGTACTTTTTCCTCAGAACAGCATAAAATACATACACATGTAAGTACACATTACTGATAAAACAGTGGCTTGTATAAACCACTATAAGTTTGAAATATTAGTATAAATATTTTGCAGAATCAAACACCACATACATCACTCTACACAAAGACAACAACAGTGCCCCAGAGCAAACTAACTGTTATTTGTAACAGTAACAATATTCGTCCTTGCTAAGTGAATTCAGTGAGCTATAAGTAAGCAAGCAGTGTCCAACACTTGTAAATTTTAACTGGCTTGCATTTCTTAGTAATGCCAGATTTCTGAGAAACATATAACTAACTATTATATACTTAAAACATGATGAGCAGACATGAGAATGATTATCTTGTCAGCCATGAGTACAAAGCACATGCTTCTCAGGCAGCAGATGTCAGTGAAATTAGCATTGACATTTAAATGATTCTTGTTGACCTGAAGGTCTCAAGCGCAGATTCGCACGAGACAGATTTTTAATTATTTATCTTAGCTCCAAAGTCAACCCAGCCTAAAACATGTACCAGAAAATATTCTGGGAAATAAAGGCAGCAAGCATGGTGTCGATCAAAATACCCATCAAGTGCTTGTTGGTCTATAAAAATGTGAGTCTCCTCTATGTACTTCATGCATGAAAAGGTACTTTGCTTTTTTTTAAAAACTTTTTTTTTTCAATGTTAATGATTCTAGTGACACTCAATAACATGTCTCAGAAAGAAAAGAAAAGTTTAAATTAAAAGTGGTTGACTAAGGTAAAATCTTGTGGACCTAAAAGAGGAGGTTGGGGAGGAAATGGGTAGAACTGACCGAGACCAAAGTTATCTTAACTACACTAGGAAAATAAAAAGGAACACTAAAAGGGAACCAAATGTCTTTACACAATGTAATAACAGAATGCCTATAAAATTCTTGTGCAGCTTTAATCCTTTCACACTGGAAATCCTTAAGGAAAGAGGACAGAACCAGGAAATTAAACAACAACAACAAAATACTATTTTATGTAAGTCACTACAAATTTATATTTTTTAAATTTATCTATATTTATATTTTTTACATTAGTTTATAAATATATAAAGGGGAGTAATCAAGCAAACATGAAAAGACTGAAGAATTAAATAATTCTCTCTCTCTCACACGCACCCACCTTACACACAACCCCACCCACGCAAACATGCATGCGCACACACACACACACACACATACACAATGTATACAGTGACCCTACTATTATGCAATTACTAAAGGTGAATATTGACCTCATAATGACTTTTAATTGTGACATTTTTTATGTCACTGGCTTTAACTCCAGCAGAGAGTTAAACAGTTGTTTCTTCACTTCTAGACTGGTCTTAATCCAGAACTTGAGTTTTGCATGCACACCCGTTTTAAGATTTTGCTTATTTGTATGTGGACAGTTGGTTTGCTTCTTGGCCTCTTAGGCAGTTAACTTTGAAGAAAACACTCCTAATTAGTTGTCTCCTATGACATGCTTGTAATGGGGGCAGTTAGTCTATTCTTTGTTATCCAAAAGAATTTTTTCCAACAGGTATGGTTCTAAAGTCAACCCTGCTTCATAGTAATGTGTTCCAGACAATTTGGAACTGTCACAGGGAATTTCTTGAATAATCAGGAAATTGGAATTGTCATAAGAAATTTCCAGATTTTCAGGAAATTGTCTGGGAAAGAAGGTGATAAGGAAGAAACCTGGTTAGTTGTTTTCTTATGCAGTGGATAAGAGTACGTGAAGGCCTATATTTCAAATCAAAATGGCAGTATCTGCTTTGAGACTACCATTGCCTTTCATTGAACAACTGAAATAGAAAACAGAAGAACCAGCAGAACAAGCAGAACAAGTCATGAATCTCACCCCATCTCGCTCGCCTGCAGGATTTTGTATGTTCCCTAGGCTGTCCTATGTTCTAAGGGTGTCCAGTGTTGCTTGTTTTGAGTGTTTTAATCCCATCCACCACCAACGACAACCACCGCCAATGAGTGCATAAATACACCAATGATCCGATATTCATAAACCGTCGTGCCCTCAGCATTTACCCCTGCAGTACTTCTTCCTCGCACACAGGCGCCTGCGGCACCTCAGCTATTCACAACAACATATTCAAGAAACAACAGTCGTTCACATAAAAGACAGTTGCGACAAGAAGCTGCACAGCTTAATCTGGGGGACAATGTGTCGACCTTGTCAAACAACGTGAGCCAGTTTTTGCCACAGAGTGTATAGATGGGGAAGGAAGGCAACTCATAACACCCCTAGAACATAGGACAGCCTTTGGGAACAGCCCCGAATTCTCACGCTCGAGTTAGATGGGGGTGAATTTTGTGATTAGTGCTGAATCAGCTTTTAAATGATCATTCATACTTAAACCATTATACATTTTTTTTTAAAGTATTATTGTTCTAAAATACACAAGACCTTTGTGGTGTAACATAATTTTTATGGGTTAACTAAAAACTGTTTCACTAAAACTGGTGAAAAAATAAAGCAACCCTGACACGAACAAATTTTCATAATAAAGTGCTATGATAAGGGTTTTAATAAAGGTGCAAGAAACTTTTTCCTAATGGTTCTAAATAACATGATGTGGTGTCATTTCTGGTGTTTTTTTGTTTGTTTTTTAATGTGTATCCTTTCCATGTCACAAACTAACCTCTGTATTTACTGTCTGTGTGTGATTACAATAGGCAATATTTACAGGAGTTAGCATTTACTCCAGTGGAGTTTAGTTTCACTGAAACAAGTAGACTACACAATTAGATTCTCAGCCAACGGGGAATGATGAGATTATCTTATGAGTGATGGACAGACTAAGACATAAGGAAATGAAGTGGCTGGTAGATGAACAAGCTAGTGAACAGATGCACTGACACAAGACTGAGTTATGTGTGAACTGATGTCATGAGAAATTAAAAGGGACGGACACTAGATATCATGCAGCTAAAAGTTGTGTAATTTTTTTTTTTTTAAGTATGGGTCACTGCCCATGCTGACTTGCCTTGTACAACATATGCTTGTCGATTTTCTGATTCTGTGAAAATTCAGTTTCAATTTAAAACAGTGCATACATGGTCACTGTAATTGAGGAAGGATACTGTAAAAATGTGAATTACAAAATAACATAATCATAAATGACCATATTAATTACAGAGCAAATATCTGTCTCACTGAATTATTAACCAATAATTATGTGAAAATAATACTGAAGTTTATTTTTTTTAAATTTGTATACATTAAATGCATATGCGAAACGCAGCTAAGATACTTATACAGTGATTGTGTCTTTCAGAGATTTAAATAGGTTTTATGCCATATGGCTCTCTCCCTCTCCCTCTCTCTATAAAGAGACTTGAGGCTCACGAGAGTTGCACAATGCACAAAACGCCATAGCTCCAGCAATGACTCCCGAGAGTTCCCAAAACACCCGCACTCACGAACCAAGGGCTGGAGTCCAAAAGTGAACCCACAAAATTCAGAGCACAACGCAAATAGCTTGATCACTTCACAGACAAGCTGTGGGGAACCAGATGCACCATTCTGTTTGTAACCCAACTAAGGCTGAATGTTTAGCTCGGCTAAAGTCGAACATAGAAGAAGAGACCTTCCCTGATTCTTCTTCTTCTTCTTCTTTGTGTCCACCAGCTGTAAACTCCAGCAGAAAGTTCTGTTTGTTCCGACTTTGGTCTTGTGCCAGAAACTGAGTTATGTGTGCACATCCGCTTTACAGATTTGGCTCATTTATGTGCAGACTATTGGTTTCTTGCCTGTCAGGCAGATGAACTCCAACTTTGAAGGAAACTCCCCTAAGTAGTTACCTTTTATGGTATGCTTGTTAGGGGGGCAGTCAGTTTAAACTCCCCTCTCACCCCCTCCCCCATAATGGAGGCCCAAAACTCACATTTAAGCATTGAAGATGAAACAGTTATAAGTTACTGAAAACTATTTCTTAAATATAACATTTTTTAAAGATTTCCTGGTAACTCTTGATTTAAGAACAGCTCAAAAGTGTCATGCTTTAAATATAAAAGTATGTGATGTCAGGTATTCTGAAATCACAATATATGTGTTTTTCTTAGGTTCAAGTTGCTTTAGCAAAAATTACATTCTTCAACCACTTGAACATGAGCTTTAGTTTAGCTCTGATGTCTAGAGACTGGTGCACTGCAGTTTGCCAATAAGTTTCAAAGATCAAAGATACAAACTGTTTGTGACTGACCTTGTACTAATAGACTTTTAAGTATTATAAAGTCAAGGAGAAATTACATTCTTAAAACACTTGAACATAAGCATCAGTTTAGCTCTGTTGTTTAGAGACTGGTGCGCTGCTGCTTGCAGATGAGTTTCAAAGATGCAAAATATTTGACTAACCTTGTACAAATAGACTATAAATCACAATAAAGTAAAGAAGAAATACATCTACTCTTTCAGTACCAAACAACTCACCACAGTTTCTGGGCATTCTACAGATTATAGTAAAACATCATTAACCCTATCACCCCAAGAAGCTGTAAAACCAGCACTTCCAGCTGGGTCCAATACCCTATAATGTCACTTTTCTGGCTTGCCTATAATGTCATCCTAATGAGGTGCATAGTTAATGCTGTTAGATGTTTTCGCCCCCTGTACAACTGCCTAGGAGGTCAGGATATCAAATTGCTTGTTTTAAAGCCAAGTTGATGTCAGTTTCCCATAAGCCTCAGTGATAGAGGTCAGGGGTCATGGCATGAATCACCAGATACATCTGTGCTGCTTTCTTTACACCCAAGGGGATGTATTCCATTTAATGCTTTATTCTCTGTTTATGTTTACTGATCGCTCCTTTGCATGCATCTTTATATATTTCAAAATATTTTGAATTTTTTTTTTTGAATTCTAACAGGATCATGACCTTTATTTTTAGTGTTCTTGGGGCAAAAAAAAATTAACATGAATTCCAAGTGACTGAAAAATCAAGAGTTTATGTTAAAAACAATTTGTGCTAACCGGCGACTAATATATTTATTATGAATAATACATCCCTGCCTGGACCATAACATGTTCTTGTTAACCAAGTGTTTATCTTAAGCCAGTACTCATTAATGAGGTTTTACTGCTAGCTTGGTTGGGGCACGTGGTGAGACATAATTCGATTGCAAAGACTGCTTCAAGAAACACTGGGAAGTAATCAAAGAAGAGGGAAAAGCAGGACCTGCAATGACAACATCAAGAAATGGACAGGACTAAGTTATTATACACTTATTTATCAAGCAGAAGACAGAGAAAGATGGTGTTTTATGTGCTAGTGCTTCCATCGATATGCCTCCACGACCCTAAAGGGTCAAGGGTTATGTTATGTTACTGTTTAATGCTCTTGCTGTCTTCTAACACCGGAAAATCTTACATTAACCCTTTGTATCAGAATTTTTAGTTTAACCACTTCTGTCACATATCATTTCTGTTAAATTCCATCAGACAAACGTGCCCACAGCTTGCTAAGTTCAACTCCCTGGCAGCGAAGGAGTTAAAGTATAAACTTTAAATTTAACTCCTCATAATCAGACCTCCACGTAATATTTTTTCAGTAGCAGGTGAGTAATGGAAGCAGGAGATATCCTTAAAAAAACAATTACACAGGTTGCATTTTAACAATCACACAACATCTGGCTTGACTTATATAAGTGAAAGTGAAAGGATAATACTATGATGAAATAATCACCTCTTTTGCTTCTTGAATCAGCTTCAACATTCCATTCAATAAAACCGCATCAAGCATTGCAAACTTGGCATCATCACAACTGAAAGAGTAGAGGACAATATACATCAGGATTATCAATCAGTAAACTCCAGTCATGGGTCATAAAAGTGTTATGATGGAAGATTCAACACTCGTGGTCCTTCACGATTCCCTGTGTTTTCCGCACTGCTCAAGAACTTTCCAGACTAAACAGCCACTTTCGTACTCATAATCATTGATCATTACTACTTTGGATGAAAAGTGGTCTTCATAACTCGTGATGGACAAACAACAACACTGGAAAAGGCGGACTATGTTTCCAGTTTATGTGTCTCAAGCATTTTCATACCCAGAATGCCTTTAATGTCTCATGTCCACTGTTAACATTGGTTAACACTTGCCTCTTCTTCTAGGAACCATGTCTTTGATTACTGTTCTGCAAAGTCACTGTGCGTTTAATATGGCTAAAAAATAGCACAACCAGCCCAGGCAGTCTGTCACAGAAGTTACGTCCTTCTGAAACTTCCTACTCCACTTTTACACTTGCTGGACTGACAGGCATGCATCACCATACCGGACCTTCATTCACCGATGAATTTCTACAGGTTTCAAACCCCCCCCCCCCCCCCCACCCTTTCCACCCAAAAAAAAAAGGATTACAGAATTCTGATCCTCTTTGGTGCCTGTTAAAAGTAGGCAGCCATCTCTAAACTGTCATTATGATGTCACTGTTGCCATATGCACCCAGATGTCATGTGCTGAACACTGTTAACATCTTTAACAACAATACTGACAGCTTACAAGACAACGGCATGGTTTTCATTTGAAGCCTCCTTATATAAGGTAAGTTGGCATCTGTGGCTTAGGCGTTGCAAATGTGCTTCTTAATGCCGGGTTCGATCCCAGCTGTGGGCCTTACGTTGGTTTCAACAGTGGTATCGAGAAGCTGACCATCCAGAAAGCAATGGCAAACTACTGGATGTAAACTTCCTAGGAAAACCACATCAGCCAAAAAAATGCTGGGGTTGGTTCAGCAACTATATAAGGTAAACTGCAAAGATTGCATGAAAAAAAGGGTGGAAAAGATCAGCTTTTTAAGGCAACAATACAAAATAATGGAGTACATCAAAAGACAGCAAAAATCTTGATCAATTAAACAACCAGTACATAAACAAATAATATAATTATATAAAAGTGTGCTCATCTGGCAAAATGTGGGACTCACCAGGTAATGAGATCTAAACCTTTAAGTAACTAAACTAACATCAATTTGACTAACACTGTGCTCTTATTTTTGTTTGCTGATGAAAACTTGTTGCCAAAATATTCACTCTCTCCTTTATGATCATCTTCTTATGAAGATTATTTCCTCATGTGGATTCACCCCCCCCCCCCCCCCCCCCCCCCCCCCCCCCCCCCCCCCCCAATCTATTAATTAGGAGTGTTTCCTTCGAAGTCAAAGTGCATCTGCCTAAGAAACAAGGATTCAACAGTCTGCATGCACATAAACCAAATCTGTAAAATGGGTGTGTACTCAAAACTCAAGTTCTGGAACAAGACTAAAGTCCAGAAGCGAACGAACAACCAGAATTTTTTGCTGGACTTTACAGCGGTGAATGCAAAGAAGAAGAAAAAGTAGTAAAGAAGACATATATCATCTGGTAACCAAGAAATACTAAAAAAAATTCCCTTTTAAATTAAGCAAGCATAATAACAAATGGCACTTATTTATATTAATTTGTTACATAAAATTTGATGTGCAAAGGTTTGCTACAAACATTCTAGATTCCATATTTTAAAATACATAAATCTGACTTGATATTTTTAAACTTGACCTAATTATTTTAAATAATACGTAAACTAGGAACATGTAAATTCTGACTTACTTGAGACAAATATGATGGACAAATTCTACAGCCATTATACGAAGTTTAGCATTCGGGGATGGACCAAACAGGCAATCAAACACAAGCTGTAGATAAAACAATCAGTAAGTCTTACAGCTAAAAAAAAAAAAAAAGATATATTGTGTGATCAAATAATTTTTTTTTTCAAATACAAGATGGAAAAATGTTTCTAAAAAAAAATAAAGATAACTAATGATGAAAATATGCAACCGACAAAAATTATATCCAGAAACATGTAATAGTTAGTCTTTGCTACCTCATAGACCAAAAATTAATCAGTCAGCCACATCAGCATAGTTGCTAAACTTGCCTGCTGATCCAAAGGTCTAGGGTTCAAATCCACATCAAGGCAGATTTCCTTTTTTTCATAACTGACTTTGGCTCTTAGGTAAACTGAGCATAAAATTATTATGGCCTGGAGAGAATGAGGCACCTGGGTGTAACCAGAGGGTCTGGCTGACTCAGTACACTCAGAGGAATTGCAAGATGGACATATAACCAGATTGTGACCAGTACCATCAGTATTGGAACTCTGCGCTGGCTGCTGAAGATTAGGACCGAGCACACATGGGAATGCCTCGAGTGCTGTGATGTCAATTCTTGACTAAACTCAACTCCGAGAATAAAAGTAGTAGCCAGGTAATATCTTGAGAAGTAAAGGTGGCTAACCACATAACCATCAAGATCTTATTGGTATATAAAAATACAGATCTAGCACTACATGCCAAGGTGTGAACAGGGTCTTTGACTTCTCTACATTTGGGAATATAAGTGTTTATTACATATGAATCAGAAAATAAGGAATCAATCAATAACCCACTAAGACTACATGTATTCAGCATAAAATGAAAGCCAGTTAGTGCTGAATCAGAAAATGACTGATCAAAGTGAAAGTTGCAGACATATAGCATCATCATAAAGCAGAAGGCAAGACACACTTAATTAAATGCTGCAAAAATAAATCATCTCTTCTGAATATAAAAAGTGGGGATATAATCATTATAAATAATTACAACTGCATAATATGTAAAGAGACAAAATATGTAGTAGAAGTGGCAGGTGTAGATGTCAGGTTCTTTAGTATGTGTTGACCAATTGTAAAAGAAAAAAAAAGTTAAAGCACTTGGAAGAGTAAATCACATACCATGTGTTGCTTGGGGGTGAAAAAGGGATTTACACAGAAAGATTTTTTATAAACACATGAAGAAAATCGGCCACCATGGCAGGCATGGGAGGCTAAGAATCAGGAAACCAGACCTCAAGGTAGACCCAGGGTCTGATGGGAAGACAACATCCGACAGTCCCTAACTGACAGAGGACTGGAATGGAACAAAGCCAGAAAGAAAACTGCTGATAGAGACGTCTAGCAATCTCTCTGGCAAACCTCTACACCCCAAGGTAGAAGAGGATCGACTAAGTAAGTAAGTAAGAATTCAATAACTCTTTCTGTCTTGTTCATTTGTAGCTTAAAGTAACAAATGAACAAACAAGAACCAATGTAAATGCTTCAAAATTATCCTACCTGCAAGCAAGCAGGAAACATGTTGCTTGCCTCCCTTGCCTTCAGGAGTATGGGGAAGATTTTCAGCCTGATCCTAGGACCAACAGCACTACGTCGATCATCAGGTTTTACAGTCGGCTGAAATTAAATGTTTAAACAAATTTATCATATTCTCATATAAAAATACTGTCAGCGGCGTACAAGCTTTCGCCCTTTGTCCTGATATAATTTTTGGTCGTATTAAAATAAATGTTAAGAATTCTGTTTCTATTCCACAATGGCATTGTCGAGAAAGAAAAAGGAAAAAACATGCACAAATAAAAGTTTATAGAAAATTATATCAATGAGTGTTTTATTGTTGATAAAGACTTTAGCTGAAATGTGGATCTAATAGTTCAACAAGAAAAACTGATGTTCTATTACTTGCTAAAGTCTTCAGTTAAAATGTTTAATGTTTTTTTTATGTGAGTCTTTTCCTTTCCTTCCACTGAGTTTGCCAGTCATAGTTTGTGTTGTGTTAAGCTAGTTACTGCTTACAAGACAGTGGTCCGAATTCAATCTCCAGGAGTGGCAATACTGTTTAAACCAGTGCATCTCTAGAATACACCCAATCTTTCAACAGGAGCATGACAAATTTGCCAGAATTTTCTGGAAATTATATGGGATTTAAGAGTCAGTAAGAAACTGGTAATCAGTCCCTGTCAAGGACCTGATATCTATATTATTGAACTAGGGCTCGCTAACGGCCCTGTGACAGACAAACTATACTAAAACACACTCAACACATACACATATGGAGCGCACACATCTTCTTTAATGGCCAAAGAACAACAAAACCTAAAAAAACAACCTCCACAGTTATGGACAGTCCCTTATCCGAAACCCCAGGGCAGTGGCGGCAGTTATATTTACCTATCCACCCCGGGCCATTCCCGTGGATATACCCAGAGGACACGATTCCACCTCCTGTAGTGCAGCGCTAGCTAGGCTACGATCTTCACCATGCGAGACTCAGTGGCACACGCAGGGTGAGTGGTTCAGTATTATCGGACAATGTCAACGACAGCACAAGACGCAGATAACCCCTAAACACCCAGGGACAAGAACCCTTACCTAAACATGGTACAACCCCAACACAACTGTCTTAGCATACTATCAGCACACAAGGAATAACAACAGCTAACCGACACATACGACGACAACGTTAACACAACCTATCTGTAAATTCCTAACAACAAAATACAATCACGTCTCTAAAAAGTCTTCATCCTTGCACGTCCATTCTAACCGTCCTCCCTCTCTGTCCGTTCAGCTCCGGGTCAAACGTGTACGTTGCACCAGTGTTCAAGCATCTCGGGTTTTCCCCGTATCATCAAATCAACTGGCTGAGCGCTGGTGTATATTTTGGTCCGTCAAACACCAACATGCAGTTACACTTTGTATTGTCTATACTCTGTCCCACAGGGCTATGACAGTCCCCATTCCGTTGTGTCCTGGTAAATATGAAAGCGAAGTACCACACCTGTTGGCAGCTTTCCACCTTTCAAGAGAAAAGTGTTTTATTGTGCCACAGGGAGGAATGGGAATCACGGCCCATAGTGATGGCAAGTGTGACTAACAAGACCCACTCGCGTTAAGAAAAGTCTAACTCAATTAGAGCGTGGGATTTGAAGACATGTTGCCATGGCATAAACTTAATGTGCTTTTTCTCTGATGCTCGTCTTTTAACCTATCTGCAATAATGCTCTCCTTTATCCCTTTCCCTTTAATGATTTTTTCCATCCATACAACACAGCCCATCCTGATCCCATGAATCCTTATTGAAAACACTACACAAAGGAAACATTTATGTCGCTAAGTTAATTTTCTTTAGTGCAATTACATTTCCTTATTTACCTGTCCTTTCACCACAACAGTGCCTTGAAATATGGAAAAGAGCTTGCTCAGAATTTCCTTAGAGTTCCAATCCACAGACCTAAGACAATACATATATTGACATATTGTAAATAGAGAAAAACTGGAATACAATGTGACAACTTTGAAAATATATGGTAAGAGAGATGGAGAAAGATTATAAGAGAAGAGTCTTATCTTGACAGTCTTCGGTCATGACAAGGATGGGTGTCAGTACACAATCTGACACATGGTGGAGATCTGGCAGATTAAGAGAAGCATATGCCCATGCCTGTTAGTCAGGCACCTGATGATGATAGCTATACAGTCTACGTCGGCAATTGAATGCCTCAAAACTCAAACAACTTTTAATCAGAATAAACTTTTCAACTAAATTTTGCCTCGGAACTAGAACACCACCTTGGAAACTAAATGCTTGGCATGTGCCAAGCACGTGACTGAGTTGACAATGCGAGTGCTTTGCCAGCAGCAGAAGGAAGAAACTGCAAAAGAAATTCTTTCCTGTGAGGGAGAGGGGGAAGATAGAAAGATCAGCAGTCCTGAAATCCAAGAACTTTTGTCCACTTGATCAAAAACACAAGAAGGTGTTGAGAGGTGGCACCCTGATGGAGCTCTAGTTAACATTTTCAATGATAACATTATCAAACATTTTAGACAAATTAAAAATGGTTGTCAACACCAGAATACTCTGAAATGCTGCTATCAACAAAAACTAGTAATGAGGTTACTAGTTTTTGTTGACAGCAGCATTTCTCTACAAGTGGTTAACGACTACAATATGAAACATCTGAAAGGATTCCTGACATTATCATGGAAGGTGATTCACTTTCCAAACAAAAATCTCCCTAAATCCTTTCTCCTCCTACTTCTATGTACTATGTCACCATTTTGATCAATATTTTTATATCTTTTTATTTATTTATATTTGTATTCAAATGTGATCCTCGTGTGTTACTATGTTTACAATGTACTGTATTCACAAAATTACATTTTATAAATTGAGCTTGTTGGACCCTGGAACAAATTAATTCTAATTGTATATATATTTATAAATAAAATTATCTTTCATTTATGCCATTACTTATCATGTAGAGGAACAGTCTGGGGGTCAGGACTGTGTGAATAATTACTAATCTATTATCTCTTTAGGCACCCTCTTGCTCTCACAAGAAATATATAAAACCATCACCCAGCAAAATTATTATTCAGACTGATTATTGGAACAACACAATGTACTCGATTCATCAAGAAACAGTAGATAAAGTGGTCTGGTCATCTTGTTAGAATGCAGAAACATCAAATACCATCACATGCACTACATCTCAGAAGATCAGCTTCATGAGCAAGAGGACGGCAACAAAAAATATGGACAACACTAAAGGCAATAGCCAGTGCCAGCTAATGCGCAGTGGATCGCAAATTATTTCTCCCCATGAAGCCTAATGGCAGAACAGGTTTATGATGATGATAAAGATGTTGAAATATTTTACATCTGGAGTAAGTTATTACATTATAATTTTACACATGACAAATAAAAGCTTACCCAGTTATTTTCTTTAAATCCATATCAGCAGATGTAGCAACACTGGAAAGAAAGAAAAGATGAATATCTAATGGGATGGAAAGAAAATTTTTGTAATACAATGTCAACAAATTTATGTGTCATCTCCACAATGAAAGTTGGCTACAGTACTGTGATGAGGTGCTTTGCATGGTCCCTACGATTACATTGTGGCAAGCAGAAAGTCCGTGCAACAAGGGACAGCACGAGATACTTGTGGCTAGTCGAGTAAGCGAGGGGCAGCCCGAGCTAGACTTGTGGTCAGTTGATCAACAGAAGTCGTAGAAGACAGTTACAGTTATTTGAAGATGTAGTCTTTATGTCTCAAGCGATAGAAGTGTAAATAGTTGTGGAAGGTGTGGAATAAAAGTAACTGAATAAACTGACAGCATGTACAAAGGAGCCGACTGGTGTTTGTGTTGTCAACCCTAGACGTTAAAGCCGGTGTAAACCAAAGTTTATTTCAAGATAGTTGAAAGCGTAGCTTCAGTGCAAACCACAGAACATTCAAAGTGGGACCATGCAAAGCACCTCATCACAAGTACACCCCCACTGCTGTCTATGGGAATATTATGTTGTGAGGTCCCAAACTTGTCCACAGTGCAGCTCATGTACTACTATCTGAAAACAATGACAGCAATAAACTTAAACCAAGAAAATTAAACTTTAGGATCACGAAACTGTTAAACTCATCCACTAATCTCTAAGACACAGAGTTAATGGCTACCAGAAAACATTAATAGCTAATGTGACTAAAAGAAAGCATTAATATCTAATATGACCAATAGAACATAATGGCACAATTGGCCCCCAGCCAAAAAATTGGTAGGAGGAAGTTTTGTAGAAAGTGAAGGCAGCCAGGTGGAATGTTGACCTAAACCAAGTGCCAATGAATCTATTAAAATATGATAGAAACAATACTGACTAGCATGATCAAGACATTCTGACAAATACAGAAAAAAAAGCTTCACAAGAAGGAACACCCCAAGTTGAGCATCAAACTCTAAACACTCACCTGTGCCTGGTATCTGAAGAAGCCACCACAAGATGGCAAGCAATATCTGACTCTTCGACCACACCACTAGTTATAAATGTGATAATGTTGAGCTTGGCTTTCTCCAGATCATCTGGTGACAAGGGATTCTCAGAGATCAGGCGCTGAAATGCAGCCTGGCTGAGACCTGGTGGTGGAGGCACAGATGAAGGTTGCACATTTGCAGCATTGGCATCAGAGCCATCATCTGCACGTCGTGGGGCTGCTGCTACTTGCGAGCTGATGAAATAGATAAAGAGAGTTCACATTTATTTCCTGCTAAACCCATGAAACCTGTTAAACAGAAAAGGTAATGCTACTGGAGTCTTAGATTATCATAATGGATTATAGTCCCTGCATGTCAGAAAAGTCGCTAGTGGACACAGACCTATGCCCTGATCAGTGTTTTTGATGAGTACACTAAGAGTGACAAAACAAAGTTGGCTTTTTTTTTAAAATAATCATCATCATCAAATAATATCATCTTTGTAATGAATGTTGGCTGTAATGAGTTTCTAACACCATTTGCCCCACTTCTTCATGGTGTACTCATACATGTTTCTTTCATATTATCTCAATGTTATAATTGTAGTGCACATGTAATTTTACCAGTGTTCCATTGGAATCCTTTTCTTTGTGAAAATAAATGCACAAGTCACAAACCAAGATCTTGAACTTGGAAACAACACATTACAACAGCCACTGAGACCATACTATGGAATTAAAATATTCATTATGTAGAAATCAACATTTTAAGACAACTGCATCCTACTACTGTATTTTTCCAAGTATTAAAAAAAAATGTCTTTCCAAATTTTTTGAGTTTAAAAGTGTGAGGGTCATCAAATAAACGGAATGTGTTTAAAATATTTATTTCCTAAATCTGGGCACAAAATTTAAGGGTCGTCTTATACACTGGAAAAACATGGTAGTTTCTACAGACAAAGATCAAGATGGCTTAATATATAATAATTATTACTACAGGGTAACAATGTGTTGAGAAGTATGATAAAGATCTTCATTATTTCAAGACTGCAAAATAATCAAAATCACCATTCTGATATGTAAAAAAAAGACATGAAACCTACTTGTATGGCAAAAGCAGTACATCCATAAAATAGTCCAGGAGCAAGCGCTTCACTGCAGGCTTGTCCCTCAAAGGAAACATGGCCCTGACTTGAGCATCTGTCTTTGGCATTTTGATATGCTGAAGTGCTGGTAACAACAACTGAAGAATGCTGAAACAGAAGTAAGAACACTGTGATGTGGAAATAAATAAACATTTACAGGATTCATATACACATACTATATATAGAAATAAAACACATCTAGGACCCACATACACATACTAGATATGAACATACCATGGACCCACGTACACATACTAGATATAAAAATAAACAAACATACCATGGACCAACATCCTATATATAGAAAAAAAAATAAACATACCATGGACCCACATACACATACTAGAAATAAATAAACATACCATGGACCCACATACACATACTAGAAATAAATAAACATACCATGGACCCACATACACATACTAGATCTAGAAATAAATAAATATACCATGGACCCACATACAGATACTAGATACAGATATAAATAAACATGCATAGGACCCACACACACACTAGATCTACAAATAAATAAAACACACCTAGGATCCACAAAACACATACTAGATATAGAAATAGAACACATCTAGGACCCACATACACACACTAGACATAGAAATAAATGAACATACCTAGGACCCACATACACATACTAGATAAATAAATAAATAAACACACATAGAACCCACATACAAGATAAAGAAATAAACACACACACCTAGGACCCACATACACATACTAGATAAAGAAATAAATAAACACACATAGAACCCACATACAAGATAAAGAAATAAACACACACACCTAGGACCCACATACACATACTAGATATAGAAATAAATAAACACACCTAGGAACAACATATACATACTAGATAAAGACATAAAACACCTAAGACCCACATACACACACTAGAAATAGAAATAAATAAACACACACAGAAATAAATAAACACACCTAAGATCCACTTTCACATACTAGATATAGAAAAATATAAACGCACAAACGATCCACATACACATACCAGATAAAGACATAAAACACACCTAGGTCCCACATACACATACTAGATATAGAAATAAATAAACACACCTAGGACCTACATACATGTAACAGATACAGAAATAAATAAACACATCTAGGACCCACAAATACATACTAGATAAAGACATAAAACACACCTAAGACCCACATACACATACTAGATATATAAATAAATAAACACACCTCGGACCCACATATACATACTAGATAAAGACATAAAACACACCTAAGACCCACATACACATACTAGATATAGAAATAAATAAACACACCTAGGACCCACTTTCACATACTAAATATAGAAAAAAACGCACATATGATCCACATACACATACTAGATATAGAAATAAACAAACATACCTTGGACCCACATACACATACTATATTTCAGTAGACAGCTGTGGGGTCTACCAAAGTAAGACACATGTGACAGAAGTGGTAATGTCTTTAACCAAATGTTTTCATAACATGTTAGTTTCTTTTGATTCTTTGTGTTCACCAAACAGATTCAAACATCCTAATAATCAGTCTTTTGTGACCATCTCCTGTCTGGAGTATATGGCTTGCACTTCATTTGGTTCTATGTTAGAAAACCAATTAAAACACACCCACAATGATTCTTTTTATGGATACTTTATTTTGTACCTTGTTTATCAGTATAAATAATGTATGCAGGGCGTGAGGCCAGAAGGGCAGAATGTAAGAAGGGCCTTTGTGCCTAATTCTTAACCCTTTGAAAATAAAGTTTGTTCGTTCGTTCGTATCATATTTTGAAACCATAACTAAAATATATAAGAAAGAGAATTTCAGTGTCTTCATTTACTATTTTGCTGCCAAAATCATCAAACACTTCTACTGCACTTAGCGTAAATCTACATTATTTAATCCATTTAATCGTTCACAATAACTTTATTTCCAAAGAGACAAAATTACTCCTGGTTTTATCCATTTAGGTGTAGTCTTGTTCTGCAGAGTTGCTCATCTGGCAAGAGTGCTGCATAAAGCATGAAACATCCTTAGCTCCAGGGGGTAACCCACCAGAAATCTCTGAAACACCTGCACATGACAAATAAAGGGCAGACACTGAATCGAATCCACAACCATTAGAGCAACCACTGCAAAAATTAAAATAACAAAATGGTCTCACCTGTCCTGGTGACTGACTGATCTTCCTTCTAAACAGTTAATCAGCAATGGCAACATTTGTGCTTGCTTCTCTGGCTCAAGTCGAGGAAATCCCAGCTTTATAAACAGAATAGTGAAGTTCTGAAACATGAAAGGAAATATATTATTCATCGTTTGCATGCCTCAAAGATTTTATTCCTGTTCTATCAAATTTTTTTTCACAACCCCTGGTTAACATGAACGCTTTAAAGAACACTTGTCTTATATGAAAAACTGTTTGATACCAGCAGGGACAAAACTGTTTGATACCAGCAGGGACACACTAATATGAGTTCTTGGTTAGCATGGCTGTTTTTAGCATGAAATTATCTTCATTTTTTCTTGATCCTTTGGAATTCATGTTAATGAGATTTTACTCTCTTTCTGTGTGTGTGCGCACAGACATATAATCTGCGTGCATGTATGGTCAACCAATCTAAAATATTTAGCAGAAATGGCTCTTTGATAAGATGGTGAGAAATACAGCCAATGATCCAAAAATAAAAATGCTGTGATTTAGTTTAAAAGAAAATCTAATACTTTATATCTCAGCTCTCCCCAATGGGTTCCAAGCTTTATTTTGGAGAACAAAGTTTAGGGGGAGGAGAAGTGCCCGGAGGTTCGTAGCGAAAGCCAGTGGAAAATCTTTAGTGCAGGACAGCCTAGCATACAATACCACAACATCTAGCATGAGAATGGAGGTGGAGGTGGTCACTGCAGCTTTCTGAAGCTAAAGAACAAGATGCACAGACATGCCGTAACTGTAATAGACTCTGAAAGCATGCTGAGAAAAGTGAAGATAGGGTTGCTTCAAGCAGAGTGGCAAGCTTCACTTGGAAGGTCATGGGTGAGGGCATACTTTGGTTCTTTTCTCCAGGCCATGCGGGGAATTAAGTTAGACAGATTGGCTGGATCTGCATCACTGGGTGGTGAATTGATAATGACATGGCAGATGTGCTCAAGGCCCTTTGGGAACAGGTAATGAAGTCAGAAAAGAAACTGCATGATTATGGCCTGGAAAGAACGATGCACCAGGATGTGACCAGAAGGTCTTGCCGGCACTCAGAGGAAAGGCAAAGCGGACATATAATCTGACAATGACCAGTGCGATTAGTGTTGGAACTCTGCACTGGCTGCTAAAGATGGGACGGAATGCATATGGGAATGCCCTGGATGCTGTGATGTCAATTCTTGACTCTAATCAAAACAAAAACAAAAACAGATCCATTGCCTCCCTAACAAGCATGTCATAGCTGGCAACTATGAGTGTTTCCTTAAAAGTCTAAGTGCATCTACCTGTCAGGCAAGTAACTAACAGTCTGCATTCAAATAAGCCAAATCTGTAAAATGGATTTGCACTCAAAACTCAATTTCCACAGTTACTAACACACTAACACACGTGATCAAAAATCGCATCATTTCAGCTTACTGAAGGCTACCAGCAGATGGTCCACTCTCCTCCGATGTATGGCTAACCTTGTGTGATGCTCGTGGCTTTAACTTGGCCACTGACAAAATGCCCGCAAAATTGGTTGTCTGTGTATAATCCTTGATTTTGTTCCAAAGCTTGAGTGTTGTGTACATATTACTGTTTTGTAAGGTTATTTAGACAGTTGCTGTTTAATGGAAAGCAAGAAGTATTATGTGAATTTTCACTTGAAGATCAGTGAACTGATGGCTTGTTTCTCCTTGACATGTTTTCCCGATACAGTTTTTTTAGTACAGACTGTTGGTTCTTTGGCCTTCAGATAGATGTGCTCCAATTTTAAAGAAAATAGCAATCCTATCTATGCTGGCAAATCACCCTTTAGGGAACCTATTATTAGAATGCCCACTCAGAGCTGTATTTAGGTTCTGACCAGCAAGAGCCTTGCACGTGGTGCATTACCACAGGTTGTGACACACCTCTACATCCCTGAATATATAGAAACTGTTCACTGTTGACAAGATCCAATTTAGCCAGAATTCTTATTCGTCATTTATCTGAGTGACATAAATTCCTTGTGCCTGCTACAGCATAGATGTGATAGTTGCGCCTTTTGGATGACGTGTCTAACTTCTTCGGGCATTTGCTTTCCCGGGTTAGCCTTCCCAGTTAGTTTCGTGGGACATTTATAGCCTCCTATATGTGATGACTTCGTCATTCCCTGATCCAAAGGTGTTGTCCATAGAAAACCCAACCAGGACAGCCCTACGCAGTCTGGATGACCTTCAGGGGAAGGAAGGGACAGTATGGGCATTCTACACCATCCTAGGAGGTTTTCCCAAATACACAGCCAGTACATAGTGCTCTGGTACTAGGTTCACCCAAGGAATCATCACTTCTTGCACATGACTGATTAACCTCACATCCATAGAATAGGCCTTCAACTCATTACAGGCTGTCCCCTTTAGGGATACCCCAGGAAGCAGTTTGCAGACTGCAGACTTTGATTTCCTGCACAAATGAGCAACTCGTTTCCTCAGTATGTTAAGACTTCTATCTCTAACAATGGCACCTTTCAAATGGATATCCCGGGGTATTTTTGTAGCATTTATGGAAAGCATGCAACAGGCATGGTTTAATCAGAATAAGTTAGCTAATCAATCATTTTAAACAAGCATAAAACAATGCCTTACTGTGACGAAAGGAGTAGCCTTTGGATCTTGAAACTGGGCCAGCAGTGCTTCAAGAGGAAGTTTAATCTGATTTCGGCTTTTCAGTCTCGTTTTAATATGGGCCAGCAGATTAAGAACCTGAAGTAAATTACCATATTACAATATATAAAATTACCAATAAAGAATTATGCTACTGCACAACAATTTAAAGAAAGTAATTTTTTTTTGTAAACTCTCTCTCATCTGATGTTTTGCTTTAGCCGACATTCAAATAAACATGTCATAACTTGTATTTCAAACAAGAAATTGTACTACTCTGTGTGTGTGTGTATGTGCTTGCGTGCATGAGAGAGAGAGAGAGAGAGAGAGAGAGAGAGAGAGAGAGAGAGAGAGAGAGAGAGAGAGAGAGAGAGAGAGAGAGAGAGAGAGAGAGAGAGAGAGAGGGAGAGAGAGAGAGCATTTTTTGTGTGTTTTTATGTGTATGTGCTTTTTATTTTTAATTGGATTTTATAATGATGATATTAAGAAAGTCGGCTCTCCTTTAAATAACGGTCACTAGCTGGAAGGCGACGGTTGCTTAGTTGAAGTTCACTCCCTTGGCTGCAGTGCAAATACGGAGTGGTAAAGAGGGAACGAAACAAATGACATACTTACCTGTCATGCTACGGTTGCTTAGGGTTTGGGGTTGGGGTAGGGTTAGAGTTAGGATTTGGGTTAGGGTTAGGGTTTGGGTAACACATGTAGCGTCGAGTACTTACCCATAATAACGGCGGCTATATGAGAAAATTTTGACGCAGGAGTTCCAAATAATGGGCGAGAATGTGCTGCTTGTGGAAGTGGCGCCACTGGAATTCTCCTAAATATGACGGCAATAGCGCGCAGCTAGTGCTCAATTGATGGCAAATTGTCCATTTGAGTAGCATCCACAATGTTTTTGATTCGTGACTTGTCCACTGGGTATTTGCACTGCAGCCAAGGAAGTGAGTCCGACTAAGCGACCGTCGCCTTCCAGCTAGCGACCGTTATTTAAAGGAGAGGCAGAAAGTCAATGTTTAAAAAATTTGTTTCATTGCAATATGATTCTAGAGCCCTGATTCACTATATATCTATAATGTATAAAAATTCTGACCTTCTTAGGCAAACAATGAACTTTTAAGAGCAGAAAAATATTAATACTGTATGTAAAAGATCGAAGACAGTTTAAGCACATCACTGTAGTTACCTTTGATCGGACAGACTCATTGGGACTGTTGAGTTTCAACAGCAACGGAGCTAGAAATTTTCCAAGTGCAGTCTCCAGCTGTTCATCACTGTCTGCTGATCCAATTCGCAGGAAAACTCTTTCCACCAATGCTGAAGAGGCATAATTCAAGTAGATGAATCAATTACTGTGCAAAAAATATCATCATCATCATCATGTAGTAGGTCTCTTGCAGAACATCGCTCTCATCACTGTCTGTCTGAAAGAAACTCGGTCTCTCGCCAGCTCTCCCACCTCATGCACTTCATACTCAAGGAGTCACTTATATCCTGTGCCCATCTTCGTGTTGGTCGGCCTCTGCCCCTCCTTTCTGGTACCATCCCTTCTGTTATTAATTTTTCCAATCCATCGTGGCACTTGATATGACCAAAATATTTCATCTTCTGAGACAGGATGCTGTTTATTAGCCAATCTTCCTTGATATTCAGATCTTTCAAAATGTCAGTATTTCTCCTCTTTTTCTTCCAGGATATTCTGTGAATCTTTCTATAGCATTTCAGCTCAAAAGCCCCTATTCTCTTTCTTAAGGACTGGGAGATAGATAGCAAAAAAATATACAATTCTTGCTATATAGTTTCTACTCATAACTCTGATCACTGCTACTGGTAGATGCTGTAGGGGGCCAAGTGATGTGCAAGTAAGTCTGTCTCTAACTCCATCAGACTGTTATGCTTTATGTTGAGGATAGTGTCAATTTTTAGAAAAGACAAAAATACACTCATATATTACCAGGACCAATCAGGGAAGCAGTGAATAGTAACACTAATCTAACACACAAGCCATAAGCTGTGATTAAGGAAGGTTGGGGTGAGATTGGCTACTTCAGTACATAAAAAACTTAAAGCTGCAATTACAACCAATCATGAACAAATTGTACAAAGATCTCACTGTGTCAGTTGAGTGCTTTGGTTCCGCTAAAGACAGAGAAGCAGGAAGATGAGAAAAGGACATTGTGAACCATGATCACCTACGCTTACAGGCATGCATATGCTGATGATGGTTCTATGGAGATCATCCACTGTAGGAAGGTTCTCCATATCATTGGCACTTTTCCCAGTGTCAGTTCCAGGGCACCATTGTGAGGTGAAAAAAATAGACCAACTGGCCCTAGCAAGCATGTCATAAAAGTTGAAGTGCATCTGCCTGAGAGGCAAGGAACCAACAGTCTGCATACAATTAAGCCACATCTGAAAAATCAATGTTCTCGCAAAACTGAAGTCCTGGTTAGTTAGTTAGTTAGTCAGTCAGCCAGCCAGCCAGTTGGCTAGCTAGTTAGTTAGTTAGTTAGTTAGCTAGCTAGCTAGCTAGTTAGTTAGCTAGCTAGCTAGGTAGTTGGTTGGTTGGTTGGTTAGTTAGCTAGCTAGTTAGTTAGCTAGCTAGCTAGTTAGTTAGTTAGTTAGTTAGCTAGTTAGTTAGCTAGCTAGTTAGTTAGCTAGTTAGTTAGTTAGTTAGTTAGTTAGTTAGTTAGTTAGTTAGTTAGTTAGTTAGTTAGTTAGTTAGTTAGTTATCGATAGATTATCCTCACTGCACATCGGACAAGTCCATAAGTAGTTGGATCCTATCTTCATTATATCCCTGATATCCATAGTTCTAAGTTGGTTTACTATTCTTCTTTAAGATCCCTTTTCACGCCTTTAGGCGCATCTGGCATATGGGAAGAGCATCAATATTTTTACAGACCAATCGGGATTAGATGGATAATGTGGTCAGCATTACGCCAGCTGTCTTCACTTCCCCAGGACATATATCGTGGTACCCGTTTTAGGCTGGGTCGACCTGCAAACGCCCCACACCATGATAAAAATCCATGCAGCCAGCAATGGGTTTCGATCATGGTACGTTGGAATTACGAGTTGGACTCACAACGTCCAAGCCACGGGCGCCACTACTATTCTTCTTTGGCTACCTGTATAGTGTTCACGTTTGGCAACACCTATTTTGACCTGAAGCTCTTGTAGTCTTTTCAGTGTTGCTAATTCAACATCATCTCCTGAATTCATCTTCTCGTCCTGCGTCCTTGAGAGCACTGAGAATGTTGGCCTTGTTAATTACTTTTTCTGTACCTACCATGGCCCTGCCAGCAAGCCAATCAGCTCAATCATTCCCTCTTACCCCAGAGTGTCCTGGCACAAAAATGAAACTAGTTCCTATCAAATGAGATTTCCTCAGTGAATCCAACCATTTTCTTTGAATCCATCCTGTCTCTATCTTCTTAAGTCCTGGAACAAGACTAATTTCCAGAAATGGATGAATAACCTGAACCTTCCACTGGAGTTAACAGCAAGTGAATGCCACCAAGCCATAGTCCCCTAAGTGCTTAATCCTTAATTCAAAAAAATCATATCTGAACATTTATATCCTAAAAATTTTTGTAGTTACATGAAAAGTAATACTCCATTCTTTTTCCCATTTGGAACAGGAATTCACACGTGTGACCTTGTAAAGTGACAAATAGCAATTTATCAGTTCTCGTTATGCATAGTGGCACATGAGGCTTCAGAGAGGACTTTCCATGCTTTCCTGTCCTGTGCAATCTTCAGTGCAGCTTTCCATGTCAAAGATGCTGCACTCAGGTCACTTTCCATTTTCGTCTCCATGTTGTTTTTGGGCACCCCTGTTTTCTCTTTCAGTGATGACTTTCATTTATTTTACATTCCTACAGCATAGCTACTGATTAGTGCTTTCATGGAACCATTAAAAGTGGGGGGAAAACTTTGCACACAACCTTATGAGACCAAAAGAGTTAGATGACTTTGGCAAAGTGCCAACCATCTGTGTTCTTTGGGAGCAGACTGCTACACTCAAGGAGCTTGCATGTGTTCATGACAATGATCATTATTAATTCTTTCAGTCCCAACAAATATTCCATGTGTGATCAGGTATTGCTCATGAGTGCCAAACCATGAACGATTTAACAAGTGTTTTACCTAATACATTTTCTCGTGCTTGAAGAGTTAATTAATAAACAACACAAGCATGTTTTATTTATATCTAGAACTGATTTAGAATTGAGTTTTAAGTGGGCCATACTCCTGGCCCAGGGAAGAAGTTAAACCAACGACCCAGGGTAGAAGTTAATCCTAGCACTCAGTGTCGGAACTATTGACACTCTGGATGATATTAAACCGTTATTCCGAGGAGTGTTTCTCGCGGTGCGCGGTATATTCGCCGGAAGGAAATCTGTAATTTAGATATGACTGAGGCCCTGTTAGGGTATTTTCTTAGCCTTGATAATTTGGGACCGTTATTCGGAGGATAGCCGGCAAAAAAGTTGTAAAAATCTGTCCACCTATGGCTGTTTAAATTCTTCATAAAGGACTTGTAAGTTTACTGGATTAGGAACTGACTACCAATACTAATCAATCAATAAGTTGCCAACTCTAAAAGGTTGGCTGCAAATGATGAACACTCTTGCCTCACACCCTGCTCATAGATTTCCTCTCATTTGTATCACTGCCTTCTGCCTTTTCCTCCAGTATAGTTTTTTTACAAGTGTTATATCTTTTAATATGTGTGTGGGGTGGGGAGGGGTGGGGGGGAATATTTCACTTATCGGCTCTCCTTTTAACTACGGCTGGTAGACAAATGTAGACGGCCGGTTAGTCGGAGTTCTGTCCCCTGGCTACAGTGCTAATACGGACTGGACAGGAGGAGACGAAACAAATGACATAATTACTGTGTGTTGGCGATAGACAGCGTGCACTGCCCTGTTATGATCAGACGATTAGGGTTTGGGTTAGGGTTAGGTTGTGGGTTAGGGTTAGGGTTTAGGTTAGGTTTAGGGTGTGGGTTAGGGTTAGTGTCGCCGCATCTCGTCTTCGCACAAACTCAAAGAAGCAACCCAAACCCTGAACCTAACCCTAAACCTAACCCACACCCTACCCCTAAGCCTAACCCAAACCGTAATCCAAACCCTAATCGTATGATCATAGTAGGGCAGTGCACGCTGTCTATCGCCAACACACAGTAATTATGTCACTTGTTGTGTTCCCTCTAATCCACTCCGTAATGCGTCGCAAGAAGCGGTAATTGAACACTGTTTCTAATTTGAGGTCTGCAAGGCATGTCGAGCTCAGTTTGTGTTTTGATTCGTGCCTTCTCCAGTCCATAATTGCACTGTAGCCAGGGTACAGAACTCCGACTAACCGGCCATCTTCTGTTGTCTACTGGCCGTAGTTGAAAGGAGAGCCCACTTATCTTATATTTGTTCATCGGCTTTATTTAATAGCCAGTATCTCGGGGACCTTTGTAATTATGGATTTTATTGATCTTTTATTTTTTGTTTATATGAATGAATGCAATATGAACATATTATTCTGCTATTTAGTTTAGTCAACGTGCATATTATATTCAATTAGAATTAAAGATGAAGAAGAAGAGGGGTAGGGTGGGTAGTAGGTAGTTGTAGAAGGGGTGGGATTATGAATTACTGAATTAAAACAACTATTACTTAGCTGCTCTACTTGAGTTTAACGACCACTCAAATCGACGCAAATCAGAAAACGATCGTTCGTATCGTCATTGGATTCGATCCAATAAAAATAAAGAACATATTATTTCTATAACTATTATAATTTTATCCTACCATTTTCATCCTGTTCTGAACTCTCCATTGCTGACCAAAGATGCTAACTTGACAAAGTCTACCGTAGTTTTTAAACAGATCAAAGAAAGACGATTCAACCTTAAGATCCAACACTCCAACAGTGACTACTGCTATGTATGATAAGGCAAATTGTACACTTTACACTTCGTTTCGTTAAATGTTCACCACAACAGTTTTAAATTTATGAGACAGTTTTGTATCTCGGGTACCAAAGAGTTTCGGGACATTATCTAAGCTAAAGCTTTTTAACTCGAAGACTAAACTTTCGAAAATGAAGATTGTCACGGCATAGAAAGATTAGTAATACAGTGCAATAAGCAATGATCGGCGGGCTACTTGCTAGGCCTCCTCGGGCCGCCAGTCGTATAACACTGCTCTAAGCGCTCCCTCCCATCTTCAGCAAACGTCACAGTTTTAATTCAAATAATACTAGAAGCAGTCTAATTGTATGTCCATCATGCTTTCCCTCTGTTGAATGTCGGCCTGATCCCTTTGTCACACCCCGCTGAACCGATCTTTTCAGACCAGGTATCATCGTCACGCATGGCATCTCTAAGGTAGTCGTCACACTGTGGAGGTACTGCATGGATCCGATTCGTGCGGATAGAGACACATAGGTAAGGGCACTTATGGATCAACATTCACACCAGAAGACATGATCATCTACATAGCTGGGTCTATAAGGCGCGGATCAAGGTAAGCACGGGCATACATAGCACAAATTATAGGAAAAACAATGAAAGAGGTCATCGGCGTTTACCAGGAAACTACGCCAAACATGACCAAGGATATACACGCTGCTTCTGTAGCGCTATCATGGGCAGCAAAGCCAACACAGGCAATATTTGTATCAGACTCCATGAACATGCTTCGGAAGATAGCAACAATCAGCATGCACTCTGAATGGGTAGAAAGCATTCGAAAATGGATTTAAACCTTCCTCACCCGGGTCTACACACCTGGTGATACTGGTGGAAAGGGTAATGAACGATCATACAAACTAGCAAGCAATGCACCAACGCATACAGGAATAAGCATGGACAGGGTGAAAAAAAAGTAAAGGTCCTTTTTCCACGCCTTTAGGCGTATAGGGATAGGCTTCTATTTTTATAGACCAATCGGCACAAAATAGGTGATGTGGTCATTATCACGCCGGTCGCCTTTACTTCCCGGGACTGCACCCGGTACCCACACAAGGCTGGGAGCGCCAGGAAGCGAACCTACGGCCTTCCGATCCGCACACGAGCGACTAGCAGCTATGCCACGGCGACTCCCATAGACAGAGAAGATATCATCAATGCTGAACGGACTGGACTACTGGATAATGACGAATCTCTGATACTAATACGATTGCGTGACATGGAAAAAAAGCATGGTGAAGCACATCTGTCTCGCCTTCGAGGCTGAGATAGGAGATTTTATAACCAACCTCTCATGGGAACAATTAGTAGAAGTGCCTTTGAGTGGCTGCTGCATCGGAGGACTGAGTACGCATTTCAAATGGGCAGTGACATCGACTGTGATAACATAACATCATCATCTACACAGGTAAGTCCGTGACAAGCGGGTCTGTCACATATCACTCCTGTCGCGTGCCTAATGTAAGGATTTCTCCTTCAGAACCAGCAGCACTCAGAGATAATTTTGTTGAGTCGTTTGGCTCGTATTGGTCTAAGGGATTCCCCGTGGCCAATATACGATCAACTTATCTCTGGAGTAGGGCAACTCAAGTATTGGCACTACAAAATATGTCAATATATATATATATATACATATATATATTTCTAGGCACACTTGGCTGGACACCCCCACTACTTACTAAAGAAAGCCCCCAGGTTATGATAGTTCATTATCATAACCATGTTAACACATATAATGAAGATACATACACATACAACTGCTAAACACTTAAGAAAGGTGACATAGAGAAACCTAAGTCAGCCATGAAAATGAATGCATGTATTTTTAGTATAATATCTGTACAAAAACAATTGAAGTGAATTCCAGCTATCAGTGAAAGAATTTCAGCACTAATGTCTAGATCCTAGGAAACTAGGCAGACAGCCGTCCTGGAGGTGACATCTTACTCATCATTGGACACAGGAAGCTGTGAGAAACACAACATCATGCGAAGTATTAGACTTAT